CCTGAGTGCGGCTCCCACTGTAAACTGTGTACCCTTTCCGCGAGAGAGGCTCTCACTTTTAGAAACGCCCCTGTTTACAAATAAACCGACGGATTGCCGACAAGAATTCCACGGTTGAAGGGGGGGGGCAGCAAGTGGGGCCGGAAAAACTATCTTTGCGCGCAATATAAGATACTAAGAAAGAGTGAGAGACAGCAGAGCAGAAAGAATATGCGTCTGAAGTAAAAATGATTGAGAAAACAAAGAGAAATGTAAAGATCAGTCTGAGACAAAATAAGAGTGAGTCCGATTGAATGAAATGGAGGGAGTATGGGCGAGTGTGACGGTATCAGAAGGAGAAAGGAAGAGTGAGTGTGTATGTCGTAAAGGGCTATTGGAAACGTGAGTGTGTGGGTAAGAGAGGGCGAAAGGAAGAGTGTGAAGGGGGAGAAAGTAAGAGTGAAAACGTGTAAGTGCATGGAGGAAGTAAGAGTGAGTGTGATGGTAACAAAGGCTGAAAGGTAGAGTGAGTGTTTCGAGGAAAAGGGCGAAGGTAAACGTGAGTGTGTGGCTAAGAGAGAGAGAAAGGGAAAAAAAGCAGAATGGGTGTGGGGGTAAGAGAGGGAGAAATAAAAAAAATAGTGAGTGTGTGGGTAAGAGAGAGAGAAAGGTAAAAAGAAGAATGGGTGTGGGGGTAAGTGAGGGAGAAATAAAAAAAAATAGTGAGTGTGTGGGTAAGAGGGAGAGAAAGGGAAAAAAGAAGAATGGGTGTAGGGGTAAGAGAGGGAGAAATAAAAAAATAGTGAGTGCGTGGGTAAGAGAGAGAGAAAGGGAAAAAAGAAGAATGGGTGTGGGGTAAGAGAGGGGGAAATAAAAAATAGTGAGTGTGTGGGTAAGAGAGAGAAAGAGAAAGGAAGAATGTGAAGGAGGGCAACAAAGGACAAAATTAGAGTGAGAATGTGTAAATGCATGGAGGAAATAAGAGTGAGTGTGATGGTAATAAAGGGTGAAAGGAAGAGTGAGTGTGTACGAGGTTAAGGGCGAATGTAAAAGTGAGTGTTTGGGTAAGAGAGTGAGAAAGGCAGAGTATGAGTGTGTGGGGGTAACAAGGGGAAAAAGTAATAGTGAATATGTGTAAGTGCATGGCGGAAGTAAGGGTCAGTGTGGTAATAGCGGAAGAAAGGAAGAGTGAGGTGTACGTGAGGGAAAGGGCGAATGTAAAAGTGAGTGTGTGAGTAAGACATTCTCCAATAATGTGAGAAATATTGAATGGTTGATACTGTTATAGAAAATGGAATCTGTGAAAAATAGTAAATGGGTGAAAGTGAAAATAAGTTTGAGTGTCAGCAAATAGGTGAATGAAGAAAGTAAGAGTGAGTAGAAATTGGAATAAACAGTGAATGGGTGAGGGTACAGGAGGAAGAAGGAGTGAGTGGTACAAAACAATTAAAAAATGGTAAGAAAAAGTGAATGATTGAAAGTAAAAGGAAAAGTGGTAGGAAAATTTCAAAAATCGTAAGAAGACTTGAATGGGTGAAAAAGAATGTACGAATGAGTCTTAAAGAAATGAAAAAAATGAAAGGGTGAGTGTGAAAGAAAGAGAGATAATAAGTGGTAGAAAAATGGTAAGAAGATGTAAATGTGAGAAAGTAAGAGGAGTGGAAGAAAAATTGCGAAAATTGGAAGAAAAAGTGAATGAGTGAAAATGAAAGATTGACTGGTAGGAATTGCAAAAATGGAAAAGGAAAATGAATGGGTGAGAGTGACTGTTTCAGAAATGGGAAGAAAAAATGACTGGGTAAGAGTGATACGAAGACAGAAAGAGAGTGGTAGAAAAATTGGGAAGAAACAGTAAATGAGTCTGAGTAACAGTAAGAGGCGAGATTAAAAAATTTGTAAGAAAAGTTAATGAGACAGAGTGAAAATGTGGTAAAGTAAGAGTGAGCGGTAGAAAATTGCAAAAATATTAAGAAGAAGTGAATGGTGAAAGTGAATGTAAGAGTGAGAGGAGTGAAAGTGAATGTGAGAGTGAGTGGGTTGAAAGGGAATGGGGGTCAGTGACTGTTAAAGAAATGGGAAGGAAAAAATAAATGGGTGAGAGTGAAAGGAACAAAGAAATAGAGTGATAGAAAAATTGGGAAGAAATACTAAATGTGCCTGAGTAAGAAGCGGGATAAAAAAATTTAGGATAAAAAAGGGAATGAGTGAGAGTCAAAGTGATACAAAGTATGAGTGAGCGGTAAAAAATTGCAAAAATGGTAAGAATAAGTGAATGGAGAAAGAGAATGTAAGAGTGAGTGTTAAAGAAATGGAAGAAATAGGGGTTTAAAAAAAATGTAAAGAAAAAGTGAATGGGTGAGAACGAAAGGGAAAGTAAATTTCAAAAAAATCGTTCCTAAAAAAGGCCCATGAATGTGGGAGCGGCACGGCTGTCTGGGCGATATCTGGCAGAAGCCGGACGTGATAAATTATCGGTTGCAGATAACTTCAAAAAAAGTTTTTTTTCACTTTTTACTTCGGCCCGTTCGTGTCTGTTTCACTACTGAAACGTCAATCCTTATCTCGCTAATCCGTGCAAATATTTATAATCCTTTATCTATCTAGAGGGGGGCTGAGATTGTCTGCATATGGAGCACGGGGAAAGCGATACCGGGCGGACCCATTAGGTCAATTTAAAAAAAAGCCCTCTGTGCCAGGCGGATGTTGCCGGAAATCGACCGTACTTCCTCTTCCGCCCACGAACAATCACCAATTATCACGTCATTGTCATTTTGACACAAAAAATAAATAAGTAACGGTTTGTTTTACCCCCTCCCCAGCTGTGTATATTTTATCTGGCGGATCCGACGACGCGAAAAGACTTATTTGATAAAAAGTCAGCCCCCTTGTTTTAATTAAAACTTTGCCTTGAGACGGCTGATCATGTTTTATTTATAAGCTGTAATTTTACCTTTGATCCTCCTGACGCCGAGTCGGAAAAACCGGCAAGTTTCCTAACAAACCCTTTTGTCTGCGAAATCGGCCTCCCCTAATTAGCAAAGTGGCAAGAAAGAAATATGCGACTGAAGTTGGGGAGGGATTTTAAAAAAATCGAGGGGGGAAGTTCGATCGGAATTTGGTGAAATCAAAAGACTTTTGGGCTTGGTACACCAATTAACCGATTTTCCCCTGTCGTTATGTCCCTTTACGGGATCCATTCCGGATTGACTGATGTGTAACGAACAAAAGTAAAAATATTTAATAGTTTTTACTGCTTTTTTTATTAAATTGTCAAAATCGGTCTGTAATTCTTGGAAAATATCAAGCTTTTATGGAAAAATTTAGATTTTTCACATTGAACAAGAAGGTTGTGAAAGGTCATCTTGGTTCACCAATAAACTGATTTTCCCCTGTCGTGACGTCACTTTACGGAAACCATTCCTTGACCCATTGACTTTCTTTAAATAAAAAAATAATTACTAGTTTTTACTGCTTTTTTAATATGAATTATTAGAAATTGGCTGCAATTCCTGGAAAATATTTTTTTTTTAATTTTGTATGGTTAGTTTTTCAATGATGAACACGTGGTCCTTTTTATTTAAAACTTTATTTTTCACTTTTCTACGGTAGTGTCGACGTTTCAAACAGTTTGCTCATCTTCTTGAACTATTATTCTCTTATTTAATTATTACTCTCTTATTTAATTATTACTCTATTAGTTCCAGCTGATGAGCAAACTGGTCGAACGTCCATAAAGTGCTGTAAAACAGAATCTGAAGTTTAAAAATGACCACGTGCTCATTATTGGAAAACCAATCCTATAAAATAAATTGTATCCAATTTCGTGTGTAAAAAGAAGAAAACAACTAAAACTATGAACAAATGTTTTTACGGAAAAATCAAGTTTTCGAACTAGGTGAAAAAGGCTGTGGATGGACAGCTTAGTCACCAATTAACCGATCCCCCCCCAAAGTTGTGACGTCACTTTACGGGAATGGGGGAGGTCCCACTTGCCTGTCATTTCATTTTGCCTTGGGTAATTATTAAAAACAAGCATTACCACTGATTTTAAAAAAAGACTCATTTTGATCTTTACAGGAGTTTTCAGGGGAACTTTTATTCTCAATCTTTGGGTCAAGTCTCTATGAAAGATGAAAAACAAAGGCACTTTCCCTGCGGGAAGGGGGGGTCGAATCATTGTTTTATTATTGAAACGCGGCGGTACTACGCGGACCCGATCGATGAAGACATGGGGCCGAGTGTGCTTAAAATCTCAATAGGGGCACCGCGATCCGCAATGGGGAGACGCGGATCGATAAAGGACGCCGTTTGAACTGAATTAGACCTTTGTTGTGTTTTTTATCCAGGAGAAAATACGTCCGAGGGGGTGTGTCGTGTGCCAGCTTCTCCTCGCTGGTTAGAAGTTCGAAAGGTCCCGGCTCTTAACGTTTAGAAATTTTTTTTTTTATATTTAAAAGTGTAGAAAAATCAGCTGGGGGATTTATTGAAGACTGACTATATCTCACATACACATACATAAACATACAAGCAAGCAGGGTCAAGTGTTCGAAATTTCAAGTGGCCGCTGAATGAAAGAAAAAAAATTGGGGAAAATGTGTCTAGACGACGTCATCCAGACGATTAGGTAAAGCCGTGAAAGCTCAGTTAAAGCTCATTTACCCCAAGGTACATTAATGCGCGTACGCTTTTCGATGAGTCGTCTAGGGATACGAGGAGGCAGGTCAGGGGACGGACGTCTTCTGCCGGGCCGTCCGAAGGTCCCTCCAGGCCCAAGAGGACGCCCTGCAGGGCACACTCGGACACTATAGTCATATTCGCGAGCTATGACAGCAAGGGAAACCTGATCCGAGGTGAGAGGAAGACGAAAACGAGCCGACACAAACGTCAGGACGAGTACAAAAAGGTCAACGGGGCGGGCGCGCAGGGGACTGACAGGGTCTACAGGTCGAAAAGCGGTCTCCCACGAAGAAAACTTCAACCGGCCTCAACACATCTAACACAGTTTTCCTTCTATTTTCTAGCCATGGGGAAGATCTCATCGTCACGCCCTTCGCCCAGATCCTGGCCAGCCTCAGGAGTGTGCGGAATAACTTCCTGTCCCTCACAAACCTACCAACAAACAAGTAAGTGCCATATTTTCTACTTTTTCCACAATAAAAACGGCACATGGCATGACAGTCAGTTCATCTCAAATCCAAAACATCAAAATCTCTTTTTAAACCATTTACGTTTTGTGATTTAATTGACCGTATTAATTATTTCAATTAATTATTTTTTTATGTAAGGTCTTGGTTGAGATGAAAAAGTTAGTGTCAAGAGCGGGATTCGAACCCACGGACCTTCGGCTCAATACGCCGCTGCTCAAACCCCTTGAGCATCGTGACTTCGATCCGCTCGGACACCAGATAAGTATAAGTAAAAGAAGTATCACTTCACTAACAGCTCCCCGTGGCCGTTTTATAAGTCGCTGAGAATCGAATCCTGATTACACGACATTTAAAAAATGGCAGAAAGAGGGAAACATCGATAGGGTGTAGGTTGAGAAGGGGAGTTGTCCGAGTGGATCGATGTCACGATAGCTCAAGTGATTAGAGCAGAGGCGTATGAGCCGAAGGTTCGAATTCCGCTCGTGATGCTAACTTTTTCATCTCAACCAATCATTTTTTAAACTTCAACTGAAAAAATAGTAATGGTAAGACCGATAGTTAATACGACAATGTAATCGATACAAGTCTACATCGCAATATCGATCTTACATAATCGATAAGCCACGACAAAATGTCGATAGTAGTTTCAAAGACAAATTAAAGGATTCAATGGTGTTATAGAATCAATATTTAATACGACAATGACAGTCTACTTCGCAATATCGATTTAAATAATAATCGATTAGCCACGGTGAAATATCGATGTTAGTAACAAAGCCAAAATTAGCACGTTTCAATGATGTTATACAATCGATATTTGCTACGACGATGACATCAACGGAATCAATATCGACATCGCAATATCGATCTTACATGTACGATTACCTACGGCCAAATGTCGATAGTAGTATCAAAATCCAAATTAGAAGGTTTCAATGATGTACTGTTATACTGGCGATATTAGTACTGATATCGACAGAAGCCGTCAGCATGATGTAAGTTGCATAAAATTAATCTTACTATGCTATTTATCGATAGTATTATAGATACGACTTGTTTTGGTACTATCGATATTTACTGCGATAGTGCCATCGATACTACTCTAACGTGCAATCTCGATCGTTGAGCTATCGATTATTTTCCACAGAATTGATCAATATGGTAGGACGTATCGATGAATATAAGAAGAGAGAGTATCGATTTACAAGCATACAATCGAAACTGACATCGACCACAGTCGATCTTTATTAATCGATTATCCTTCAATTAATTGATATTAGTATCCATGCCATATCTAATATCAATTAGATTGTGCCAGAACATTATCGATGATCATAGTCGATATTAGTATCGATGTCAGAATCGAATAATCAGATTTTCAGATGCACTATCGTTATTGACGTCGACAATAGTTAACAGTGCAATATCCATCTTCATTAATCGTTTAAACTTGAACAGTATCAATTTGCAAGTACACTATCGATATTTTCTTGAACATTGAAATCGATCATAGTCCAATTGACAATATCGATCTTAAAGTAAAATAGTAGTATCGATCCACGATAGAACATTATCGATCTAAAGTTATTACTATCGAAATTTACTGCATTCATGTCGAATATATTACACAGCTGATCTTATATTATCAATTTTCCTAAACTATAGAAATAGCGAAAGTATTATTGACGTTTACTTGGACATTTGCGTCGATTATGGTCTATAAAACAATATCGATCTTAAATAATCGATCTTCCCAATAACTCACTGCAACCATTTTCAATTACACCATCAATAATTACTGCATTGACATCGATTGTAGTCCACAGACTATCTTTCTTTAACAATCGTCTTTTCTAAGCAACATATCGATATGAATATCATTGCCTTGTTTGGATTCGATTTTTAAAATCAATCAAATATCGTTGCAAAATTTGAAAAGTATCGATTGTATACGATCAATATTTACATGACTGTAGTGACATGAACTATTATCGTATCAGATTTCGATATCTGAATTGTATATCGTGTATATATCGTTCTTATATAATGGATTTATAAAGCAATATACCGATAGTAGACATAGTACAATCTGATACGTACCTATTGTTTAATTTTATTCGATGCGTTAACAATCTAATTTGCTTGTTAATGTCGATGTCAGTTTTAAAAACAAACCATATATCGTTATTTACTATCGAAACTTCAATTATATTTCGATTATCGATCGATTACGAGGGATTTCACTTATTTTTCGACAAATACATTATCACCATTTTGTAACTGTTTTGTTTTAGATTTTATTTTCTTTCTCGGATCTGAGCGTGGTCCGTCCGTCCTCGCTTCGTACAGGTCGCCGTGGGCGCGCTTCAAGGACGGCCCTGTGTTTCTAGTCGACCATGTTTTACGTAGTACGTTCGAATAGTTCTACGATTTATTTCCGGATCGTTTCGCCCCCTCATCATCGCAAACCGGCGTCCGTCCGAGTAGGCGAAACGTGACGCAACCCAATTACAGCGACCAATTATACGAGGCTCTCCTGGCGTTCCCCTTCCATTGTTAAGGATTAATTGTAAAATAACAATACGAGAAACAATTAACTGATAATTAAATATTAAAAGTCTGTCGTTGTGTAACAGAGCTTAAACTGCGTCTTGGTGAGATATGGTGAAAAAATAGGGAAAGACTTTCCTCGGAATAAGCTTGAAAAATATTTTTAGAAGAAGGCGAGGTAAAACCATGCCAACCGCTATATGACAGTTGTTGAAATCTGGTGAAAATTTAAAAACAAATGTTCGCAACAAAACACAGTTTGACCTAATGTGATAACAAGGTGATACAAACGTACCAGCAACCAACCACCCCCTAGTGGAGCACCGGATTCACTACCCGTTCCCAACCGCAACTACTCACGCATTCGAGGGACTATCCAGCATAATCATCGCGCCCTCAACGCAAGTTTCGCGCGAAGGTCATAGGCAGAAGACAGCCTCTTCTCCAGGTTCCCGCCAGGGGCGTCACCACAAGCCACCACGAATGTCCCAGCGTAACATGGTCTGAATTTTGAACGTTTTGTTACCCCGTGGTACAGATGGTCATGCACCCTCCCCCCGTCTACGCAGACAGGATCTGTTACACTGACCCTCGTTTGCCGCTGATAAGGCACCCACCACCCATGCCGACCCGAGGCCGACACGAGTACAGCTTGTGCTTCAGAGAGGTTGCCAAGCCCTCCAGGCTACACCATTATTTTGCGCCTGGATACCCCTCATGTAACCAAGGGTTGGGACGGGGTCACAGGATAGAATGAAGGAACCTGGATTGAGAAAGGGCCGTGGATGAAGACTCGAGGTGAGCCGTTTCGGGATCTCGAGCCTCAACCACACTACGTCGTCGCCGTAGTGCCACATTGCTCCAAGGGTGGGTGCCCCCCATGTAAATGTACTGACGATTGGGTGAGATATGGTGAAATGTGAAATTACCGCCGAGAATGTACTGACGATTTGGTGAGATATGGTGAAAAAAGAACTAAATGATTTCACTCCGAAAAGCTTGGGAAATAGAAATAGGTAGAACGCAAACTGCTTGCAGAAAAACCACCATTTTAGAGTTGTGAAATCTGTTCAAAATTTAAAAAGAAATACTCAACGACAAAAGACAATTTAGTCTAACATGATAAAAAAATACTTACAAACGTACCAGCCCGAAAGTTGGTGAGATTGGTGAAACGTTGAAAAACGAGTTTACATTTCGGATTTTTTGAAAATTTGTCCAAAAGTGGCAACTTTCTAGGATCCTTTGTAAAAATAACATTTCCGCAAAATTTGATGAAAAGTTGAAAAATATAATCGGGAAATTTTTGAAAATTTGATCAAATATAGTGGCAACGAACTAGGATAACGCCACAAAAATAGAATTTTTGCAAATTTGGTAAAATTTGGTGAAAATTGATAAAACGGGATTACAACCTGGAAGTTTTTGAAATTTTGGTCCAATGTGGTGGCAACGAACTACAATAACGTCACAAAAATTGAATTTTTCCACACTTGGTGAAAATTGAAAAACAAGCTTACAACCTCTATGTTTTGAAAATTTGGTCAAATATGGTTGGAATGAACTCGGATGACGTCACAAAAATAGAAATTTTGCAATATTGGTGAAATTTCGTGAAAATTGATAAAACGGGAGTGCAACTCGTATTTGTTTTTCTTAATTTTGGTCAAATGTGGTGGCAACAAACTAGGATAACGTCACAAAAATTGAATTTGTGCAAACTTGGTGAAATATGGTGAAAATTGAAACTCGGTCGTACAACCTTGAAGTTTTTGAATTTTGGTCCAATGTGGTGGCAACGAGCTAGAATAACGTCAAAAAAATTTAATTTTTCCACTCTTGGTGAAATTTGATGAAAATTGAAAAACGGTCGTACAACCTGAAAGTTTTTGAAATTTTGGTCCAATGTGGTAGCAAAGAACTAGCGTAACGTCATAAAAATTGAATTTTTCCACACTTGGTGAAATTTGGTGAAAATTGAAAAACAAGCTTACAACCTCTATGTTTTGAAAATTTGGTCAAATATGGTGGCAATGAACTCGGATGTCACAAAATAGAATTTTTGTAACATTGGTGAAAATTGATTAAACGGGATTACAACTCGTATTTTTTTTTAATTTGGGTCAAATGTGGTGACAACAAACTAGGATAACGTCACAAAAATTTAAATTTTTGCAAACTTGGTGAAATTTGGTGAAATGTTGAACAATTTTTCAACCTGCAATTTTCTGAAAATTTGGTCAAATATCGTGACTGGGATCCTTTTTACAAATAAAATTTCTGCAAAATCAATGAAAACTGGTGTTTTGACTATTTCGTCTTGTAAATTGAGGCCAATTGTCTGTGTCGACGAGTCTTTTCTGTTTGGGTCCGTCAGCTCTCGCACTGTACGAACCCTTATTCCGTTTTAAGCCAAAATAAAACGTTTCTATGGTTGTTATTGAAAAAATCTAAACTTTTATACGTTTTCCTTTTAGATCGAGAAGATCTTCCGGTACAGGGAGCACGACCCCGCAGCCGAGGATATTCACTCCAGGAGGTAATGCCAATTTTCCAACTCCCTCCTCGTCCTCCTTTGATCCCAGACCACCGCCTCCTTCCGCCTTTTTCACCCTGGGGCCAAGTTTTGTTTGACACTTTCGCGTACATACACGGACAAGTTAATCGCTATCGACGAAGCGAAGGGGCTTTGCCTTGGGAAATTGGATTTTCCCCGAGAAGGCGGACGGCCGATCCTCCTGACAAGCCCAGACACTTCCTCACATTCCCACCTCCTTCAATTTCACCTTATTCCTTGTGTTCATTTTATTTTTATTATTCCTTTCTTATTTGCAGACGAGGCGTACATGAAGCTGTCCCTCGAGACCATGGAGGAATTAGACTGGTGTCTGGACCAGTTGGAAACCATCCAGACGCACAGGAGCGTCTCGGATATGGCATCCCTCAAGGTAAATAACCTCTTGAACCGTCCACTTACGAATCAAATTGTTCAAGTTAAGCATTTAAAAAGCTCAGTTGATTCATTCATTGATCCGCCATTTGACTCGTTCAATGAACCGTTGAGTAAACCACTCTTTGATCGGTGTATCATTGACATTACCAGTCGCTCAGACAATTCAACGATCCGTTCATTGATCTATTGATCTGCTCTTTGAACCACTCTTTAATCAGGAATCACCCTGGCAGTTCGTTGTTCCATTCGTTGATCCGCTCAGCGAGGGGCTCTTTTCGTCAGTGAATCATTGACCCTTCAACTCACCATGACCGAACCATTCGATCATTGATCAGCTTAGTAAACCATTCTTTGATCAGTTAATCATTGACTTTACCAGTCACACTGACAGATCATCGTTCCATTCGTTGATGCGCTTTTTGACCCGTTTATTGATCCGCTTAGTGAACCGCTCTTTTGTTCAGTAAATCGTTGACCCAAACAACAGCCTGACATTTCATTTTTGCATTGTTCGATGCGTTCATTGATCAGCCCAGTGAACCACTCTTTGATCAGAGTCAACATTACAGTTCATTGATTCATTCAATGATTCGCTCTTTGACCCGTTCATCGGTCCGCTTAGTGAACCACTCTTTTGATCAGTGAATATTTGGCGGTACAGATCACTCTGAAGGTTCATTGATCCATTCGTTGACCCGCTCTTTAACTCGTTCATTCGTCAGCTCAATGAACCGCTATTGGATCGGTAAATCATTTACCCAACAAGTCACCCTGACATTTCATTGATTAATTCATTGTTTGGCTCTTAACTCGTTCATCGATCAGCTCATTGAACCGCTCTTGGATCCTCTCAGAGACCTCCTCCGATCCTTCAAGGCAAGAAGGGAAATTAACGCTTTTCGACGTTAAAATTTCATTCCGCTACCTCAATAGAAGAGAAAGAGAAGAAGGATAAAAGGCGAACGAGCGGTTATCGATCGATCCTCGCCCTATAACGGTTTAAGTTCCACTTGGATATAAATCCATGTTTTTATCCCATGGATTATTTTATNAAGAATCAACTGGAGAAGTTTGTAGCACGAGTAGCAATTCTATATATATAAAATGTGTGTGTGTGTGTGTATTTGGGGCTTAATCCTTTCATTTAAACCGTTGGGATTTTGTGTTCTCGCGATGAACTTGATTTGTACCCGGGCAAAGGGTTTCGGATCGGTTTTGGGGTGGTTGACGTTGTTAACAAGTTGTGCAAATTCCCATTTGAAACTCTGATAAACGGCCCTTGTTAAACCGTTCGAAGGGGATTTGACGTCTTGTTAAGATGTCAAAGCCGTTTTTCGTGGGGGTCCGCTCCGTCTCGCTTCTCCGCCTCATCAGACAGACGAAACACACATGGGACTAAATCAGTCATTTATTCTTATATTTATGTATTGTTGTTGTTTTTTTCCAGTTCAAGAGGATGCTGAACAAAGAACTGAGCCACTTTTCCGAATCGAGCAAATCTGGGAACCAGATCTCGGAGTACATCTGTTCCACTTTCTTGGGTAAGACGCCTAAGTAGTCTGATTTAATATTTTCCCATTTTTCTTCTTTTTATTTGTCTTGGGATTCCGTGATCTCTCAACGCCCCTTGTCTTTTCTTCGTCGGGGGTTGTTTGATCGATAGTTGCGACCTACAGCCCGTTTTCCCTTCAATATTTCGCCCTGGATTGACTCGTTTGACCGGGATTCGGGAAAAGAAAAAACCTTCAATTATAGAGAACGATTGAAATGGTTCGATCCTGATGGACGGCGAACTGTTTCATCTGTCGCTCAGTAAACTGTACGGTTAGATCTCATGAATCCGTTCATTCATTTCTATTTCAATTATTTTGCGATATGGCTCAGTAAACTGTATACTTCAGATATAGCTCAAATATTCGGTTAGTGAACCGTTCATACACACGCTCTTTAAACTGTCCAGTTAACCGTTCAGGTAAAGCTCAAAGATCCGTTGAGTGAATAGTTAATTGATCCGCTCTTCGAACTGTTCAGTGATCGGCTCAGTTAACTGTAGTTAGCGCGCAGATACGATGAGCGAATAGTTCGTTGAACCATTCTTTGAACTGTTCAGGAATCGGCTCAGTTAACCGTTCAAGAAAGCTCAAAGATTCGTTGAGTGAATAGTTCATTGATCCGTTCTTCGAACTGTTCAGTGATTGGCTCAGTTAACTGTACAATTAGAGCTGAAAGATCCGATGAGTGAACAGTTCAATGATCCGCTCTTCAAACTGTTCAGTGATCGGCTCAGTTAACTGTAGTTAGCACGCAGATATGATGAGCGAATAGTTCGTTGAACCGTTCTTTGAACTGTTCAGTAATCGGCTCAGTTAACCGTTCAAGAAAGCTCAAAGATTCGTTGAGTGAATAGTTCACTGATCCGCTCTTCTTACTGTCCAGTGATCGGATCAGTTAACCGTTCAGGCAAAGCTCAAAGATCCGTTGAGTGAATAGCTCATTGATCCGTTCTTCGAACTGTTCAGTGATCGGCTCAGTTAACTGCACAATTAGAGCTGAAAGATCCGATGAGTAACAGTTCAATGATCCGCAGTTCGAACTGTTCAGTGATTGGCTCAATTAACTGTACAATTAGAGCTCAAAGATCCAATGAGTGAATAGTTCATTCATCCGCTCTCTGAACTGTTCAGTGATCGGCTAGGTTAACCGTACAGTTATAACTCAAAGATCCGTTCAGTGAATTGTACACTGAACGGCTCTTTGAACTATTCAGCGATCTGCCCAGTAAACTGTTCAGTTAAACCTCGTTCATTGCATCGTTCATTTATTCGCTCTTTCAATTATTCAGTGATTGGCTTGTAAACCGTTGTTAAAGCTCACACATATATCCGGTCATTGAATCGTTCATGGATCCGCTCTTTAAACTGCTCAGTGATCGGCTCAGTTAACTGTACAGTTAGAGCTCAAAGATCCGTTCAGTGAATAGTTCAGTGATCCGCTCTTTTGAACTTTTTAGTGATCGGCTCAATTAACTGTACAGTTAGAGTTCAAAGAACCCTTGAGTGAATAGTTCACTGAACCGCTCTTTGAACTAGTCAGTGATCTGTTCAGTAAACTGGTATGTTAGAACTCATATATCCGGTCAGCAAACAGTTCATCGATCCGTTCAGTTAAACTATTATTTGATGGTACCAGTCAGCCTGGCAGTTCAGTGATCAGCTCTTTGACTCGTTCAGAGGTCAGATCGATGAACCGCTCGTTGTTCGGTGAATCTCAAAGCCCTTATTGTCAATCTGTCATTTCATTGATTCATTAATTGATCCGCTCTTTGACTCGTTCATTAGTGAGCTCAGTCCCCTAACAGCCACATTGAGTTCATTCAGTTCTGTGATTCGTTCACGTGTCCAGCCCGTTCAGTAAACAATTCTCTCTGTAGTGAATTGTACAATATATTATTCAGCATGCGCTCATTGAACTGAGTCAGTAACCGGCTGTTCGATCCGTTTAGCGTTCAGCTCATTGCTGATGCAATTTCGTTCCGAAAGAAATTAAAAATTTATGAGACATGAGCTGCTAGTTCAACTTATTTGGTCAAAGATACTGTAATTCAATTCGGCATGGAAATTTTTTTTTAAAGAGACGTTCGTTGGTTTCTTGAGACGTGGCGCCTCACCACCCTTTCACCTCCGCCGCATCAGAAGATGGAAATCCGATTGTTCCACCCTGAGGAAAAAGGGAGGAAATGAGTTTCCCACCGGGTGTCAAAATTCCCGGCTTTCAACCCCCTCCCCCGCCCACAGTAAAAAAAGAAAAATCTGAAGAGATGGCAAAGGGGGACGAGGCGCCTAGGGGGAAAATCAAGCAGAAGCCAATGACAAAAGGGCGAAACAAATCGCACCGATATCGGCTCAACGGCTCTATTTTAATAATATTCAAATGAACTGAAAATAATTAAAACTGATTTAAAACCGCCCAAAGCGATCATTGGAAAGTTTCATTCAATTCAGAAACTCATTGATTCACTGACTCAGTTCATTCGGGGGTTCATCGGCTCATTAAAAGAACTGTTCTGTAATCTGTTCAGCGGGCGGTGCAGTAATCAGTCCATTGACCGTTCTTTGGACTATCCAATGATCTTTTTATTGAACGGTTCAGGGTGTGGTTCATTGACGGTTCAGCATTCACGTCACTGATTCGATAAACGAGCTGTTCAGTGATCGGCTCAGTTAACAGTACTGTTAGAGCTCAAAGATCCGTTCAGTGAGTTGTTCATTAAAACGCTCTTTGAACTGTTCAGTGATCTGGCTTAGTGAACTATAGTTTGAGCTCAAAGATCCGTTCAGTGAGTTGTTCATTAAAACGCTCTTTGAACTGTTCAATGATCTGGCTTAGTGAACTATAGTTTGAGCTCAAAGAGCCGTTCAATGATCCGCTTAGTGAACCACACAGTTAAAGCTCAAAGAACTGATGGGTGAATAGTTCAGTGATCGACTCAGTAAATTGTAAAATTAGAGCCCACTTTACATGAGCAGTTAAAGCCCGTTCGTTGAATCGTTCATTTATTCGCTCTTTGAACTGTTCGGTGATTAGGCTTAGTGAATTATTGCTAGAGTTCAGTGACTCGTTCACGGATCCGCTCAGTGAACCGCACAGTAACAGCTCAAACTTTCTGTTGAGTGAATAGTTCAGTGATCCGATTTCTGAACTGTTCATTGATCGGCTCAGTAAACAGTAATAATTAGAGCCCATATTTGTGTTCCATATGCGTACAGTTACAGCCCGTTCGTTGAATCATTCATTTATTCGCTCTTTTAACTATTCAGTGAACTCGCTCAGTAAACTGTACAATTAGACAATTACTGTAACTCTTTTGTTGAACCACTAATCACTAAGCTTAACCAATCAAGGCCTATACGATTCATTAATCGTAAAAACCATCTTGGTACCGTCACGTTTCGCTTTTGAACAATGACTCACGGGCGTTTTCTCAGTCGTGAACGATCAGTTGACCCGCGGACATGGTCTGCCACGAGAAAAATCACAAGAAAGGTGGAGGATTCAAGGGGATTTTCTGTGGCTGTGCATATAATGTTTGTTTTTCTCTCTTTTTTCACGCAGACAAGCAGCAAGAGCTGGACCTTGCGGCTATGGAAGAGAGGTCACCGCAGAGGCCGACGGCAGCCCGAGTCCCAGGTGGCCGGGTCGTCCCGATGAGCCACATCTCCGGGGTGAAAAGAACCCTCACCCACGCCAACAGCCTCACCGGTGACGCCCTGCCAAAATACGGCGTTCAAACCCCGCACGAACCGCAACTCGGCCAGGTCTTAAAAAACCCAAAAACCCTTTAAAACCCAACTAATAATCTGAATTCCAGATGCTCTTGGATATCGACAGATGGGGCGTGGATATATTCAGGATAGGCGATTTATCCATGAATAAACCTCTGACGGTCATAGCCTACGCCTCGTTTCAGGTAATAAACCGGACCTCGCCCCTTCGAAATCACGCTTTAAACTCCTGGCATTCTTACAGAGCCGAGATCTACTCAAAACGTTCATGATACCGGCGAAAACCTTCATTACTTTCATGCTTACCGTCGAGGAACACTACGTCAAGGACAACCCGTTCCACAACAGCACGCATGCGGCGGACGTGACACAGTCGACACACGTACTTCTCAACACGCCCGCTTTAGAGGTAGTTACCGTATGGCCTATACTTAGTCAACTGCCCAAGCCGAATCAATCGTAAACTGCGCAGAACCTTCACAGATCATCTTGACAAGGAGGGTTTGTTCATAGAATGTTTTTTTGTGTGTCTAGGGCGTTTTCACACCCCTGGAAACGATGGCAGCTCTGTTCGCAGCGACGATACACGACGTCGACCACCCTGGCCTCACGAATCAATTCTTAGTGAATACAAGTAAGTCTGATGGACTGTTTTCCATTCATCCCCGATTATTCGAGCTCCAGTTCCATTTTCTCCTTACAGTTTCAGCTCCTCGAAATTGTGATAGTTTATATTCATTTAGCTCTTGATATTTTGAGCTCCCCTCTCATTTACTCCTGATAATTCCAGTTCTTATGGCTCCTGAGATTATTCGAGTTCCTGAGGCTCCTTTTTTTGCTCCTGTGACTTGTGATGTTTTATACTCATACAGCTCTTGATATTTCGAGCTCCTTTTCCATTACGCCTGGTAATGCCAGTTCTTATGGCTTCTGATTATTCAAACTCAAAATCCATTTACTCCTTATAGTTTGAGCTCCTGTGGCTTCTAATGGTTTATACTCAGCCTTTGAAACGGCGAGCTCTTCTCCCATTTACGCCTGTAATGCCGGTTCTTGTGGAACTTCCTGATCTTTCAAGCTACTATGGCTCCTTTTGTCTTTACTCATTATAATTTGAGCTGCTGTGGTTTCTATGGTTTAGAATCATGTACCTCTTGATGACATTTCGAGCTCCTTTTCCATTTACTCCTGATAATCCAGTTCTTATGGCTCCTGATATTTCAAGCAACTATGGCTCCAATTTCATTTACACCTTACGGGTCAGTTTTTGTAGTACCTGATATTTCAACGTCTTTTTACCATTTACTCCTGATAATTTCAGTACATATAGCTCCTGATATTCCAAGCTCCCAGGACTCAAGTTTCATATAATCCGGTTGAGGTTGAAGGTTTGAACTTTTGTAGCTACTGATAATTCGAGAACTGCTACAGCTCCTATGGTTCCAGTTCCCTACACTCCTTATATTTCAAGCTCTTTTTCTATTTAGTCCAAATAGTTAGGCTACCGACATTCCTGTTGGCTCATGATGCTCTTGTGGCACGTTATAATTAGACCTCCTGATATTTTGAGCTGTTTTTTTTTCCATTTACTTTTGATAATTCCAGTTCCATATAATCTCTGATATTTCCAGTTCTTTTTCCATTTAATCATACCGTCGATCTCCTGATGCTTTATACTCCTGTGGTTATATAATTTGAGCGCCTGATATTTCAAGCTCCTTTTCCATTAATTCCCGTTCATATGGCTTCTAATATTCCAAGCTCATATAATTACAGTTTCATTTACTCCTGATTATCGGTATTACTGTTGCACTTTATAGTGTGAGCTTTTGTGGCTCCTGATAATTCAAGTATTCGAATGGCTCCTTACATTCCAAACTCCTTTGGCTCCAGTTTCATATACTTATAAGGATTGTTTTTTTTCCCCATTTAATCCACATAGTTTGAGCTCCTGTGGCTCGTTATATTTGGGCGTTTGTGGCTCCTGATATTTCAACTGTTCGTAGACCCCAGTTGTATATTTTACTCCTGATATTTCAAGCAACTTTTTCATTTACAACTTATATTTTGAGTTGTGCGCTTCTTGGCCTGCTAGCTACCTATATATCAAGAGCTCCCATGACTCCTGATATTCCATGCGCTCCTGGTACTGGTCACGTTTCATTCTGTTGTGTATTGAATAGGTTCCGAGCTGGCTTTGATGTACAACGACGAGTCCGTTCTTGAGAACCACCACCTGGCCGTTGCGTTCAAGCTGCTGCAGAACGAAGGCTGCGATATATTCCTCAACCTGAACAAGAAGCAGAGGCAGACTTTAAGGAAGATGGCCATCGACATGGTGAGTCTTTATTTAAAAATATTTTATACCGGTGTAACTCTCGTGTTGTTAGGTGTTATCGACGGACATGTCGAAGCATATGAGCCTCCTGGCCGACCTGAAGACTATGGTCGAGACGAAGAAGGTGGCGGGAAGCGGTGTCCTCCTGTTGGACAACTACACGGACCGCATTCAAGTCTTGGAGAACCTGGTCCACTGCGCCGACCTGAGCAACCCGACCAAGCCGTTACCACTTTATCAAAGGTGGGTGGCACTACTCATGGAGGAGTTCTTCCAGCAGGGGGACAAGGAGAGAGAAGCCAACATGGATATCAGCCCGATGTGCGACAGGCACTCGGCCACGGTCGAAAAGTCGCAGGTCGGCTTCATCGACTACATCGTCCACCCGCTCTGGGAGACGTGGGCCGACCTCGTACACCCGGACGCCCAGGACATCCTCGACATGCTCGAAGAGAACAGGGACTGGTACCAAAGTGAGTATACTCTATAAACAACCACACATACACAAAAAAAAAAAAAACACCTCACACTCAATGAATTACAGCTGCAAACGAAAAGATCGACGAAGCCTTAAGACAGTATGCAAATCAAACAAATATCGAATAGAGAAAAACCCAGTAAAACAATAAAGCATCCCATCTCCAATTGTTTAATAATTTAAAACATAAAATTTGATCCGTTTTAGGCATGATTCCGCCCAGCCCGCCGTCCTCAGAGCAGAAAGACGACGAGGGCGACGACTCAAAGGGTGAAAGGACTCACGAAGACATCAGGTAAGAACGCCGACCTATTGACACCCATTCAACCATCTGACATTCTTTTTCTTTTTCAAGGTTTCAAGTGACGCTGGAAGAAGGAGAAGGCGATGAATCGTCTACGATGTGACGCTCGTTCGCCAATATCTGTCATAAATTAACACAAAAGGTATGACACCCTTCTATCATTTTATCACACTAGATTCTTCGCACAGCACCCCGTGGTACTCGAGTGGGATGGATGAATCAGATTAGCCGAGCCTTTTCAGGACGAGATAGGCCATCTCTGGCTTACATGTTTAGATTGCGCTCCACCATTGTGTGATCCCGGTTCAATTTACTCCTTATATTTCAAGCACTGGTTCCTGCCGTTTCAACGTTCTACGACTCATAACAATGCTGGAAGATGCCACTTTAGCTCGAATTATCAGAAGTGAGACCCGGGGCATAGCAGCTAGATGTATCAGAAGCCTCAGGAGCTATTGCAGGTTATCAGGAACCACAATGTCTTGCTAGACTATAGATCAAGACCAAAGAAACCCAAACTATAAAGAGCCCCAACAGCTCAAATTATAAGGGGCGACATGACCATAAGCAATCGAGAGCCATAGAAGCTCTTGTAATATCAGAAATTACAGGAGCTCAAAGTATAAATAAGCCGCATGGCCATAAACCATCAGTTGTCATAGAAGCTCTTGAAATAATAGAAGTTAGTAGAACAGGAGCTCAAAGTAATAGCCACAGTACCATAAACTATCGCCAGCCATAGAAGCTTTTGAAATATCTGGAGCCACAGGAGCTTGAACTATCAGTAGCGATAAGAGCTCTTGTAATATCAGAAGTTACCAAGCCAAGGGAGCTCTGAAACTTTCAGTAGCCTCATGAGCTCGAATTATCGGAAGTAATTGGAACTGGAAGCATAGGAGATTGAAATATCAGGACCCATAAAAAGTTCTTTTAATATCAGGAGCGATCAGAGGCTTTGAAACTCGAAATGTCAAGAACCACAGTATCGTCCAATATCTTCAGCCGTAGAAGCTCAAACTACACTGAGAAGCAAAATAATAGCCGCCCTCGAATTATCAAAAGTGAATGAAACCGGAAGCATAGCAGCTCTTGAAATTTCAGGAGCTACAGGAGCTCAAACTTCAAGGAGCCACAGGAGCTCTCGATATACTGATGCAATATCAGGGCAACTTTGAATATCAGGAGACAGCATCTGGAATTATCAGGAGTAATTGGAAAAAGGTACTTGAAATATCAGGAGTCCTAGAAGCTCTGAAATATCAGGACCCATAGAAGCTCTGAAATATCAGGAGCCATAGAAGCTCTGAAATGTCAGGAGCTACACGAGGTCAAATTCCAATTATAAGGAGTAAATGGAAAAAGGTACTTGAAATATCAGGAGCCATAGAAGCTCTGAATTATCGGGAGCCATAGAAGCTCTAAAATGTCAGGAGCTACACGAGGTCAAATTCCAATTATAAGGGGTAAATGGAATTAGAATCATAGGAGCTTGAAATATCTAAAGATCAGCCCATAAGGAGGAAATGGAGATTGAAATATCAGGAGCCATAGAAGCTCTAAAATAGGAGCTACACGAGGTCAAATTCCAATTATAAGGAGTAAATGGAAAAAGGTACTTGAAATATCAGGAGCCATAGAAGCTCTGAATTATCGGGAGCCATAGAAGCTCTGAAATGTCAGGAGCTACACGAGGTCAAATTCCAATTATAAGGAGTAAATGGAATTAGAATCATAGGAGCTTGAAATACCTAAGGATCAACCCATAAGGAGTAAATGGAGATTGAAATAAAACCCATAGGAGCTCTTGAAATATCAAGGACTACAGCTCATAAAGTATCAGGAGCCATCGGATCTCTTGAAATATCAAGTGCTCTTAAAAGCAGTGAACGGCTTTTTTTACTACCCATATGACTATCGCCTTACCATCTTCTGTAAGGACACCAAAAGGATTTATTAACTATAGCTTTTTGTTGTTTATTTGTTTTTCGTTGCTTTTATCTTGTGTGTGACTGTGTTCTTTCTGTTCGCCCAGATGCATCTCTGGTGGAGGTTCAAGTGAGGCCGACCTGCCCCATACTTACAGAAGAGGGAAAAAGGGGGAAAAAGAAGAAAGAAGAAAAAAATACAAAAAAATCCGTTAGTTTGTAAACAAGTGGTGAAGTTGGACAAAACTTACAAAAACAATCCCATCACCCCACCCAATCTATTTTGTTAAATTACAAACAAAAAATTAATAATTAATTAATTTTTGTTTAAATAATTTCGAGGGGTTTATTTTTGTCTTCAGGGCGTAGCGGGCATTTTTCTCTTGTTTAATTAATTACTCAAACGTCATATCGAGGGGTGGAATATTATTAGTGAAAAATTGTTAATTTTTTTAAATTAATTAATTAGGGATAATAATTATTTAAAGTATCAACCGTCTTCTAAAGAGCTTCCCTCACCCCAAACGGGACTGGGCAGAGAATACCGCCCACCAAAAACTACCCCCTCGCCATCGCCCCCCGCGGAAAAAGTTTTCTTGTTTGTTTTTTTAAATTATTCAATTAATTAATTATTGTCTCGTTCGTGAGACCGAATTTTTGGAAAAATCTGTCGGCCGTTTCCCCCGTACGGAGATCCGCGGCACGCGCTGGTACGCTCCGAGCTCTCCGACGGCCTGGGAAAGCCAAAAAGGGACACAAAAAAGTATATAAATGAATTTTGAAACATTTACCAAACAAAAAACTTTTTTGAATTAATTTTTTATTACGAGAAAAGTGGTTTTTATTATTTATATGGAAAAAAGGAAATACCATACCACTTCCCCCACCACTTTACCCCCACTCTTGTCTTTTAATTTTTAAGCATACACATATAAATAGTTTTTGCGATTGTAAATAAATAGACAAAAAACTTATAAATATATATTTAGCGAAGGGAAAAAGAGAATATATTCCATTGTAGTGGAGGGTGATCACTTCCTTTTGGAACGTTTATTTTCATTCTCTTATTGTTTATAAGGAGAAATAAGAAGAAAAGCATCAGAGAAAACGTTTTTTCAATAAAAACGGTAAAAAGTATAAGTTAAGAACGAACGAAAAAATATGTTTAAAAAATATCCATTGTCTAAAAGGTTCTCCTTCTTTCTCCTTCTTATTTTTTATTTTTATTTATTTATTTATTTTTTTAAATAAAGGAAGAAAAGAAGAAAAAAGGTAGAAGAAATAAATAAAAAAATGCAAGGTTTAAAACAAGAAAGATAGAGGGGATTAATGCAGGGTCAACAGTTTTTACCTTCTCTTTATTTACTTTTTTATTTTATTTTGTTTAACGAAGGAAGGCATCAAAGTTGTTTGTGGGTGTTGGTCTGCACATTCTCTAACAAAAGTTGGAAAAATTGACTAATTTTCCCATTACTTTTTAACCGATTTCCCCCACCCTTACTGTAATTTCCCCCAGCTCTTTGCATTGATTCCCCTACTTTAACTGATTTACTCCCACTCTTACAGCGATTTCCCCTCTACTTTTAACGGTCCCCCTCTTAACTTTAACTGATTACTCCTACTTCTTTAACCGATTACACCTTCCCCTACTCATCCCCCCCATTCGTTACACTGATTCCCCCCTAATTTTCAACTGATTTACTCCTAAACTTATATCGATTAATATCACCCACTTATTTTAAATGATTACCCCTATAAAACTAGTCATTTTTTCTCTTTTATTTATCCTTCTTTCCATTCAAATTCTTTTTTTGTAAAAAACATGAAATGTATATATGTATATACACGTATACATATATAGTTTGTTTTTCTTGAAGAGTATTTTTTTTAATACACATACGACCAAAAAGAAAAAAATCTGTCTTTCAAACAAAAATATATACACTCATTTATTTATAAACAGTTGAACTGTTAATTCTCAATTTGTAAATAAAAAAAAATACTAATAAATTACTTATTTTTTTAAAGAGACCCAGGCGGTTGGTTTCTTGTGTAGATTGGTTTTTTTCTTCTATTGTGTGTACTGTGTTACCATTTTCAAAGAGTGGGGCAGGTGGGGGGGTAAATATTTTCCTTTTTTTTTAAATTGATTCGGAAAAAATATTTATATATATTCAAATATTATGTATATACCCTATCTGATGTGATCTAATTTTTTTTTTTTTTTTTTACTTAAAAAAACGACAGAAATCTCCTCTCCTCCCCCCCACAAACAACCCTTATATATTCATATGTCATTTTAAAAAAATATGTACAAAAAACAAAAAAGTGAACGCCCTCGAGAGTTGAAAAATATTTTAAAAAACACATTACCAAAAAAAAATTAAAATAAAAAAATGGACAAACCAAAAAAAAAAAATCGTGCAAACTTTTGTATAGATTGTATAATTTAGAGAGATCGATGTCGAACCCCTTTTAGCAGAGAGACGAGATTAATTACAAATAATAATTTTTTTTAAATTAATCAACTAATTTCCTCTACTATTTTACCTATTATCCCCACTCTAACACTAATTCCTCCTACCATCCCCAACTTTTTAACTTATTCCCCCTTGTACTCTACACCACCGATCCCCCCTCCTCTAATATTTAACTGTTTACCCCCACCCTTGTCCCCTAATTTACCCCCACTTTTACACTTATTTCCCCTGTTCTTTTAACCGCTAACCCCCTCCCTTACAGCGTTTTCGTATGAGGGGGGAATCAAGAGCCGACTATATACAGACATATTATTATGTAAATATTATAAGTGTGTATATAGTTTTGGAAAAAGATCGATCATTAATATTAAACAAAAATACACTTCCCTCCTCCCCCCACCACCTATCTTAAGGATTAACTACTACCCTCCTTTTTTTGTGGAGAAGATAGTTAGGCGTGAGCTTATCTTGTAAATAATTTATATTTAAGAAAAAAAATTTAAAGAGAAAAAAGCGCCCAAATTATTTAAAAAATAATTTATACAAAAACCAACAAAAAAATAAATACAGACACTCGGTGTTGTAGAAGAAAGTTTATGTAAATAATCACCCCTTTTAAAAATTAAAATTTAACAAAAAAAAAAGAAGATATTTATATATATATTGTACAAATATATATATACAATATTTATAATTCTTTGAAAATTTTCTGGTATTGTTCAAGAGAAAAAATGAGAGGAAGAAAATGTTAAATAATGTATTATTTAAAAATTAAGTGAGAGAGAGAGAAAATAAGAAGAAATTTTTAAAAAAGAAAGAAAAAATATACAAAAAAAATATATAAACAGTTTGAAGGGGTATATCCCTGCCAACAGTAAAAAAATAAATAAAAATAAAATTATATTAAATAATAATTTTAGTTGTTTTTTGCATCTTCCTACCCACGAACAACAAATCCCGTTTCCAGGTGGTGCTGAAGAAGGACAATTGATCGAAACATACAAAGAATTAAAAAAAAGTCATGAACAATTGCCCCCAAGTGGCCAACTACCCATATCTAAATGACAATGAGTACCTACCTTAGTGAATGAGGGGACAAACTACCAGTACCCCCCCTAAATGTGAATATCTGCCCCCCCTTCAAAAGTGAATGGAATCCCTCCCAGAGAGAAATCACTAGAACAACAAATCACTAGAATCTGGAGTGTAAATCAGGAGCTCACTCTAGGCGTGAATGACACCTGTCGAGGAGACTAAGGTTTGAAATAAAACAATTTCGAATAGAAAATAAAAAATACTCAAATGTACATAATAATTTTATTTAATAATAATTATATATATAATAATATATATAAAAAAGTAAAATTTTTTACCCTTTTGTGTTTTTGTTCTTTTTATAGGCTTTTAACTATGATTTTATTAACTTTTAAAGAAAAAATAATAACTGATTATATATATTTTTTTTTGTTTACCATCTTTGAAGCGAGTTAAAATTTTTGTATCTTACAATATAATTTATAATAGTCCACAGAAACAATTTTTTTATGACCTTTTTCTAAATAAAATTAATTAATTTAAATTTATCATTAATTCTAAGGGGAAAAAATTGATCGTCTTATAATTTTATATNCAATTTTTTATTAAAATTAAAAAGAAAAAAATTGACTAAATAAAAAAGAAATTACAATTTTTTTTAGTGATTTTATGGTATTTTATTAATAATAATTAAACTAAAAGGAAGAGGGTTTTTTTAATATTTTTTATAGTTAATAATTTTTACAAACTAAGCTTGGAGGAACGAGCTGGGGGGGAAGCCGCAGGACGAGAGGACGTCGTATGAGAGAATGGGGGTATAAGCGTCCATATTATTTTTTTATACAAAAGGCACAAACGGACTCCCCGTAATTTCGTTTATTATAAAAATATTCTTTTTTATTTTCCTCTCAGCGTACGCCCTCCGATACTCGACTAGTCTAATAATTAATTTTTTTTTAACGAGATTGAGATCCGATTTTGTTTTAACATTAATAACCGTATGGGGGAGTGGGTGGAATTTTTTTGCCGTTTTTCTAGACTAGTACTTACAAAATTAACTACAAAGCTTTCACAGCCGTTGTTAAAAAAAAAATAATAATAATAATTTTTTTCTTAACACAATTTATAATAACACATATATATACTACTATCATTCAGTATTTATAACATTAAAATAATTAAAAATGCGAAAAGACCCAAAATCCAAAAAATTTTAATTATTTTCCTTAATAAAGTTTTTGTTTAATAATAATTATATACATTAGATATTATTTACAGCCAAACAAAAATTGTTTAAATATATATAATAAATTCTTATTTTACCAAGTTGAAAAATAAAAGGCAGTTTTGCTGTTTTTTTGTTCAGGTTTTTTTTTTGGCCCCCTCGTAGAAAAAACTTTGTTTACCCCCTAGTTCTATTCATTTTTTTCCATTTTAAGTATGCAGGTGTTTGAAATTTCCCCTGCTGCAGGGGGAGACTGCAACACAACCGGTAGCTGCTTCTTACGGGGGACGTTGAGCTGGCGGAGGGCTGCCTCCGCTTTCGCCCTCACCATCGGACCGACTGTCGCCTTCTTCTGCGTACGACCTCGGCTCCTTTTCGCCGCAGGCCTCCTGTCTTTCGGGAGCAAATCGCCAACTGCAATTTAATATAAATAAATAAAAATATCAAGCAGAATTGAATTTGAAGAAAACACTGACTGGGAGGTGAGTCGAGCGAGACACTACGCTCAAGCGTCCTGCACATCGGGGCGGTCGAGGAAGACGAGGACGACGTGCCTTCGATAGATGGACGCCGGTTCCTGCTGTGGTCCTCAATCCTGTGCTTCATCAATTCATGAAGTGTTGTAAAACTCAGGCCACAATCTATTAAAATAATAATAATAATAATAATGAAATTATTTTGTTTTTTACCATCAGAAAAATAAGAACAAACCTGAACAAGTCGGGTTCCATTCATGCTCTGTGTTTCCTTCGCTAGTCGACCCCGTTGGTGATGGTGCCTCCCTCCAATCTACAAAAATAATATATATATAAATAAATGAAATTTTAAAACTCAAAATTTCATTATTTTATTATTATTTGTGCAATTACCGTTATCGTACTCCTCAAAATCATTATAGACAGAGGAAAATTCCTCGTGCTGGCAGAATGTCCTGTGTGCCAAGACTTCGTGTTTGTTACGTGACGAAGCCAGAGAAAATCTGAAGGAGAAAAAAAAATCTAAAAACTAATAACATTTTAGCAAAGAAAAAGGGAAAAGAAATTGGCTAGTTTTTATCATACAACTACAACAAAGCCATACGGGGTTTTAGTTGGAAGGTTATCAAACTGTTATAAAGTGCATTATGAGCCCTTAAGTACATTGGAAATCTCAACTTATCCGACTTTCCCTCCGGTAACAGACAATGGGAAAGCTCTTTCCGTGTGTCACTTAATCCCACGGTGAAATGGACCAGTTGTCTAGGTGAAGGTGGTTGGCAGAGGGAATAAATGAACAGAGATGTTTCCTCTGGGAAGGTCATGTTTGTTGTTATAATAACTACTTGATTTCCCATGTCAACAGAATGAACTTCACAAAAATCCGTTCAAGATCTCACCGACACTGGTTTGGTCAGCCGTGTTCCGTCGGTTTTTTACATTGGTTAGATTTTGATGGTAACCATTGTTAATGCTTGAAGGTAATCAAACTGTTATAAAGCTCATGAGCCATTAGGTAGATGAAAATCTCGAGTTCTGATTTTTCATCCAGTGAAACAGGCAAGCTGTCTCATTCGAGGTCTCGCCAAATCCAACATTGAAAAACTTCGGCAGATTTGGCAAAGATTGGTGATGTAGAAATAAGCTAATAGATGAAAGGTTTCACCTGGGTGGGTTATGCTGTGTTACAGGAGGTAATGAAACTTATAAACCGATTTTGCAAAGCAACCCAAATCGATTTTATACTTTTATAGAAAATGAGATGTTCATGTACTTACTTCTGTCCACAAATGGTGCAGCTGAAGGGTCGAGACACTGTCGGTTTGAGTGACACGTCATCCATGTTCGGCTCTTGTTTTTCACCCATTTTCAGTCTCATGAATAACTCTCTCGTGCTGAAAAGGAAAAAAATTTAGTTAAAAACCAAAGAAAAATTGTTTCAAAGGGGCAAACCTGTGTTTCCCTGTCCCTTCTCGCCTCCGTACAGAGCATAGCCTGGTAAGCAGTTCCACAGCGCCTCCCGTCAGGCTGAAAGTTTAAAAAAAATCAAAATTTTATTTACATCCCACGAAATTCGCTTAAGGAACAAAGAAAGCTTACGGGTTTTCGTGTTTGATTTTGGCAGAGAGTAGGTTGTTCACAGCCTTGTCGAGAAGGTCACCAAGTGCAGATGACATCTTGCTCTTGAGCCTCTCGCCTCCGACCGGCCCGTTGCTAAAAATAAGAAATAAAAGTCAAAACGGAAATATCTCAGCAAATGCAAATGCGTACATAGGGTCGCCCGAGACGGTTGAACACTTCGATATGTCTGACGGGTCGAGCTGGTGGTCGTTTTCGAGGTGGGCCGACATTATGTTGCTCGGAAGGATTTGAAGACACTCGTAACAGACGAGGCGTGAGCCCACCGAATTCAGCACGACTCTCCTCGTCAACGCTGCCGTCACTGCGTTAAAAAAAATAATGAATAAAAAATAATACTTACACCTAACCATGCAAGGTAAAAATAGAGCCTTATACTAAGGCAGAAGCATGAAAACCGACAAACAAAAATCATGATAAATCATAACTGTCGCCTGTAAAGTATGATGAAAGAAATACAACTCATGCACTTGAAAGTTATTATCTTTTGGGGGAGGAAAACGTGCCATGCAACTGGAGCTATTAAGTACGAGGTTAAAACTGCGGAAAAACCTTCCACCCAACTGACATTTTAATTTATTAATTTTATTAATTACTTATATAATAAATCATCCTAATTTTATATTTTAAAAATCATGGATATAAGGCCAAAAACAAATTTGAAAGAAGAAACAGTTCCTTTGTAGCTGGTATAAAATAAGAAGTTAATCAAGGTTTGCCATAAATTGTAGAGTCAAGATCAGAGAGAGTAGAGCATCAAACAAGGAGTCTTGAGGTCAAAAGAGTCAAATCAAGTCCAGGAAGGGGAGAGAGGAGTCTAGTCGAGACCGGGGAGTTGAGTCAAGACCAGGGAGAGTCGAGTGTGACCAGGGAGTCAAATCAGTACCAGAGAGAGTCGAGACGTGGGAGAGTCCAAGTGTGGTCAGGGAAAGGAGAATCAAGACCAAGGATTTGATTCGAGACCAGAGAGAGTTGAGTTTGAACCTAGAAGCGTCAAGTCTGGACCAAGTCGACATCAGGGAATTAAGACAAGACCAGGAAGAATCTAATCAAGTCCAGGTAATCAAATCAAGACTATGAAGGGAAGAGTTGAGACAGACCAGGGGAAGTCTATTGATTCAAATCCATTCAAACAGAATCTGGAGTACCTAAGTATGAAGAATGAAATGGAACTAAACGCTAATTTTTTCTTCTTTCCTTTCGAATCGGCCTTCATATACATGATTTTTCAACCCAAAATTATAACAAACTCCAATATTAATAAGACAATAAATTATTATAGAAATTTTTTTCTTTCAAAATTTTTATTTATTTCTTCTTTTGTTAAAACTTACAATCCAATTTATTAGTTCCAGCCAGGCCCTTTTTTCCACCTTAAAGACAAAACAGAAATTTTCGTTTTAAAATAAAATATATATATTGCGCAAAAAAAAATAAATAAATAAATAAAAAAAAAAAATAGGCGACTTTTTATTTTTTAATAAATTTAAATGAAAAAACAGCAGGCGCATTCCTTAATTTTTTCATTACAACCATGCTGGACATTTTTTAAATATATATCCAGTTGTATTTTTTTAATTTATTGCTATTTTAATTGTTTAATGATCATGAAAACTTACCAATATTGACCAGTTGTGAGCTTTGAATAATAAAAAGAGAAAAAAAGGAGAGTTTAAATTTAAAAACGCCATGAGGGAATGTTGTTCTTGCAATGTTTTTTTGTTTGTTTTTTAAATTTTATTTGTGATTTAAAATTAATCTTACCATGTGCGGTGTCTTGGCTTGCGTGCACCGTGTTGACGTGTTTCTGCAGCGCCTGGAACCCCATGAAATGGGACGAGCAGGACGGGCAGACGACCTCCTTCCCGTTGTAGGCAGCGAGGAGCGATGTGCTCGAGCTGAGCCTTGGCGAAGGAGGACGCCGACACAAAGGCTGTGCGTGGAATGAAGAAGAAAAAAATGATAATCCTATAAATCTTCTAATTTAATAATTTCAGCTTACATTCTTCGGCTCGTCGCGGAGGAAGTTGCGAGGCTTGTAGAAGGAATTGGGCACGGCAGAAGGCGACTCTTCATTCTGCGGTTCAACCACGCTGCTCGAAACAACCGGCTGCTGCTGTGGTTGGTTGTCAAGGTCCATGATACAAGTCTCACCCCACTCCTCCTCAGGGAGTTGCAAAGTGGATTTGTCGTCAATTTCCTCCTTTAAATAAATTTTTTTAAATTAAATTTAAAAAACTGCTATAACCCTTATAATAATAATATAACTAAAAAAAAATTCAACTAAAAATGCTTAAAATAATAAATGAAACCTACCATTTTATTAGAGTAGTTGGAATCCCAAAATTCTATAAGGCCATCAAATTGATTTTTTTTTTTTTAATTTCCATGTTAGTTTCCTCAAAAACTCAAATTATTCTAATACTTTTGTATATGGCTTTTCCAAAAAGGCTGACATCCTATCCTAGCTAATAGTTTCAAATGAAAACCCTTAAGTGTTTTATAATAGGTTGAGTTCATAACTGGGCAATTGACTCACTGATATAATGAGTCGGTAACTGAGTGAACTACTAAGTAATCGAGTCACTGATATAATTAATTAATGGTGAACTACTAAGCAATCAACTCACTGATATAATTAATACGTAACTTTGTGAACTACTAAGTAATTGAGTGAACTACTCAGTAATCGACCCACTGACCTAAATAATTAGTAACTGAGCAAATTACCCAATAATCAACTCACAGTTATGAGTTATGGAATGTATTGCATTATTACCATCATATCATCAGTTTTGTTTTGAAGCCAGCAGTGTAATTCAGTAATCTTACACCGATAGAATGCATTTGTAACTGATTGAACGAGTGAACTACTCAGTAATAAACTCACCGATATGAGTTAGCGAGTGAAAAAGTGAACAGTAATCAACTCACTGATAGAAGTTAATGAGCAAAAAAGTCGACTATTCGGTAATCAAATTACTGATAGAACAAGTTAATAATTTTAAGAAATTTAAAAAAACTATTAAAGATCAAAAAATAAAAAATGTAAATTACATTATTACCACCATACATTGGCCAGAGTTACATATGTGATGAGCATGTCGGGATAGGTTCATACTGATGCGGAAAATGTGTTCGATTGTGCCTGGCACAAGGGCTAATTTTTAAATTAAAACATAACCAATTCCTTAAATATTTAATTCATTTAATATACAATTATTTATCTATTAGGAAGTTTATGTCCAACTTGTATGAAATGTACGATAATAAATCATAATTAATGAAGAAAAAATCTAGGGTCCCCAAAGGGTCAGTTTTGGGCCAAACAGTAATTGATTCACTGATAGAATGCATTTGTAATTGAGCAAACTATTCAGTAATCGACTCACTTATAGATTGAATTAGTAATTAATTGATTCATGAATATGAGTGTAATTTAGCAAACTACTCAGTAATCGACTCAGAGTAATATATTAGTGAGCGAACGAATGAACTACTCGGTAATCAACTCACAGATGAATTAGTGAGGAACAAGTGAACAGTAATCAACACACTGATAGAATGGGTTAGTAATTTTATGAAATCAAAAACAAAAAACTATTAGAGCTTTTTTTATCTAATAGGAATTTTCTTGTTCAAATTTACAATAATAAATCATAATTAAGAAACAAAATCTAGGGTCACCCCAAGGGTCAGTGAGTTGGTAACTGAGCAAACTACTCAGTAATGCATAAAAGACCAATACTGGTCGCAGTGCACAGGCCATAAAGAGGACGGCTCGGTTCCTGTATAATCTAAAACTACTCAGTAATCGTGTCAGTGAGCTAACGAGTAAACTTCTCAGTAAACGACTCACAGATGTGAGTTGGTTATTGAGCGAACGAGTGAACTATTCAGGTATCAACTGATAGTTAGGATGAGTTAACAACTGATTCAACTACTCAGTAATCAACTCTCAGATTGAATCAGTTAAGAACTGAGGACCCACCAAGTTGTTAGTGAGCAAACCTGTTACAGTTAATTAAGGTTTTTAGTTGAGATGGAAAAAAGTTAATGGCACGAGAGGGATTCGAACCCACGACCTTCGGCTAGATACGCTGCTGCTCTACCACTTGAGCTATCATGACCTCGATCCACTCGGACACCAACTTCCTAACTCAACCCCACCTTTTGAGTTTTCCCTCCTTTAATTTATATAGGTAATGAATAGGTAATAACTATAGGCTTACAGATGCAAAATACAATTTTTTTTTTTTTTTTTATATAACTTTGTACTGTCACATACCGCAAGAAAGAAATATATCAGTGTGACTTAAGACTGAATATGTTATAACAGGTCTTCGAAGGAAACCTTCCATCTAAAGCTTATAGTCATTCCTAAGCTAGCATTATGCTAATACTCAGATTTCAGCCTTTGTTATAATTTTGTACTCTAAAATCATAAGGCAACACAATAAGAAAGAAAAGCTCATTATTGCAATTTAGGTCAGGTAATATAAAATATATTGGCTTTTTTGAGAATAGGATAACCAGCAGGAGGTTATAATTATGACAGAACAGACAGGTTTTTAGACTATCGCATTACACGTCAATTCATAAAAGTGTGTTTAAACTTTACGCAAATATTTGTCAAAATTGTAAATTTGTTGACAACAGTTTTAAAAATCTATATGAAAGGCTATTCGTTGAAAGGAACCATTGATTTTTGTTTAAAAAAAAAAAAAAGAAAGAAAAAGAACTCTTCGTTACAATTCATTTCTCAGGACCTTAACATATTCGTAAATCTAAGAGCATAATCACTGCTTTTCCAAAGCCACTGCCTAAAACAAGGCATCAAAATTTTGAAAGAAGGATGGAATAGAAGTTAACGTACATACTCAATATATACAGTTGTGAGTGAATATTGCCCAGGAACCGGGTCACTTATCTTTTGACATATTTGCCAATAAAAATTTAATTTAAGAAACGTATTTTTACTCAAAAATTTGAAAAAATAAAATAAAGAGAAAAAAACAATGGAAAAAAAGAAAAGATGTTATATCTATAACCTTCGTATAACCTTCTCATAATAACAATAACATCAAAGAAATCACCAACTGTTTCAAATTCATGCCTTTTTCCGCACAGTTTGTAATTTCTTTAACGGTATCCTTTAAAAAAATAAAAATGAATAAATTATTAAAAATAAATAAAAATTTGTACCGACCTGGAGACACGACGCCTCGCCGAGCTGTTGTAGAACTGCCATTTCGGCGTCTGAAGCGCCCATCGCCCTCTGCAGGTCGGCGAGGCTGTACTGGGGCAGCCCTAGGGGTAGGTAAGTGCTCTCCGGCTCGTTCAGCAGCTGTACAAAAAAAAAAAAAAATACTTTTTGGTAAACAAAAGGCGACTCGGTAATTAATGACAAACTCTCACCGAAATCCTGAATATCCCGGGCACTCAACAAATCTTGGCCATTGTTCGAATTATTGCAATTGGGGGTTGATAGGTGGATAGGATCGGTGAGTGAAATGAGTCGATTCCTGAACGATTGGCTGATTAGAATCAGTGAGCGAAACACCGAATATAAATGCGAATATAAGCCGCATCGGTGAGTAGCAAGCTCACTGACAGCATGAGTTGGTAACTGAGCGATCGATTACAACTATTCAGTAATATACTCACTTTAACTTAGCAAACGAGTGAACTATTCAGTAATCGACTCACCGATATGAGTTAGTAACTGAGGCTAACTGAGCCAGTAATCGGCTCACTGAGAGAATTAATTAGTAACTGAGTTAACTACTCAGTAATCGGCTCACTAAGAGAATTAATTAGTAATTAAAACTAACTACTCAGTAATCAACTCACTGGTAGAATGAGTTAGTCATTGAGTTAACTACTAATTAATCGGCTTACTGATAGAATGAGTTGGTAACTGAGCTAACTACTCAATAATCGGCTCAGTGAGAGAATTAATTAGTAACTTCGCGAACTATTCAATAATCGACACACCGATACTACGAGTTAGCAACTGAGTGAACAAGTGATTTATTCACGCGCCAAAGAGTTCAGTCAGGTCGAGAATTAGTAGCTGAGTGAATTACCAAGGCTCTTAGAGAGAACTAATGAACGAGTCGCTGAGCGGATAGGTCTTAAAGTTGAGTAGCTCGCTCACTGATAGAATGAGTTAGTAACTGAGAAAACAAGGTCAATGGCCAAAGAATGAATGATTGAGTGAATGTAAAAGTGAATGGCTCACTCATAATTCTTCAAGTTGGTGCAATTAATTTTAACTTATGCAAGCCGTTAAGTGGTCACATTTTCCAATTTAAAAATTTATGATGTATTTATTTTTATTTTTTATTTAAACCGATTTTTCATAACATAAGGCATATTCTTCATAGTTAAATTATTATTTTTAAAAAAATTAAAAAATAGGCTTGTATGGTATAAATTGCATTTATTCTTATATTCAAGAAATAAAATTATCAATATTAAAATCTACTGAATGGTTTTTGTTTATTTTGGTCTTAAAAAAAAAGAAGAAGAGGCAAAAGTAGAGAAAGAAAAGTAAGACAATTCAAATGTACAGACCCAAAAGAGTAGAAGAAAAGGAAAATTGTTAAAATTCTATTTGTTTTAGCCTCATCCCTTCCCAATACAACTGCAAAAGTGGGATTAAACAGACCTTGTTTACGGAGTCTATGATTGTGCCCAGGCTTGGCGTCTGCTGCTCGAGTACGGGCAACGATGGGATGGCAAGGGCCGTCGACGAAGTGGACGGGCTGGGCGGCCTGGGCTCGATGTAAGGCGGCACCTGGAGCCAAGAATCGCTCGGCGGCCAGTCGTAGCTCGGCTCCGGCTTCGGCGGGCTGTTGGCTAGCTCTGACACCTCCCACGAAAAGCCAGCGATCTTCACGACCTCTTTGACACTCCCATGTGCCTTCTTCGCCTTGCGCTTCTTCTTGAGCATTTTCATTTTCTGAATAAGGGTTTTCTTCTTTTTAAGCTTTTTCTTCCGTTTCGCCTTGTCCTGCGACTGGGGTCCGTCGGGGTCGTCAGGCCGATCGTCATCGTCGGGAGGCTCTTCTTTGATTTCGATGACGGTTGGATCTTCGGACGGTTCTTCTTTGATAATCACATCGGGCAACTGTGACGACACGACTTCTGCATCTCCATCAGCATCAGTGTCTTCTATAATTTCAGTCTGTTCTTCAAGTTTGACACGTTTCCTCACGTCATCATCATCCGGTTCTGCCTCAGCATGTTTTCTTTTGGCCGGCTCGGGATGCACTTCGACTTGTACGACTATGGTTGTCCTGTCTGGGCTCTCATCGCGTTTTCGAGGCTTCCTCTTTACTACAGGCTTGGGTGACAGGGGCCTCTGCCTGGGCTTAGGCACCTCCTCAAATGGTACGATCTCATCTTCTGTACTATACAGCATGGCTGTCAGAACAGGCTGAGGTAGGGGCTGGACCTGTGCCTCGACTGGCTGCGCTGTCTCTAAGGTCGGTTCGCCGTTCTGTCTGCTGTTTCTCGCCGACCTCCTTTCTGGCTGTTCACCTTTCCTCTTTGTCTTGGCGCCAAACGGCCGGCCTCTCTTCTTCTGACTCTCATCGATTGCTTTTACAGTCTTTCTTTGTTCCTTTTTCTTTGATATGGTTTTGGCGCCATCAGGCATTTGACTTGGTTCACCTTCAACCCTCCTTCTGACTTCTTTCTTCCTGGCTGGTTTCTTCTTCTGTGTCTTTTTTTTCTTTTCAGTCTTTATCTCTAATTTCTTCTTTTCTTCTTCTTCTTCCTCCTTCTCCTCCTCTTTTTCTTCTTCTTCTTCTTCCATTCTGTCTTGTTTTTCATTCTCAACTTCGTCTTTCTGTCTTTCTTCCTGTTCTGACTTTTCATCAAGGTTCCTGTCAACCTGGCTCCGCCTCACAGGGCCATTGGGCACTTTGCCACTGTCTAGGGTCTTCCTTGTCCTTCTCTTTTTGATGTTGGAGTCAGCCTCGGTGGTTACCTTTCGTTTTTTCGACCTGGACGAGTCATCACTCTGTAGATTGTCAGTCTCTTGTGAAATCGACGATAGAGTCTCGTATTTGATGAGCCCATCTACAAAGGAGATGCCGCAGATGAGGTCACCCGTGTCCTCTTTCTTATCGACCTTTTTCGCCTCTGGGACAAGGACGGGGATCTCAGATGAATTGACTGGTGCCATGTCCTTTTCGATTTCTAGCTTGGGCATCTCGTCGCAAGAGTGTTCGATGAGGGCGAGCAGATAGGAGAACGACCTAGAGCAAGTCTTACACCTGTGTTCGGTGACTTGGCCGCATTCGCGGAAATACGCGCAGCTTTTGTGGTGTTTTCTGAGTGACACCTTGGACTCGAACACCTCACCGCAGCCGGCACAAGGCAGACCGGGGCTGTTCTCGTCTCGCTTAACGCCGAGGACTTTGTCCAGGATCTGGCGCGGCTCAAGGAGCTCCTCACGCGGTGTCGTGACCGGCATCATGCGAAGGCTCGACAGGACGTCTCCTCGTTCAGCGGATGTGTCGATCAGATCTGTCTCCTTCACTGGGATCGACGGATCCTTCTCTTCTTTTGGCTTAAGGCTAATCTTGTTGCCTTTCGCCTTCTGCAATTGTTGCTGCTGTTTCTGCACTGTTGGCGGTGGTGGCACCTGCACAAAACAAGTCACATTCAAACTAAACCCAATAATTTTATTCCAATAAACAAAAAACAAAACAAAAACAGTAAAAAAAGTTTTAAATTTTCCTTCTATGGATGCCTTTTGAAATAAAATTCATTTTACCTTGTTCCTTTTCCTCAAAACTCGGTTCTGCATGCGAAAATAAAACAAACACACATAAATGCATTGGCCTTTCAATTCAACAACACTTTTATAACATATTTTTGATAATATTAATATACGTGAATGAACGTGTGATTACTTGAAAGAATGACAAGTTAGTAGAAAAAATGCGTGAATGACCGGCTCAATTAAGCATGTCGTGAATGAGTTAGAAAAATTTTCATTGGGTTTCAAGAAGTAATAAAATAGGTGTATGAATGACTGTCATGTCACGTTTAGCCAGTTGGAGAATGTGTTAGTGAATGACTAATTGTGTTACTCGAAAGAATGACAGATAGCGGAACACAGCCTGCTATGGATGTGATTCAGGTTAACTCAGAGAATGACAGCTTGTTTGATGTGTGACTGGCATAATCAACCTTTCGGCGAATGAGTGGAGTTAACCAAGAGAATATGAGTGTGTAACTAACGTAAATTTTCACATTTTTGCATAAATGACAGCTGGGGCTTATTTCATAACGAAAGTTTGTTTCATAATAAAAGAAAGTACAAGTTGTAAAGTTGAAAATGGAAGAAAAATTCATTAAAATAAAAGTAATTCCGTTTCATAAAAAGTCACAAATATTTATAAAATACCTTTCTTTATTTATACTAATAATACAAGTCTCAGATTAAATGTATTATCAATGTATTTCTGCAAATTTTCAAATGTTAGATTAATTTTGTTCTCTGCATTTTAAAATTTTAGATTTACTTTTCAGTGATGATGAATGAATTGTTAGAGATAGAAAAACCTACAGAACATGGATCAATTTTGACTTTTATGTCTTTTTTTTATTATTATTTAAAGAATGGTTCAGAATGTCATACCAACTCGAGTCACTATGGTGGAAACATGGCTACTAAAAAAAACTCTATGACAAGGGGCAGCACTTTCAACAAAACAAACACTGCATTACATTGTTTGTTTGTTTGTTTTCTTGAAAGTTTTTCGACACGACACACAAGAATGACAATTACACAGAAGACAAACACTTTGAGCCCTGAAGATGATCTCAATAAAGATCGAAACGTTGGCATAATAAAGAAAATGTTTTTCTGAAACCTACATCACATCAGACCGCATCTCACGATTTCTAAATAAATATCGATTAACGGTCACTAACCACCACACATTATTAGTAGCATTATGAAATAGGCTCCTGGTAGAACGGGTGGGGTATTTGTGAATGACTGGCTCAATCAACCTATAAGTGAATGACTGATTTGGGGTTACTTGAAAAAATAACAAACTGGTAGAATGGACGTGTAAATCCATGTTGGTGAATGACTGGATTATTTGTGAGAATGGCAGCAAGTAAGAATGTGTGAATGACTAACTCAAATTATCATGTTGGAGAATGATTGTGGTTATTTCAAAGGATAAAAAATCTTGTTGAATGTGTGTGCTTATTAGCTTATTTGGCCTGGTGTGAATGGCTGATTAGGTTAGTCAAGAGAATGACAAGCCGGTAGAATGAATTAATGAATATGTGCTGATTACTTGATAGACAGTCAGTTGTAGGGTGTGAATGATTGAATGATTAAGAGTTATTGAGTGAATGATTGGCTGTATCACAAATCACAAGATCAACATATTATGATGATATTAACTTAGGATTAATTAGAAAGTTTTTTTTTAACTTACATTCTGAATTGTTGACTGACTCCTTGTTTTCAAGTCCATTTCATCAAATCCGACGACTCGCCGTGTCAACCTCTTAGGCGGTAAGTTGGCAATCATTTTCTGGATTGAATCAGCTGGGGGAAAGAAAAATTAATAAACCCATTTAAAAAAAGTCATGGTGTTAGTAAAATAATTGCTTACTATCGCCAGGTTTGCTGCGCAGTTTCACCGGCCGGTGCGGCGTCGAAGGTATGTTCCTCTTCAGCCCTCGCCTCCCCCTCCGCTTCTTCTTCCACTTCTTCTTCTTCGGGGTCGGAAGCCATGGCTGAACCACGACTCCGGCGCAGGCGAGGATGTGTACATGAAGTTCGCCCCTTGTCTGGAATCCATCGGCACCACATTTTGTACACTTGATATCGGCTATGGGCTCCGGAGTCGGGAGACTCGGCCCTTTAAACGGCGCCTCAACCGGTGCTAATCTTGTGTATATCTATTAAAAATATATATAATTGTTGGATTGTTATACAATTACTTCTGATGGCTAGGCTTAAGGCCTAGGGACAGAAAGGATACAGACTAGATATCCCTCTTGTCTATCTTTTAAGATAATGACAGCACTGAAGTATTATCTTTAGATTTTTTTGGTACTTACGGTGTATGAAAGCGTTTTTTGATCTCCGACCAATTCATGCTGAGGGCAGTGTATGCCAGGATGTGCCTCGTATTTGTGATCCTCCATTGTCCACAGGCAAGGCGTCTCCCATTTGCAGACACTGCATATGTAAGTGCGATCGCGGACCCACTCGCCGCTCAGCTCACCTAGGGTGTGCTCCTCCTGTTCAGCATTGACCTGTCCATACGACTCGGCGCACTTGGCACCCAGCCTCTCTAAGGCGAGCACAGTCGGAACGTCTTCCCCAAACTGCTCTTTCGAAGGGCTCGACTCAAGGTTCTGCAGGTTTTTACGCATAATGAGCTGTGTCGATATGTCGAGGTAAGACATGTCTTTTATATACGAAGTCAGACCGCATCGGCCATCATAAGTTTTCGGAAAGCTGTACTTCTCCCAAGGCACTTTGGTCCTGTTGACGACTTCTGGCTCTTCAGCAAGCCGCTGGTTGAAACCAGCGGAAAAGTTGAGGAAAGTGCGCGACGGAGGCATTGGCTCGTTTTCTACCGAGTCTTCGGTTGTGTCCAATTTGCCGTCGAGGTGGTGCATCAGGTTCTCCCTGACATTGAGCGATACCTGACTGTAAAAAATGGTCTCAGCATCGACCCTCTTTTCAGTCTTCTCGACCCTCTCGAATGGCTTTGATTTCTTAATTTTAGGCGGCTTTGGCGGTTTCTCAGGAACGCACTTGTGACCTTTGAAGCAGCCTTCAATTAAGAATATTCTGCTGCAGGAATCGCATAAGAAATGATCTTTTTCCTGTATGAGGGATGACGTACGCCTTGACAACAATGCCATCTCATCCTTCTCTAAATTGTGTTTCACATCCATGTGCTTCTTGAGTTCAGGCAAATTCAAGAAACGCTCTTTACAGGAAAGACAACCGAAATACTTCATCGGATGGTCATCAAGAAGATGGGTAAAAAGGCTTTGATTACTCGTATAGTCTTTCTTGCAAAAGGCGCATTTATGGGAGCGTCGTAAATACGGATGGGCGCTGAGTATATGGTTTCTTTTTTTACCAGCAGTCAGGAAAGTCTCATTGCAGTATAAACAATGGTGTAAGTTGGCAGCTATGATCATAGTCGTATCAGGTGTTGGGGATTTTGTTTTTTCCTTTTTCTGTTCATCCTCTACAATCGTAGTCGGATTGTTACTCGCCTCGTCTGAGAAATTATAAACCGATTTGATTTTAACCAGGTCGGGGTTTTCATCTTCTTTCTTTGCAATGGGGGACGAAGGAGAATCTTCTTTCCTTTCGTCATTCCTCTGACCTGGTTTACACGTTTTCTTATGCCTTACATAGACCTTTCTCCATTTGAATGTCATACTGCACGACTCGCACTTGTAGTTTTTGAGGCCGCGGACTTGCTTGCTGAGTTCGGTGAGCGGCGGATGGTCCATTAAGTGTGACTTGAGGTCGTTGCGCGTCGGCAAGCATTGGCGACACGTATGACACCTGAACAGCAACCTCTCGCCCGCCTCCTCCTGTACAGCCTCCGGCTGTATGTTGTACACTTCCATCTCCCTGTCCGGTATGTATTTACGGGCGATGTGCAACCTGAGGTAATGCTTTTTAAGCATGTGTGAGTGATGGTAGACAGCGGAGCATATGTCGCAGGAATAGACCTTCGTCTCGTTAGGAAGATCTACGAAGAAAGATTCCATTTTGAAGACAAATTTACCGTCGTAGGAGAGGGAGAGGTCTTCGACGATGTCGATAACCGGTTCCAGGAGGTTTGGCTCTGGAGTCGACATCTGTACAGTCGTGCATGTCACCTGAAGGACAGGCTCGGGTATCGGTTGAGGCCTTTTGGCCTGATGGACGTTGGTGAAGACCGAAATGTCTTTGTTTTGAAAGACAGGCCGGTCTTCGAGTGCGGTTATTACAGGTGACTGTGGTTTGTTTATGGTCATCTTTTCCAATAACGCTAAAGAGTTTGTCTCTTTTTCGATCAGCTCAGCGTTCTCTTCAAGTTCAATTACAGTACCGAGACGTTTGAGCCTATCAACGACGGACGGGTCGGTGATTGTCTTGGGCTCCTGGGCTATTGAAACGGCACCGCCAGATCCGCCAAGGGCGTTCGTGACACATATCGTCTCTGGTGGGGCGGCGTTGAGCAGATGCTGGATCATGTTGGCTTCTTGGGCATTCTTGGCGCCAAGCTGGTCTATCACTGTCTTGAGAGCCTTCTTTGGCCTTTTCGAAGCGGCCTGCGGCGCCTTCGCAACCTGGCTCATTAACGGTTTTGTGTAGTCGAGGATTGAGGTCTGCATCGGACGGTTCTTTTGCTGCTTGCTTGGCCTCGGAGATATCAACCTCTTCTTCTCTATAATTTAAAAAAAAAATTGTATACAAATAATGCGAGGTCTATTTTCTCTGTAATTAAAAATTTTAAAAAATCGAATTAATACAACTGTTACATCTACTTCTATGTCCTTTCTATAATTAAAATTTAAAAAAAATTTAAAAACTGAAATAAATAGTGTTAGGTTGACTTCCTTTAACTTTCTATAATTAAAATTTAAAAAAATAAAACAAATTGACTAAATAGAAATAATGATATTACTTCTATCAACTTTCTATAATAACAATTTTTAAAAATAAATTTAAAAAATTGAATAATTGCAAATAATTATTTGGAAATCATGAGAAGCTGTCTGGTGTGACGTAGGTTTCAGAAAAACATTTTCTTCATCGTGCCGATGTTTCGATCTTTATTGAGATCATGTTCAGGGCCTGGGATTTACGAACATTGTTTAAATTTAACAAATACATGTAGGATGTGGAATGTATTTGTTAAATTTAAACAACATTTGTAAATCCCAGTCCCTGAAGATGATCTCAATGAAGATAAAGAAACGTTGGCACGATGAAGAAAATGTTTTTCTGAAACCTACGTCACACCAGACCGCATTTCACGATTTCCGAATAATCATCGACTAACGGTCACTAATTACCACACATTACAATAATGTTAGGTCTACTTCTATCAACTTTCTATATTTAAAATTTAAAATAAAATTAAAATTTTAAAAAATTGAATTAATATAAATAATGCTACATCTATTTCTATTAACTTTGTATAATTAAAATTAACAAATAAATAAATTGAATAAATATAAATAATGTTGTTCTATCAACTTTCAATAATTAAAATTTGAAAAATAAATAAATTGAATTAATACAAATAATGTTAGGTCTTCTATAAATAAAGTTTAAAAAACTTTTAAAAATTAAAAAAATGAATAAATGGAAATAATGATATTACTTCTATTTACTTTCTATAATTAAAATTGTTTAAAAATTTAAAATAAAAAAATGAACAAATATAAATAATTACAATTAATTAAGATTTTCAGTTGAGATAATTGGTCAAGCGGACCACGAAACTAGTGAATTTAATATAAATAATGTTAGGTCTAATTCTATCAACTTTCTGTAATTAAAATATAAAAAAGTGGAAAAATACAAATAATGATATGTCTACTTCTATCTACTTTCTATAATAAAACTTTGAAAACTAAATAAATTGAATAAATACAAAAAATGTTAGGCCTAATTCTATCAACTTTTGATAATAAAAATAAATAAAATATAAACTGAATTAATATAAATAATGCTAGATCTATCTACTCTTTTTATGAATAAAGTTTTTAAAAAAATTTAAAACAAAAGAACTGAATAAACACAAATAATGTTATGTCTGATTCTATCAAATTTCTATAATTAAAATTTTTAAAAAATGAATAAATATAAATAACGTTAGGTCTTCTATCTACTTTCTATAATTTAAATTAAAACAAGTTTTAAAAAAATAGAATAAATACAAATAATGGTAGGTCTAATTCTATCAACTTTCTATAATTAAAATTTTTAAAAAATTGAATTAATACAACTAATCTAAGGGACATAAGCAAGGCAGCATAACCCCCCCCCCACAATAAAACATAATTAATAATTAATTCAGGCTTATTTACCACAAAAAATATCAAGTACAAAATCAATAAAATCTAAACTTTACCTTTCAGGACATCGTTTCCAAAAAAAAAAATCCTTTCTATTTTGAGACTTTTCCTCGTCGATCAAAAAACCAGAAATGAAAGGGAAAAGGTACGAAAAATCCCTCCACCCCCGGGGTTTATATAGTTTCCACCACCACACCACCCCACACTTGAGGGGGGGAGATCGTATATACCCTTCCACGACCACCCTCCCCGTCTTTTTCCACTGAGAAATCGGTGGGGGTGGCGCCTTTCTTTGCTTATTTCCAAAATTTGCCACCACCCCTTCAGAGGGTTCAAAGGTCTTTGGAAGTGTTCCGTTCCCCCCCCCCTGGTGAAAGGCAATTGCGACAATGACTTTATACCGTTATAAATAGATAAACAAAACTGGGAACGCCTAAAAAAAGGCGAGAACGGGCGGACTCAAAACACCCAAACTCGGGGGGAAAACTCCAACCTTGAATAAAATTTTCAAAATATCACTGAAAAATCAAAACGTCCCTAAGTTGCGTAGTCACACGATGAATCATGATGATTCACTTTTTTTTTGTCCTCCCCTTTTACCTGAAGAGGATCGAAATTAGGTGGAATTCCCATCACCGGAACTGATCATGATCCTATGATTCAATATGATTTTACCAATGATCTTAAAAGAATTCAATAAGAACCTTGAAGAATTAGAGTTTAATTTTTTAAACCAGACAAAGGGACTATAGAACATTCGAAGGCTTCAGAGATAATCATGAAGAAGACTGATGAATAATGTAATGATGAGGTTTAAACCAAAAAAGGAAAAACACGTTTGCAAAGGCAAAAAAAAACAATATTAACTAATCATAATCGACATGATTCGCCTAAGAACTTTAGATGATTAAATATGATTTCAAGATTATTGAAATCTGTATTCTATGCAAGGATAACGAGGACAAACGGTCAATGAGAAACAATTATATTCGAAGAGTGATCATAGATAATCCTCATCATGATTTAATATGTTGCTTTCAAACGTTTTCCCGGCCAGCCTCGCATGATCACGATTTAATTTATTCTCAAATGTTCTTTGTAGGATTTCAATTCAAATCCTAATTATACCCTGAGCGGATAGTTAAAATAAATATTCCCCCGATAAATTTACAATTAAAACGCCGATTATAGATGGTAATCATGATCATATGGTCACAACCGGAAATCATGATTGTTATACAAACAAAATTACTTTCCCTACTATCAGGAATCATGATCATATGATTTGTCCTGGATTTGAAAGAAGTAAGTTTTAATGGATTTCTAAAATCCTTAGATTCCGAAATAGGTAGAAAAATCCGCATTAATTATTTAATTGATATATCATAATCATTAATTTCGGTCCTAACATTTATTTTTTATTTGTGCAAGAAAAAATACCTTTATGAAAAGCGAACAGGAAAAAAGTAGCTTTTGATTGATCGTGGGTAATAATCATGAGTATATGATTTTAATTAACTGTACCAATTTCTTTTTTTTTGTATCGTTTTTTCGTTTTTTTCTTCTTTCACAACGGATAAACAGGAAAAATGGGCGGCCAATAAAAAATAAGAATGCGATGAGGGATCATAGTACATAACTTGTTGGATTCGTGAGGAGCGGTCAATAATCATGATCGTGCGATGACCCAAATAAATTCCATGTTTGATCATGATTAATAATTATGATCGGTGTAAATTAATATGACCTTAGACTGGGACTTTTTTTGCTGTATAAACGTATTGTTTAATCTATTTATGTATTTAATAGTCATAATTGACCGTATTAATTATTTTAATTAATCTAAGGTTCTGGTTAAAATGAAAGCGGGGTTCGAACCTACGACGGTTTAAAATTATTTTTTAAAAAAATGATCATAGATGACAACAGTCATGATTATTGTACATAGTACAATTCGCCTTCCTCTAACCGTAAAAGTGATACGTTACAGTTGATAATAGCCGGTAATTATGATCATGCGTTTGCCCACTGTTTCAGAATATTCGGGGATCGATTTGTAAAGGGAGAATTTACAAATTCGCCCTCAGGCCGTCGGCTCGGTTACCTGGCTGGCATGCCCCTGGAACCTTGCAACTCGGGAAAAATAGGCCGAAGCCGTTATCCGAAAGGGGATTAAGATTAAAAGATTAGGGATCGGCTATTGTCCGTAGAAAGGGGGACACTTTTTACATTTTTTAAAACAGCCAATTAGAAAGTAAAATTTCATCAAAACTACGGCTTGTGTCGGGGACAATATCTTTGCACAATTGTTTTAAATAAAAATTTAAAAAAATAAAAGAGGGTTCTGAGCAGATGAAGTAATAAAGAAATATCGGGGGAAAGAAAAAAACTATTAAAAAAAAAATATTCGGGGATTTCAACAAGTGTCAACCTCAAAGCTCGCATGCTCTGCCGTTTAGCCTAACCGGGACGCCGTATTTTTATTCAAGCAAAACGCACAAGAAATGGTGGAGAAGTGTCGATCTTTTTCCAACCTAAATAAATAAAAAATATTGCAAAATTTTGGACGATCTTGTTGTTGAGAGAGAAGGACGTACATACTCGATTTTCCCATTTGCGGAGGGGCCGCGACCAAATTATCCGGGTCCGATTTCGACCGTGTATCGATATGTAACGAAACGTTTTATATCGATAATGGCCTAATCAAACATGGCCGGATTGTATAGATAAGTGAAAATATCGATAGCAATCATCGATTGCCGAAAGTGTCGATATATTCGTACTAACGAGTACATACGGAGCTATAGCCTCGACTGATAAAGCAGAACAAGTAACTAAAAGAAAAGAACTCACAAAAATACAGAGACTTGCATGCATCTGCATCACGGGAGCAAAGAGAATATGTCCTACAATTAGCATGGAAAAAGTACTAGGATTAATCCCTCTACACCACATGGTAATAAGGACAGCGCAGAAAACCACCATTAATTTTACCAAACGAAACCTACAACAGGAATAAAACTAAAATGGAGAGATAGCAACAAATTATGGAAAGACCATCCGATAGTCATGGCTCCGAGAGACGATATGAACAGGATGTTTGAATTTAATCAAAACTTCCAAATAAACCTAGGTACCAAAAAAGAATGGAAACGAGAGGGAAACACCTCTTTTAAGAATGACACCATCCTTTGGTACACAGATGGATCTAGAACATAAGAAGGTACAGAGGCAGGCGTCTACTGGAACCAAATACTCAGAACCCACGGGAAAATACGCCAGTATCTTCCAAGCTGAGATTCATGCAATTGAAAGATGTGCTCAACTCCAAATAAGTAAAGGGTACAAAAACAAGAATATAGCCATCATGTCAGATAGCCAAGCAGCCATCAAAGCACTAAGTTCAAATATTAGTTCAAGGCATCCATTCAAGCAGCCGTCAAAACCAAACTAAGCATATTAAGTACGCAAAACAAAGTTAGCCTCTGTTGGGTCCCAGGACATATGGGAGTAGGAGGAAACGGGAAAGCGGACTGCAAGGCAAGGAGCTGCTACACCGCTGACAGGACTTGAACCCTTCTGTGGCATAGGAACCCACACTATTAAAGAGTGTCTCAGACAGAAGGACAAAAAGAAAATGAGGGAACTACGAAATTCACTCATTCGACACAGACAATCCAAGAATCTTCTAACCCATTTTGGAAGAAAAGAAATTACAGAATGTGTCAAGGGAAGCAGGAATAAACTGTGAAACCTAATAGGATTCCTAACAGGACACTGCAAGTTATCAAGATGGCACATGCAGATTCTGCAAAGAGGCAGAAGAGACACCAATACATCTACTATCAAACTGCAGAGCTATACTAGAGCCCGCAGGAGGAAATGTTTTGGGATGTATATTGTGACCGTAGAAGAGCTTCAACCACTGAAACCGGGCCTATTAAACAAGTTTCTTGATGAAATAGGACTTACCGATGTGCTTTAGGCAGAGCACGGGTATACAATAGTTCTTTAAGGGCGCAGTATACTATACACTAAAAATTACATCTACATCTACTACCGAGTTAGTATCGAATATCGATTGGTAGAGATTGGAAAGTTTTATATCGATAAGTAACCTCATCAAACATGATAGGATTACATATCGTGAAAAAATCAATATTAATCTTACATTGAAAGCTTGGAGATAAAATCGATAAGTAAGGATAGGATATATCGACAATTACCTAATAAAGCACGGCCATTTTGTATCGATAAGTGTAAAAAATCGATAATAGTAATCGATTATAGATAGTTAAGTGACATTCTTACTATCGATAATCAGTATCGAAATGATGTGATATGAATTCGTAAGGTTCGAAATATTTTATGTAGACAATAATATTTCAAAATGTCTCTATAGTATAGATAAGTAATAATATCGATAAGTGAAAATATTGGCAATAGTAACTTATCACCGAAAGGATCGATACATTCAGAATATCGATGGTTAGTTTAGAAATGATTGAAAATCGATTCATAAGGATCGAAACGTTTTATAGGATAATACAATTTCAAATATGGGTGGATTGTATATATAAGTGAAAATATCGATAATAGTAATCGATTATCAATAGCTAAGATAAATCCATATCGATTATTAGTACCAAAATTATATAATAACGATAGGTAAGGATTGAAACGTTTTACGTTGATAATAAATTTCAAAAAGTCTGATAAAGTCTTTTATCGATAAGTGAAAATATCGACGATAGCAATCAATTATAAAGCTATACTACATCAATACTACGGATAGTGACATGATGGAATATCGATTGGTAAGGATTAAAACGTATTATATCGATAATAATAAAATTTCGAAATTGGATGGATTGTATAAATAAATGAAAACATCGATATTAGTAATCGATTATCAATAGCTAAGATAGAATCATACTATCGATTATTAGTGACGAAATTATGTAATATTGATAGTTAAGGATTGAAACTCTTTACATAGATAATAAAATTTCTGGCTCTGAGTAAAATATTGATAATGGTAATCGATTATCTAACATGTTGATACATTACTATCGATGGTTCGTATCGAATTTAAGTAATATCGATAGATAAGGATAGAAACATTTTATAACGATCATATTTCTGGCTGGATTGTATCGATAAGTAAAAATATCGATAATAGTAATCGATTATCGAACGTTTTGATACATCCGTATTATCGATAGGTAGGTTCGAAAGGTTCGTTTATATTGACAGTCAAATTCAACAAAAAGGCTTGGCTGTATCGATAAGTGAAAATATTGATGAGAGTAATCGATTGTCGAAGGCCTTGGTACATTCCTTCTATCGATAAGTTCTAAACATAGATAGACATCAAATATGGTTGAATTGATAATAATCGGTATATTCATAATATAGACAGTAATGTATGAAAACGTTTTTTAATTTGGGAGGGGGCTTATCCTAAAATCTTGTCTTAAGTGGATAATAGCAAATGGCTCACCTTTGACGGATTCCTCGTTGGTGGGCCAGGGTGCGGAGGGTGCGGAGGTGCCGTTGAGTATCCTGGCGGAAGAATCTGCCACGACTGCAGTCGGCGAGTGTCCTTCTACGTTCTGGGACGCCTTGACCCCCGTGTCGGCTGGAAAAGGGGGAAAAGGGTTGACGAGTGCAGTAGGTCTGAGGGAGGCTGTCGCCTGCTTCTTCTCCTCCGCGTACTGTGGCACCCTGAGTATCTTGAGCGGGTGCAGTAGCTCCGGTTGGCAGGGTGGAGGGGTCGGCTTCGGCACCAGCATCGCGACCGCCCTCTTCGGCCTCATCTCCTTTTTGTTCTTCATGATGCTCCACTTGATCTTATCCTCTTTCTTCGCTCCGTCTTCTTTCCCATCCGGCTCCTTGTCCCCCGAGGCAAGGGGGATGATCGAGACGTCCGAAATGGAAGTGAGCTTCTCGAACGAGCTCATCTCAGGCCCCTTCCTGTTGAGTATCTGCTTGACGCATTTGTACGCCTCTCCTCCGTTCGTGTCCGTCTCATTTCTCTCTGCCTTGTCGAACTCCAAAAGCAGGTTTTCAGGGAGTTTGTTCATCTGGCGGTTTGTGAACTCCTCGTTCTTGTTGCCCATCGAAAAAACTTTGATACTTATCGGCTCGAACATGCTCTCCTCGAGTGGCTGACACTCGTTCGTCTTCTCTATCACAGCTTCGCCTGCAGTCTTTGTTTCTTTACCCTCGGTCGACGTGACCGGGTCGTCCCCACTGGAGCTGATCTCGAGGGCGTCTTCTTTCGTCGTCGAGTCCACCTCCTCGGGCAGTTCCAGGCTCATCTTCATCTCGAGGCCGTTGGTCGAGTTGATCTCCGAGCCCTGGGTCGGCTTCGGCTCGGCGGGGTGGAGAAGTGCCAGCCTCTTTGTCTCCTCTTCGCCGGGCGGTGTCCTAAGGAGTTCCTCCTCGTTCAGCAAATCGAGATCTACGACTTCCGACGAGGTGTCGATGAGGTCACCCTCCTCAACTGCTACAGACGACATCCTACCTCCGTCACCTGACAAAACAAAAACAAAATCGTTTCAAAAACAAAAACTCTTGTCTTTTTATATCGCTTTTAAACTTCTGAGACGACCCCTCAGATGGCCACTGCGTTAATCATCATCGCGATCAGCGGCGGTCGAGCCTCGGGCCCGGCCGCCGACACTGCAATCCTATCATCATCGGGGTCCAGAAGTCTTCCCATCCCTACAGAAATAACCCGAGGGATGATAAAATAAGATAAGAACTTACAAAAAAAAACCTATATAGGCAAAGAAGTAGAAGGGAAATTTTTTAAGAGCTAATTTGTTTCTAAAAATAATTAACGACTTGGGGTAGATTTTTAGGTTGAATTTCCTATAGTGTATGTATGTCTGTTCTTTGTTTCTTTAATTTTTTTTTCTTCCTGCCCTATTTTCTACGAGGGAATTTGTAAAAAAATGGTCAGGATGCGTTGTGTCGCTTTGTGTCTTGTGTTAATGCGTTTTGTTTGACGTGGGTTCGCCTACATAATCATTTTATTATATTTTTTATTTATTTATTTTGTAAGTTTGTATAGTGAGACTTGTTGAAATCCTGTGATTATTATTAGTTAAATCGTCATCAAAGTTTGGATTATCGTTTATCCCTGGAAGATAAAAACATCAAAACTGAAAGATTAAAAATTAAAAAAAAAAAGAACGAGTAGGCCTTTTAATTAAAAAAAAACAAAAATGAAAAACACCGGGATTTTGCCGTCAAATTTCTCGCCGCTAGAGCCGGAGAAAAAGACAATTTTTTTTTCTTTTAAAAACATATACAAAAATTATAAATTTTCAGTAAAATAATAACAATAGAATAAACCATCGTGTCCATATTACCTGGGCAGGAATCCGAATCGACCTGGTACCCCTTTTTTGGTCAAAAATATGTCGGAAAATTATCAAAATATATACTCTTCTCCAACTTTGTTTTTGTATATTAATAATAAATAATAATAAAAAGAGAAAATTGGTTGAAAACCTTTTTTTTTAATCCGGCACCGGAAAAAAAGAGAAGTCTAATTTTTAATTAACCATGTGTTGACAAGGAACATGTGTCGTCGGGACAAAATAAAAATAATAAAATATGAGGTTTATTACGATTAATTAATTTCTATTCGACTCTTTTTCTTATATTTTTAAAATATTATTATTAATGGGTTAATTGAACCAGGTTTTTTTTTCCAATGAATCCACTGTTGTGTTGAAATTTGCCACTTAAAGACAAATTTTGCCTTTTTTTAAAGGCAAAAGGCATCTTTAAACAATAAAATACGTCATACAACTCGAAAACTAAACTGTTACCTTTATTGAAAAATTACTATAAAAATTTGCCAAAAAACTTTCACGCCCTTCAAAGATGTATTTATTTAAAGAAATTTACAAATTTGGGCACTAATCAGTGAATCGCGACACAACATGGGAGAGATCTGGTAGTTACCAGCTTGCAAAATGCAGTTGTAGCATATATCAGTCAAGGCGCATATTGAGACGCGACCAGTGTGAAGCTATCTACGTTTTGTAGCATTTTTAAGCATACGGATATGAATGGGGCTGGGTGAACTGTTAGTGAGTCAATAACTCACTCGTTCGCTCCCGCCCTAACTCATTCAATCAGTGAGTCAATAACTCACACATCGTTTGCCAAGTTGCTAAGTAATTCTACAAGTGAGTCGTTTACTGAGTACTGCGCTCAGTTACCAGCTCATTCTATCAGTGAGTCAATAACTCAATCATTCGCTTAGTTACTGCCATTTTTCAAATGAGTCCTTTACCTTGTAGTTAGCTCAGTTACCAGCTCATTTTATCAGTGAGTCAATAACTCATTCTTTAGCTCAGTTACAAGCTCGTTCTACCAGTGAGTCAATAACTCACTTATCGTTTGCTAAGTTGCCAAGTCATTCTATTAGTGAGTCGATTTCTTAGTATTTCCCTCAGTTACAAGCTCGTTCTACCAGTGAGTCAATAACTCACTTATCGTTTGCTAAGTTGCTAAGTCATTCTATTAGTGAGTCGATTTCTTAGTATTTCCCTCAGTTACAAGCTCGTTCTATCAGTGAATTAATAACTCACTCATTGGCTCACTTAAGCCACGCTATGTCATTCTACAAATGAGTCCTTTACCGAATCGTTAGCTCATTATATCGATGAGTCAATTAATTCATTCGTTCGCTCAGTTCCTAAGTCATTCGATCAGTTATTCAATAACTCGCTCATTCGCTCAGTTGCTAAGTCATTTCACCAGTGAGTCAATAATTCACTCATTTGTTCAGTTACTGTCATTCCACAAAAACGTCCTTTACTTAGCAGTTCGCCATCGCAAATCTCCAGTAAACTAATTTCTTTATTTAGTTAAAAATTATGAAAATCATTTCAACGGCAATAAACAACATCGGTGCACTGTATGAGGCTTAATTAAATTGAAATTGAAAACCAATTAAATACCTTACTCGAAGGTGGACTTTTAAGGGTTCGATCGGTTTTACAAGCTCTCCTGAAAAAATATTGAAATCCACATTCGCCACTTTAACATGGTGACTTTAACGCTTTAAACTTTTAACACTCAAAAGATTGAAAATTTCCGAAAGAGAACCAACGCCTTATTTACACGTTGCTACTACAAACGATCTGGGCGGTACTGAAATGTGCGGGATTTTTGGACGTGAACCTTGAAGAAAAACGGCAAAAATTGACGGTGGACTCTTCGCCGTGCTCAAAACAAAAATTGTAAAATAATAAAAATTAATAAAAAAAGAAAGAAAACTGACCTGTCTCACAAAAACGAATCTGCATGGAAAATCTTTAAACTTTTTTTTTAATTTGTTTGTTTAAAAAAATTCATTTTAATAAACCGTATGACATAATAAAACATTATTAAAATTTGATTTGAATTTTTTGTCGCTAAGTAAACCGAAAATGCATCTTCTTTTTAAGCATTTTAATATATTTTTCCTGATTTATCGGACGAGACGAAGCGGGCGCATCGAGGCGTTTGACACGAGAGTGATGTACGCTATGCCCGGTTATCGAATAAAGACGGCGTAATTTGACCCGTCAGACGCAGAATGAGGACAGCAGATCCATAAGGACAATATTATAAGCCCATCAAATCGCAGACAACAAGGGAAAATCTCTAATGGCGTCAAGTTAAATTAATTTAAACATCTTTTAGGACAAACCGCCTAAGAATAGGGCATGTAGGCTTACCCGTAAATCTCTCAAGCCAAGATGACCTACAGTTTACCAAAGCTGTCGGGAACTGTTCACAGCCAACCCAATACGAACTGTATATTTTAGAAAAAAATGCGTTTGACTGTTTTGTATGGAATATCTTACTATTCTGAAAGATGCATCTTTACTTTTACACTGTTATTAATGCTAGGTTACCTGCGAGAGGTAGAAAAGAGGTTTTCTCATACGGCAATTACACGAAATCCAACCTTGAGGTACAAAAAATTCCATTAGTCTAATATTTAACTAACGTCCTAATTTTATTCATTATGTGAGAGTCAAAAGTGTCAAAAAGAACTAATTCAAAAAAAATTCAGTGTTCAATTAAATATATATTTTTTTAAACTGGTACTTACCTCCTTTGAAAATTGAATTTGGCTATACGCTCCATGTCCACCGGTCGAGAGAAGCCCTGGGGAAGAAACAAAACAAGAAACAATTAATTAATTTTTTGTTCAAAATCAGCAACAAAAATTTTAAATACAGCCACAAACAATCGAATTTTCTATCGAAAGAATCAAATGGGCAACGGATTAGAATCGAAATTGGCCTGGGGAAAACTGTTGATAATCGATAGTATCGAATTGCTAGAATCGATACAATCGTTAGCCTCACATACGCCTTGGACAATCGATAGTATAAAACATCGATATTGACATATGCTCAAAACCGTTCGATTGAATAGATCGATATCCTACGATATAAAAGTTTTTCTTTTAGATTAAACGCTTAAATACACGATTAATCGTAAACAGTAAGTTCTATACATTAGATTGATCGATATCGACGAGCAATAATCGACAATAAACAAATAACGATAGGGAAAATCACATAATTTGGTGTTAGACTTTCGATAATATTATATTATGTAATCACTTTTATGCAGTTATCTATAGTAAATAATTTTAAAAATTGATGCCTTGATGTTATAATCGATTGTAAAAAAATACATATATTTACTCTATCGATATGGGAAACAACAATCGCCATTTTTAATTCAAAATCAATTATTAGTAATCGTATCTAAATAACGGTATATTTTCGATACTTCATTATTACCAGCTAAACATGGCAGATACATTGAAATGACGTAATATCGATTTTGAAACATCGATATATAGATATCGATATACCTTTATAACCGACTAAATATGGCCGACAAGTTGGAAATCGGTTATATTGATACCTAAATATCTATCTTCTAATATCGATATTTCGTTATAACCGTCTAAAGATGACCGACAAATTGAAATGGCGTGGTATCGATATTCCAATATCGATATGTCGTTATCATCGCCTAAACATGGCCACAAATCGAAATTACGTAATATCGATTTTGAAACAACGGTACATATTGTTAAAATCGGCTAAAAATGGCCGTCAAATTGAAATTGCGTAATGTCGATGGCAAATTATCGATATATTATTATGGTTGTTTATTGTTTTTGGAACCCAAAAGAGCTTTTCCTAGCCTTTCCTTGCATAAATCTTTCCAGTGGAGGTAGGATTAGCAGAGTTTCTAGTACATTTGTTGTTCACATTGTCCATGTGATAAATAGGTTTTGCTAATCTTTATATGCTGCCTAGTGATTGAGTAGCTATTTTCTGTTGAGCTTTGGTCCACCAGATTATTAATCCTTAGGTTATTTTGTGTCTTATTATTGCCGCGTATCACCAATGGGACATTCCCCAAGATTTGTTTAAGGATCTTCTAGTCGGTAAGGTAGTCATAAGCGATATTTCACTTTTTGCTACGGTATGCTGCAGGTGAGGGTTCCAGGTTTACATCTTATCAAAGATTATTCCTAGGTGTTTAATTCGTTTTTTAACTCCAGTGTTTTACTATAAAAACGTATTTCTGTTTCTTTTCTTGGTGTAAGTAATTGGGGTAATTTTGGGGGTTTGCTTTGAGACCCCATTGTGTTCCTTCCATTGGGTGAGCTCTTTAAATGTTGTGTCGAATTTTTCCCTGACTAGTATGAGATCTTATGAAATCGATCAATTATCATCCATAGATATTTCGTTATAACATGCTAAAGATTGCCGACAAATTGCAAAGGCGAATTACTTCAACATTTTCGTTATCGATGTGGTAACGACCATTACGTTCAAACGATTTCCAATAATCGATATACCGTCGTTCGATAATTTCATCGTAATCATGCCTTCCTATCTAGAATCGATTGTAAACTTACGTATCGATTCAATGATACGGCTAATATCGACATTTCGCTTCCATAGTCTACCCGCGGGTTTGGGAGAGTTGTAATTAACTGGCCGGAAGCCGTTTTGAACTAGATCGACGCCCTCACCACACCAGCTAAAATAAACCCTCTCCTTACAGACAAATAAATAAACAAACAAACAAAAAAAGCTTTTTGATAATTACCGAGGTCTGGACTGCCATGTTACGAAGTGTCAATATGGCCCAAAATCCCAGGGTTGAACAGCGATGATTCTGCGGACCCAGAGCGGCGATGCATCGACCCGTAGACCATATAACAGACCCAACTGCGTTACAGGTCCCGCGGGTCGACGAACGGCCTGCTCCTAAAATAAACAGAAAACAGAAAAACCAAACATTTAACAATTGATAATGCTTAGCAAATTACAACAGGATTAATTTTTTTCTGAGAAGACAAACAAAATTAACGAAATGATCTACCGGAGACAACAACTTTGAACGTTAAGGGAGGAGAGAAAGAGAGGTCGACGAAACAAATGGACGGCTTATTCCCAGCCAAACAAATTAAAACATACATCAGAACATGAAAAACAGCATATTCACCCATTAAGACAACATTTGTACGTCAGGAAGAACCGATAGTATCGAAATTTCCCAAATCAAAAGTAGGAAATTAATCGATCACCCAATATCGATAAAACATTAGCGATAATTTGAAATCTACGGCTAAAGATGGCCGACGGATTAAAAAGGTTATATCGATCTTCCAAGATATATTTCGCTATCACCACTATGGTGTCGGACATATTGAAAATGCGTAATATCGATATTTCGTTATAATCTAAAGAAAGCCGTCAAACTGAAATGGTGTAATATCGATTTTCTAAAATTGACATATTATTATCGTTATTTCACTATCACCAACTAAGATGGCGGACATAATGATATGCATAATATCGATATTTCGCTATAGCCAACCAATATGATTGCGGCAATATTGAAAAGACGTAATATCTATATTTAATTATCGATGGCCGACAAATTTATAATGGACATATCGATGAAAGACCGATATTTAATAAATCCATTTAAATTTAGCTGTTTTGCTTCATGTCGATGCCATTATTGGTACTTTTTGGTCTAATCTCCCTGTGTCCCATCCCATCTCAGTTGGGACTTTTTAATTACAGCACCCTACAAAAAATAAATAAAGTTTTTAACATTGCTTTTTCTACCGGCCTCGACGAAACGAGACAAAAACCAAGGCGTGTGAAAGAACTTATTTACTAAGGAATTAATTATCCAAATAACTCTTTCTTTTTACTAATACGGAATGTAACACGAGGGGGGGGGGAGGAAAAGTCAAAAGTCTCGACCGTGTAAGCCTTCCTTGGGGCCCGGTGAAAGTTGCCATTTTAAAAATAGCAGTCTATTCGGGGCAATTTGGAATAACAACCGGCGTTGTCACCGTCGTAAATCGCCCAGGGAGGATAAATGCGATATTGCAAATAAATAAAAAAAATATATATATACTGTTTTAAAAGAAATATTGAAAAAATTTTGGAGTCCGTTCGCCGCCTCGCAGGTCGATCCTTGGAAGATTTTTTGTTAATTGGTTTAATGGTTAATTGATTTAAATCAATGGTTGGAATTCAATCTAAGCGATTTTGTCCTAAGTAGAAGTGCAGACGTGCAGAAGATTATTTGGGTCGGCGGAACGCTCGTGTCAGCGGAAATTGATTGAAAAAAAAATAAAAAGGCGTCAAATGATAATAATTCGTCAAAATAACTTGAATTTGTTTTATTTTATTTATTTATATATATAATTATTTATTTATATATATTTTATATATATAATTCCAGACTACTTACATAAAAATTCGAACCAGGAAGACCCCCCCCCATACGAACACATGTGAGAATCAGGCCGGCAGCATCAATTATCCGCCGTTCTTTGTCTTTTAATTTATGTGCCCGATGAATATTCATTTGGGCTTTTCTGAGCCTGTTTCGAGAGAGAAAAAATCCTTCTGACGTTAATTTCCCTCAGAATTAACAGATATTCGAGGGACGGTCTTGTTCCGTTGGATCCTATGGTCGAAAAACTCACAAAACCAAGAAGGCCAGTATCAACTTGATTGCACGGGTTCCACAGATGGATCGAGAAGTGGGAGCGGGGTTGAAGGACACTGGGTATCCTTCCCGTACCTGGCATAACAAATATAACTACTTGTACAGGAATAAAGAACACTCTAAAGACTTTAAAAATTTTAAATTCCAAGCCACGTATATTGTCTGACATGATTAACCCCCACCCTCGGCTGCCAGGATTAAGCCTGATTTGCACACGCGCACACACACACACACACACACACACAAAACTAATGCTAAAACCCATGGAAAGCAGAGATAGGCCAGAGAGGATGACAATTGGGATAACCTGTGAAGGTGTACAAAACGAAAGCGTATGGTTTGGTCTCGACCTGACCGAGAAACAGCGAAGGAAGACGGACCCGGCAATCCGCCCGTGCAATTGGGGCCAGTTCGGCCGAGAAATCGCCGAAAAAACCCGGCGCTACGGGATACTAGACCTGCAGAGCGTCCATGTCATTTCATCCTATGTCAACAACCAACGCCGACTGCAAGGTCGGGAATGGGGTGGGTATCCATTAATATTAAACAACAGAAATATTTGACATAATTATTAATATGGTCGGAGGGTTTAAGATTTTAAATTCCGAGGGATGTACGGTTTATACCCTCGGCAAACAAAAAAAAATATGTCGGCCTACAATCCTACAATCCGCTAGAGCAGGCCAAAACGGTCTGTTCTATAAGAGAGGGGGTTGTAAAGCGGGATGAATATGGCAACCCACCCCTTACAGACGAAAAGGGTGGCCACCCTCTTCTCTCTCTACAGCACCTGTCGAAACGAGAATCGCAACGGTGTCATACAGGGTGAAAACAAATCCTACACTGAATTGTGAACTTTGTTTCAGACGTGAATTTACTCGATTGACAAGAAACAATTATGTTACAATAAAAAAATATACAAGTCAAAACGTTTTTAAGTTCGAATTGTCCTAATCCATGGGCTGTTTATTGTTTATGGTTGAAACCTTTCAGTTATTAGTTCTTTGTCATTTAATTATAAATAACAAGTTTTAATATGAACATGTAACTTAGAAGGTCGTACCGATATTCCCAGTGCTCTCTCTCCCTGATCCCAACTTCGGTATACTCGGTAACTCCAAACGTTCCAAGTAATCCGAACTGGTAAAAATTCAAGAAATGTGAATTTCAAATTTAGCATTATTTGGGGGGGGGGAGAAAGAACGAGTCGGAGATAGTGAATGAGCGAGTGTGTGAATGGGCAAAGAAGATAGTGAATGAATAGTTTTATTTTCAACATGTCGCAAATTTAAACCGTGAACGACCTTTCTTACAATTAACGAGAAAAGAGTGAGAGAGAGGATGAGTGAGTGAGCGAACGAACGAAAGAGAAAGTGTGAGTGAGCGAGTCAGCGAACGAACGAAGTAGATAGATAGCGAGAGAGAAAGAGGAGTGAGCGATTGGGAGAGATAGAGTGAACAAAAGGGGTGAGCGAACGAGAAAGAATGAATGGTGTGAGCGAGCGAACGAGAGAGAGAGAAAGGGAGAGGGAGAGGGAAAGAGAGAGGGAGAGGGAGTAGTGAGCGAGCGGGAAAGATAGAGTGAACAAAAATGTGTTTGAGATAGAGAAGTGAGTGAGTGAGCGAACGAGCAAGAGAGAATGAGTGAGTATGCGTTCGAGAGAGTGTGGTGAGTGAGTGAGCGAACGAACGATAATTTGGGTGTGGTACTGTTCTGTAAACTTGACACAATAACACTTTTGAGTTTTGAGAGAATTGACTTGATAGAAGACTGTGCACACATGGATACGCATTGATTAAAATATGTAAACATTCTATGTAAAAAATAAAAAATAAAAATATAGAAAGTTTAATCAATTGGCAATGTGATGAAAATATAAGAAATTTATACTTATAGTTAGTTATAGAAACGATTCCAATACCCAAAATAATAACTTATACCTACAGCTATCAAAAAATAAACAAATAATAAGAGAATGTCCTATTTATTTATTTTTTTTTTTTTTATTGCAAGTACTGCACCGCAGTGCGACTTTTATAAAAATAAAGTGCAGCATAATAATAATCGTTCAAAAAAAGAACTAATAAGGGAGAAGACAATGATCAGCTTAACAGCGAATTACATTTTTACAATTTTACAAATCTCTAGTCACATTATCGCCGTTAAGAAGCTACTTACACCGATGCTATTTCCTTAAAATAAAGGTATGTCCAAATATGTCTTTTATTTGGTACTATTATCCAAAGTAATGATTTAAATTGATTTATAATTTTTATACAAAGTGTGGTTGATATTTTTGTACACTTTCCTCATAAGCTATTTAGTTGAGATTTGTGAAAACTAGAAGTTAGGATAGTACAATGTGAAGAAGAGTGGGGTTCTGGATTAGGTTCATTTTAATAATAAATTTTTTTTTTAATTTGTGGGTCTCCTGTTCCGATTCTTGGGGGGAAACAGGGTTGTTCTATTGTATATAGTTGTTTATAACTAGTTTGTATTGAGACAGAAAGTATCTATTAGCGCGAATGTGTGATGTGATAGGGTCGATGGCGGAATATCGAGTACCCCATCGACCATCAATTAGGCTAGTTGTATAATATGTATCAAGGAGAATATGTAGTATTCCAACGCCCTAGCTGAACGGACGGTATGTAAATAGGAATAAATTTATTAGCCAAAGATCTCATGAAATTCTCTTATGTGATGAGGGAGACTGAATTTGATCAATGGTTCCCTTAGACTAAAAAATAATAATAACAATAAACTTAAAAAAATCGAAAACGTAGTTAATAAATTATACGGGTTACAATTTAAAGATAGTAAATCCCAGGCCCTGAAGATGATCTCAATAAAGATCGAACGATAAAGAAAATGTTTTTCTGAAACCTACGTCACACCAGACCGCATCTCACGATTTCCGAATAATCAAAATAATAATAAAATTATATAAAAAAAACAAGGCAGGTCGATCAACAAATTGTAAGGATTTCCATTGAAATCTTAAAACTGTATACATAATTTATATAAATTTTATTTACTAACTTGTTCTCGTATTTTTTTGTTTCCCCAACACTACACATACGTGAATTTTGAAAATTCAAAAATAATTAGAATATTAGAAGAGGGCATCTCAATTCGGTTGGTACTTTCTAAAAAACAAGACAAAAGCAGGACAATCGACAAATTTTAAAGAAGAGTTCAATGAAAAACTTCAAACTGTATAAATATTTTATATAAATTTTATTTACTTATTTATTGTTTTCCCAATTGCATACTTGAAATTTCACAAATATTTGAATATTGGGGAGAGGGTATCAATTTGGTTGATCTCAAGATAATCGACAAATTGTATAGGTAAATAGGTATATAGGTAAATTATATATATATGCTTTTTATTTCTACGAATATAACAATGATTATTAGCAAAGCATAATACAGGCATGGATCACAATCTGCCGACAAATTTTAAAGGTTTCAATTGAAAACATCAAACTTATGAATACTTTATACAAATTTTATTTACTTATTTATTATGTGTGGTGATTAGTAACCGTTTGACGATGATTATTCAGAAATCGTGAGATGCGGTCTGGTGTGTAGGTTTCAGAAAAACATTGGCACTCTCAACACGACACGCAAGAATGGCTCAATTATACAGAAAACAAACACTTTGAGCCCTGAAGATGATCTCAATAAAGATCGAAACGTTGGCACGTCAAAGAAAATGTTTTTCTGAACCTATCACACCAGACCCCATCTCACGATTTCTGAATAATCTTATTTATTATTTTCTAAACGGTTTCAAAAATATTGGAATATTGAGGGGAATGTTAATTTGATTGATCTCCAAAAAAAAGTAAACGCAAGACAATCCACAAATTTTAAAGGTGTATGGTGATTAGTGACCGTTAATATATGATTATTCGGAAATCGTGAGATGCGGTCTGGTGTGATCTAGGTTCAGAAAAACATCGTGAGGTAAATTTTAAAGGTTTCAATTGAAAACTTCAAACTGTATAAATATTTTATATAAATTTTACTTGTTTATAGTTTTCCAAACAATATATTTCAAATTTCAAAAATATATTTTTAAAAAACCGTTTTCAATAAAAAGGTCAAAACATACTGTGAACAAATTTCATACAGATTTTACTTTGTTTTGTTTTTCTAAATTGCGAACACACTTGAAATTTCAAAAAATATTTGGATTTTCATGGGAGGGGGCGCTCGATTCGGGGTGCACCCCCGTTCAAAAAAAACAGGCAACTGAATTTAACATTAAAAAACAAAACCTGAAATTATCATTATTTTCCTTTATACTATCAAACCGAACAATATCGACATTTGAATTTGGTTGTTTTACATGAAAAGTCCGGTAATTAACTAAGACCCATCATAATGGGCGACCGTACTTGGTACACGACCTACTTCTTCAGTCTCCTTTCTTCTCTTTCTTAATAATTATATATTATATTTTAATATTCGTAACAATTGAATCCATATAAATTGTCATATTACGTTATAGATATAGACTGAATTTTTTTAAATGTAAAGATTAAATTGTAACCTATGAGGGCCAAATGGTTCATGGTTGAAACCTTCCTTCAAGTTTAGTTTATTTATTTCTAGCCTCACCTATTTTTTACGGTATATTTCATGTCCTCCTATTTGTTTTAATAATTATTTTATAAAATTTGAAGCTACAAATACAGAATCAATCCAAAAATATACAAATCAAATTATAATCAATTATAACCAGTGAGGGAAGACGGTTCGTGGTAGCCGGCCTTTCCTGAATTCAATTTATTTATTTTTAATGTTATTTTCACAAAAATTAATTCCAAATAAGCATTTTCCTAAAAATTGAAGGTAAATAATTGTCATATTATGCTATAAATACACAATTCATATTTTTTTAATAGTAAAGTTAAATTTTATTTATTTTACGACCTTCAAGGGCAGACATGGTTGTAACCTTCCTTCTATTATTAATTATTATTTTTTTTATTTATAAGGTGATGGGTTGGAAGTAAACGGTCTTTTCCACAATAGGCATTTATTTCGTCATCAGTGACTAAACAACAAAAGTGGTACAAATTGCAAACACGTTAATTACATAATTAGATTTGATTTGAGCTAATAATAAAGAATTCACCAAAATGGAATAGTAATAATTACGACAGCTTTAAATTTACATATTTTTTCTGGTAAATAATAAATAGTAAAAAATAAATTCCTATTGTGGAAAAGACTATTTCTTTTCCAACCCATCGTCTTATTATGGAGTACCACCAAAATCAGGATGGACGCCATCAAAAAAAGTTTATTTATTTATTTTTTAATCCCCATCCTTTTTTCCCTTATTTTGTTATGTACTTTTTTATTACCTTACTTATTTATTCTATAACAATTTAAAATATATAATTGCCATATTACGCTATAAATGCTGGGTTTTTTTAATGCTAAAAATTAAACGTATTCAATTATAACCTGTAAGGGCAGAAGGTTTATGGTTGTAACCTTCCGTCAATTTTTGTTTGTTTATATTTAAATTTTAGTTCCACAAGTTTTTTATACTTTTTTTATGTTAATCTATTAATAAAAAAAGATTGTTTATATTTAAATCTAATCAGAATGTTTTTGTTTAAAAAAAAATTGTTAAACGATAACCGCTTTTGGTATGGTTTACAGCACGTTCTCCCTTATCCACGCCCCGGTAAAGACAAAAGGAAAAATACAACAAAAGAAAACAGGTACTGTATAATAGTAATGTTTTCCGAACAAAAAAGGGTATATGGAAAAATTCTGAAGAGGGAAAATTAGAAAAATCGAGGGGGCGGTTATAACCATAGTATAACCCGACCATAAACAACAAGGGGTGCGTGTCGAATGCATGTTTTTTTATTTGTGTTTATGTGTTTTATTTAAAGTTTTGTTCTGTTGTAAGTACATTCATTGCTCACCTAACTTCTCTGATTGATCATTGGCACGATCATTCCTGTCTTCTTAGAAAAAACCTTGGTTTTATTCGTATTTTTTCATATATTGAGAAAAAACCGAGGAAAAAACACGATTTTTTAATTAATTATTTCTGAATAGACACAGAACAGAGAAAAGAAAAACCGAGAAACAGTTTGAGGGAAATAAGACCGTACGGAAAGGCACGGAGCGACTGGTGGAGGGGGGATCGGAAAGGCCCGGCGACCCCCACCACGGGCAGATGGAGGGGGGGATTCCCCGCCCAACCCTGCTACACAGAGCGCCCGTCGCCCGTAAAATTCCCATCCCCGATCATCGGAGGGAAAAACCGTCCTACGACCGTACTATAACGGATTTACAAAATACTCTCACTCCTTTCCCTTTCGTCATGGAAGCACAAATGAGACAAAATTAAAAAAACATCCTATTGAAGAAGGAAAAAAATAGTAAGGACGAGATGACTACCAGTTGGAAGACGTGGCCATCCAGCGGACCTTGAACCCTTCCCCCCTCCTCAACAATTTAATTACATATAAAACTATAATAAAACACACTCCATAATCAACCTTTATTCTAAAAAAATAAAAATACAATAAAAAAAAACTTTTAAGAACAAGTGAACAAGAAACTGTGCTGTACTTAAGCCTAATGAAGCCATGAATCCCCCCCCAAAAAAAATCCCTTTTTCCATATCTCTACATCCCAACAATAATTTAACTTTGACCAGATTTTTACATATTACAGAAGATTCAGATGGATCTAGCCGGATTTTTAAAATCAAGATTTTTATCCTAACCCTTTGTCCTTTTTCTAACGGTCGTATACGAAGGAGTGAATGCTATTAGTGTTTGTGAATGATTCGGTGAATAATTGAATGTGGAAGGCGTGTGAAACTGAGAGGGAAAAGGCCGAATCCCGTTTGGGTAAGCGCCGAGACCTTGAACATCGTAGCGCCGGGATCGGAGCGCGTTTAGGCTAAGGCCTGCAACGCTCCGGGCAAAGCCTGCATTGTATTACGGAATCCGCCTTGACAAATTTCAGGCGTGGTTAGATTGGTGGGTAGTAAAAAAAAAATTATTATTATTATTACAAAAAGGGATGGAAGTTTAATTTATTTTTGGGATGGGTCTTACCATTGTCGCCGAAGTTAGGGCCGTTTCGCTTTCGCCATATTCACCACCGATCGTTTTTTTACACAATCCCATCATAAATTTTAAATATAATAAATCAACCCTTTACAATAAATGGGTCAATAAAAGTTTTAAAAAAATCGGAATGTTTGGGAAAATAGGGAAATTTTGTCTTATCCCAGACAAATTTGTCTGCCATGTGTCAATTAAAAAAAAATATATATATACCAATTAAAGTTTCGTTTTACCTTTCAGATTCATATTGACTGAATTTTAACATGCTACACAAACCAGCTTTCNATATATATAAATCCATCCCTAACCTTATGTAAAATTGATTATTTACACCCAAGACAGAAAAGCAAAAAATATTACATTAAACAAAAAAATAAAAAACGCAAACATTCATAAATCCATTAGAATTCGTGGTCCGATTGATCAATTAACTTTTTTCAATTAATTAATCTTTATCTTAACCAATACCTATCATAAAGATTAATTCATATTCATAAATTTGAAACTTTTCAAAATTTGGGGGGGAGGGGTGCGAATTTGGCCCGAGTGCATCAAATACACAAAGGCTTAACTATAAATCATCTTTGTCTTTTCCCGATAGTTTATTACACATAAACATAGTGAAAAGAACGTTTAAAAATAACAAACAATAATGCACCCAAGATTAGAAGTTTATGAGGCACCATTTCCAATAGACCAATTTGTTAACCCACCCCAACATAATAATTTTTGAAAATGTCTTGTCGGAAAAAAAAGGAAAACCAAATTGTAACGGTTTTCATTAATTATTCAATTTATAATAAAAAATATATATGTATATATACTTTTACTAGATTGGAATAATTTTCAAAAAAATGGACAATACGATTTGAGATTCTTTTGCCTTTTTGATAACCATATATCAACAAATGTATATATTAAAATATTATTATTACATATTATATATATAATATAAGGGTGCATTTTTTAACCCAATATTGGGATTTTAAGCATTGAGCTGTGCACCATCAAATTTTCATAAATGTACAATTAGATTTATGCTCCACCCCAAGAAAAATTCTATATCAATATTTAACTGAAATATTCTTCTTGACTAAAAAAAAAGTTTGTCTTTTTAAATTTAATTTCTTTTTTCATATATATAGCCATATAACAACTAACCCATATTTTATATTAAAATATTATATGGCTGCATTTTTTTTAAACCAAATGTGGGGATTTTAAGAGTGAGTGAATGGAGTGCCAGCAAATTTTCACGATTAACTTACCTCTGAGTCTATTATTTTCCATAACCATGTATCAAAAAAATGTATATTATATATTAAAAAAGTATTTTTTAATTTATAAAAATAATACAAATAATATAAGAATGCAGTTTTTTTCTGATATGGGGATTTTAAAGATAGAGCTGTGTATCATCAAATTTTCACTGTCAGCTAGACTTTTGCACTATACCACCATCCAAGCAAACTTAATACATTGTTTTTTACATTAAATAAGTAGTATGTTTATTAATTATTAATATATAATTTTGCATGTGTTGCAGGGAGGAGGGTAAATCTGATTGCCCATTTGTGAACATTTGATGGCGCTCCATTCGTTCACCCTTAAAACGTTCAAATACAAAAATATAATTATTATTTAATGTAATAATCATTAAGTTTGCTTGAAGGGTGGTGTAGGGCAAAACTAGCCATCCTTTTGTGAAAATTTGATTATACACAGCTACATCCTTACAATTATCATTTTAGAAAAAAACCAGCACTGTTATATTATTTGTATTATTTTTACATATTAAAAAAATACTTTTTTAATATATAATTTGTTGTTATTAAGGAAAATAAAAGATTTGCAGGTTGCCCATTTGTGAAAATTTGATTGTGCACAGCTCCACCCTTAAAATCCCAACGTAGGGTAAAAATACCTGCACCCTTGTTTATATTGTTTTATTTATTTCCAAAATATGTATTTTAATATATAATACATCTATATGGCTAAGTAAAATAAAAGTCCTATTTCAAAAGACTTTATATTCATGGAAAAAAATAATATGAAATTTCTGAAGACAAACTCGTTTTAAACAAATTAAAGAATATTTCTGAAGAATATAGGAGGGTGAGTATAATTTGATTGTTCGTTAGTAAAAATTTTATGTTGTGCATAACTCCACCTGTGAATCTTTCCATAAGACAATTTTTTTATTAAGGGTTGTTGCTGAGCATCAAACTTACTTCATATACCAACTACCACTATGTAGATACATTTGTATATACACACAATTAGTACAACATGGAGCAATGTATTTATTAAAGGTTTAAATTTTAAAAATATTTTAAAATATAGTTGTTTCTTTTTTAAATACATTTGGTAGTTTTACACTAATAAATAACAAAAAAAAGAAAAGGCCTGGAGGTTCGTTCTTGACTGACCACTGTGAAACCTCCGATTGATTTATACAGATTTATTTTTTGGGAAAAAATGGATGTAAAAAAAAGCATATTTTAACCAATTGAAGGGTATTTTAATAAAATATTAATTAACTGGAACAAAAATAAAGTAAATATTCAGTTTTGTTAATGGCAAGTTGCTTTTGTTTATGGCACACACAGCTCCACCCGGGCATTTTCATATCAATTATTTATTATTATTTTAAATATAAATTCTGTCTTATTCCTAATCAATATTTAAAAACGAAAAAGAAAAGGCCTAGTCGTTCTTGACTGTCCCACTTGAAACCCCTGATTGGTTTATAGATTTTTTTCTTTTTTATTTTATTTTTTTTAAGGCAAAACATGTTTAAGCAAATGAAACGGGATTTTTTAAAAAATTAATTTAACAAAAAATACACTGAATATGATTTTTTTTTGGGGGGAGGGGAGGCGAAAACCATTTTGGACAACTTCATGACAAACACAGCTCCATCCGTGGAATTTCCCCATAAAGTTAAGCAAATAAATTACACAATTGTTATTATTACATTATAATTTTACAATATTTTGGAAATATAAATTTAATGTTTTAATGTTAATTAAAAAAAGTCCCGGTGGTGTCTCTTGATTGACCCACTGTTAAAACTCCTGATTTATTTATACAGATTCATTTTAGACAAAACTGGAATTTATTTTTTAAAAAAGCATGTTTTAATCAAATGGTTTTTTAAATAATTATAAACTGAAAATGAATATTTGCGGAGGGGGTGAAAATCTGATGTCCACGACACACACATCTCCACCCATGCATTTTCCCATAAAGTTAAGAAAATAAATAACATACTTATTATTGTTATTATGTTATAGTTTTATAATCGTTTTGAAATACAAAATTTAATGTTTTAATGCTAATACAAAAAGGCCTGGTGTTTCTTGATTGACCCACTGTGAAAACTCCTGATTGGTACTGTATTTATGTTTAAAAAAACTGGAATTTATTTATTAAAAAAAAACATGTTTTAATCAAATAAAATGGTATTTTAATAAAATATTAGACAATTATAAACTAAATATGAATATTCACTTTTGTTAAAGGTGGAGGGGGTGAAAAATCTGTTGTCCATTTTGAGCAATTGTTGGCAGACAAAATTACACCCATGTAAAATATATTTTCTGATAAAGTTAAAAAATTAACAAATACTTATCATTGTTATTATTCCATTGTTTTGAATCGTTTTGAAAATCAATTTAATGTTTTACGGCTAATAAATATGAAAAAAAGAAATGCCCGGTCATTCTTGATTGACACACTTCGAAAACTCCAGATTGCTTTGCAGATTTATTTATTATTACTTTTTAATGGAATTTAAAAAGGCAAAACTTGTTTCAGCCAAATGAAATGGGATTTTAATTTAAAAAATTACTTAACTGTAACAAAAAATATACTGAATATGAATAAATCTTCAATTCTGTTTGGGGGAGGGGGTGAAATTTGATGGCACACACAGGCTACATCTGTGTATAATATATTTTTGATAAAATTAAAAAAATTAACTAAATACTATTCATCTTTTATTACTCCACTTGTTTCGAATCGCTTTTAAATATAAATTTGATGTTTTACGGCTAATAAACATAAAATAAAGGCCTGGTTGTCCTTGATTGATCCACTTTGAAAGCTCCTGGTTGGTTTATTATTTTAAATTTATTACTATTTATATTTATTTTTTATTTTGTTTTATGGAATTTAGAAAAACAAAATATGTTTTAGGCAAATGAAATGGGATTTCATTTTTTAAAAAATTAATCAATAATCAATTTTTTTTTGGGGGGGGGGAGCGAAAATCTGTTGTCCATTTTGGACAATTTGATGGCAAATGCAGCTCCACCCATAAAGTTGAGCAATAAATTACATACTTATTATTATTATTATTATAACGTTATAGTTTTATAATGGTTTAGAAGTATAAATTTGATGTTTTAATGTTAATAATAAAAAAGGCCTGGTGTTTCATGATTGACCCACTGTGAAAACTCCTGATTAATTTATATAGATTTCATATTAAGAAAAAAAAATTAAATTAAAAAAACGAAATTTATAAAACAAACGCATTTTTAATCAACTTAAATGGTACTTTAATAAATATATTAAACAATTATAAACTAAATATGAATATTCACTTTAGTAAAAGGGGGAGGTGGCGAAAATCAGTTGTCCATTTTGGAAAATTTGATGGCACACACAGCTCCACCTGTTCATTTTCCCATAAAGTTGAGGAAAAAATATAAATTACTTATTTATTATCATTATTTTACGGTTTTAAATAGTTTTTAAATATAATTTTGATGTTTTATACCAAATAAATAATAAAAAAAGAAAAGGCCTGGTGGTTCTTGTTAACCGTGTATACCGTGAAAACTCCTCGTTCACTGGTTTTTTCCTCCCTAAGATTTGCCTTTTTAAGGTGGAAAAGTTATTTCTCGATAATTATTTAGTTGTTTTTCATATTTAGATTGTTTAATATCTGTAAATTTTCTTTTTTCTTTTTAATTTTGTTCATGTGCAGCAAGGGAGAAAAACCAATCCCAAACCCCCCCCCCACATTAAAAGTAAGACCCCACAGGCAAACAATGGATTTGGTTTTTGATTTCTTTCCCCCTCAGTGGATTTCCAGGGCATTTTTAAATATTTGAAAATCTCCGGATTAGCAGTTTTGTTTTGTATATTTAATTTGGAAAATTTATAAAGAGGTAAGGGAGGTGTTTTTCCCTGTGGAAAAAAAGCATGCTGGGCCAGCGCTGAACCGTTAACAATGAATAGGCATGTAGCACGAGCACGGGGTTCGGTTTTTTTAAATTTAATTGTTTAGAAATTCTATAAAAGGGTTGTAATTGTCCAAATTTGTTAACATTAGTGTTGTTTAGTTTTATTGTTTTTTTAATTAAGGGGCCGGGGGCTGCGTATAGGAAGGGTGTCTACGTGCGAGACGACGTCCAGACTTCAGTTTGGGGGGGAGGTACAATAAACCTAAAGTACTCACCTACCCGCCGAGGGCTCCGAGTCCGATTGAAATTCAGCTTGATTTCCTCGGTCGCGGCCGCACACCACCCACCGGCGGCGTTCCGGGGGCAAAAAAATGAAAAACTCAAAAAAAAAAAACAAAGAAAGTCAAATTAAAAAAATAACGGAGAGAGAGAGAGAGAGAGAGAAAGCGACAAGGGCCGACGAAAGACGCAGAGTGACTGTTTATCAAAATACCCCCTACCAACACGGGCTGCCAACACAACCATCCTCCAAAACTAGACATATTCATAAACAAAAAAACATATTTAAAAATAAAAAGAGTTTAAAAAGAGCGAAACAAAACGGACAAAATCATCCTTTTTGATTAAAAAACAATTCTTTAAAAAAACGGGTAAATTTGAGGATACAAGGTTAGCAGCGCACAGGTTACAGTAGATACTAGGGCTACATACTTATCGGGGATGTTTTGACACTGGTCAGTTCCGTCTCGTCCTAACACTTCTCGTAATAAAAAAAACAACGGTTTGTAATAAAAGTGATGGTTTAAAAATAAAACATGTCTTCGTCGAGGCTCGTCCGAGGGACGAAAGCGCGCATGTTCGCGTTCGTCTGCCTCGTCTGCGTCCTGGCCGCCGTCCTCTACGTCTTCCACGGGACGCAGGTACGGCTGGCCGACGTCCAGAAGCAGCTCGTCGGCTGCACGCAGCAGAAGGAATCCTTCCACGCTCAGCTTCAAGGTGATTAGTACGAAAAATTTAAAAAAAAATTTAATTTAAAAAATTGAGACTTTCACCGAAAGGTCAAGGTTTGAGAGTCTTTGTGCAACAGGATGCTGCAATTGTCATAATTATAAATAACATGGCGATCTAGGTTTTTCCCCGTTTTCTAATCACGATCAAATTGTTAAAGTACCATGTTTTCAGAAGTATGGTCAAATCTTACTGTAACTGTTTGTTTTTTTTGTTTTTTTGTCACAAAGAACAATCTGATCTCTTTATAATCATAATCCATCATAATAATGAATTTTACCATTTCAGACTAAAACTAAAAAATTTGTCCGAAATAGGCCATTTGGGGGGGGGGGGGTTTAGTGTTTGGTGAGGATTCTTGTTCTTGTTTTTATAATCATGATTTTCATCTTAACTCTTGATATTTTGAAATAAACGTCACATTTGCTTGTTGCATTTTATATTTTGTTGTTATAAATTAAAAAAAGTAATATAATAATAAAAATTCTCAGCAAAACAAAATGAAGGAAAAGTCATCTGGTTCTTGATCAACTGTTCTCAACCAGTAGCTGTCTATGATTTTTTCTTCTATTATGATCAAATTTAAAAAAAAACTGTCCCAATATAAATAAATCAATGGGGATTTTTGTTTAGACAAATTAATTAAAAAAATGAAAATTTCGTCAATTGATCAGATTACACATAAGGTATAGAATGTCAAAGACTGGGCAAAAACTTGGTCGGGATTTGTTGGAGGGGGGGGGCTTGATCTTGTTTTTAAATCATGATTTTGTCCTCACAAATTGGACAAAAAAATAGGGTGTCGTGTTTGGTGAGGATTCTTGTTCTTCTTTTTATAATCATGATTTTCATCTCAACTCTTGATATTTTGAAATATATGTCAAATTTGCTTGTTGCATTTTGTATTATGCTTTTTTTAATGAAAAAAAGGAGAATTTTAAAAAAATCTCCATAGAGACCCGTTTTTACACTTGCCCTGCACACTTCCATGGGCATCTACAATGCCTACGCAAATATACTTTTGGTATTTTACTTTTGCATTAAAAAATCAGTGATAAAGCAAGTTCGGGAGAAATTTTTTTTCACCCCCCCCCCCTGAAAAGCTTATTGTAATTTAGTATTGGGAATGTAAATAATTAGCTTTACAGCGAATAGGATAACTGGATAGCTGGAGATTACAATTCTGGTTTACAATTTAGGGCCTTGATAATAATAATTTAAATATAAAAAAATAATATTAAAAAAAAACCTTGACTCAGCATTGAAACCGTATCAACACCATAAAAGGGGAAATGGGAATAGGAAGTACGAGAAATATTTTGAGGAAGAAATATATCAGAGCGAGGACCACTGTAAATGTTTAAAGTGTTCCTTTGTTCCCCCTTTGCAGTTATATTCGAATACAAAGAGCGTCTTGAGAAGTCGCTCAACAAGGAAAAAGTGGACCATAAGCAGACGCGAGAGTCACTTGAAAGGAGGCTCAAAGAGGAGAAAGAACGCCTCGAATCCGACTACACGAGCAAGTCGGACGTTCTACAGCAGAAGAACAACGACCTCCAAGGCCAGCTCGAAGAGCTCAAAGATGCCAACGAGAAGCTCACAGACGCAAAGACGCGCCTTTCGCTCAGTTTAGACATGATAAAAAAGGAGCTCGAGACGCTCAGGATTAAAAATGACGATACCATTGAAGGGATGAAGGTATTTTGTCGTTTTCTCTATTTTTTATTTTATTTTTTTATTCCTGTAATTTTTCTCGGTTTGAACAGACAGACTGGCTTAAAAAAGAGGAAGAAGTTCAGGAGTTGAAGAAACAGATCGAAGATTACAAGTTGAAAATGCTCCCTGAGACGGACAGGAATAACTATCTTGAGAAGCAGAACTTCCAGATGAAAGAGGAAAATGATAAAATGAAGGTTAAAAATAAATAAATAAATAAAATAATTGATCAAATTTTAAAATTAAAATTTTCAGAAAGACTTGTCAGAGTGCAAGGAGAGGGAGAAAAAACCGGCAGTCCATCCAAGCCCAGTGGCCAACGGGAAGTCGAACAAGGCCGCCGAGGAGGACGCGAACATTCTCAGGGTACGAACTTTTAAAAATAATATTTGAATATATCAATAATAATTTTTTTTCAAGGTTGGACCGTTGTTAAAATCGTTCTCTTCAACGCCAGGCATAAATCCAGATGCCCTTCTCGGCGCCTCATCTGCCAAACCTGTCAAAGACGATGTGAGTGTTTTTCTTAAATTTTTTTGTCCTTGAAATTTAATTTTTTTTTTTTACAAACACCCAAGGCGTCAAGAAAAGACGAGCAAGCCGCAGTGGCCAGCATGCCTAAAAAGCCGACACAGGTATTTCATCTCTTTTCTTTCGCTTTATTATTATTATTTATTATTATTATTTTCAATGTCTTACCTTAGGAAAGTGTGATACCACTTGTCCAGCCGAGAAAGGTTGACGATACCCTCGCTATGGGCCAGGGGCAGATCCCGCAACCTCCAAACCCGCCCAACCCGCTTTCCAACATCCTTCAGAAACCGAACGTAGTCGAAGGTGAGACAGTATATTAGTAAAACCTCCCGCAGTACAGCATAAAACATCTGCAAAAATTATCAAATTGAAATTCAACTACACCTACAAATCTATCAATTTGAGTGTGAAATGTAGAATATTGTTTAATTTCCAAATATGTAAGCATTCTCTAACTTCCTACTTGACAATTTATGTATTGGGTTGTCCGGAAAATAATGCAGGATTTTAAGTTTTCATTAAAAAAAATCTATATAAAATATTCTGTTTACGTTTACAGGATTACTCATTTGTNGTATGGGAAATTATTTTGATTAAAGAACATTGCTTTAAAGTAACTAGTTTCTTTTTTTTTGTTTAATACCAAAATCCTGCATTATTTTCCGGACAACCCAATACAATATAAATTGCATAGTTTTCCTAATCAATAATTTCTTTTCAATCTATTTTCCTGATCAATGATTTATGAGTAAGGATATGTGACATTATACGTAGGTGATCAGTGATTTATGTTTAACATGGCATAGTTTCTTGATTAATAATTTATGTTTTAAATAGAAGCATACATTCCTTATTGGAAATTTATGTGTTACATCAAAGGTTTACATATATTCATTCACATAACATTAATATGAGGCATGCTTTCTTGATCAATAATTTAGGTTCAATGCAGAAACATTAATAATTTATGTTTGATGTTTTAATGTAAAAGCAGTTTCCTGATAAATAATTTGTTTCCTAATCAGTAATTTACATATGATATAGTTTCCTGTGCAATAATTCATGTTTAATATAAAAACCAATTTCTTATCAATAATTTATGTTTAATACAAAAGCACAGCCCTGTTCAGTAATTTATGTGGGATATTATAATTTACTAATCAATAATTTGTGTTTAATGTAGAAGCAGTTTCCTAATTAGTAATTTATGTGATATAGTTTTTTTCTGTGCAATAATTGATGTTTAATCTGTAAACTAATTTCTCATCAATAATTTATGTTTACTTTAGAAGCATTATTTCTTGATCGGAAATTTAAGTGAGTTTCTTAATCAATAATTTCTAAGTGAGGATCAGTGAATGGTCATCGGATAAAGAAAACACCAAAAATGTTCCTGTGCCTTTCTTCATCCGATGACTCACTCAAATAATTTCAGTGGTTGATCTTCACTTCACACACAGTAATTTATAGTTTCCTGATCAATAGTTTGTGTGATATTGATCAATAAAATATACTCCATTCCTGATCAATAATCTGGGTTTAATGTGGAAACTAATTTCTTATCAATAATTTACATTTACTTTGGAAATATTTCCTGAGCAGTAATTTATATGGGTTTTTTTATGAATGAGGATCAGGTGAATGGTCATTGGATGAAGAAAATGCCACAAACGTGCCTTTCTTCACCCAATGACTCACTCAAATAATTTCACTGGTTGAACTTCACTTCACACAATAATTTATAGTTTCCTAATCGATATTGATTAAGATAATATATAAACCATTCCTGATCAATGTTTTATGTTTAATGTAGAGTCATCTGATCAATAATTTATATATAATGTGGAATTTCTCTTATGTTAATTTATATCTAGTATGGAAAGTTTCCGGTTTTCCAATGAATAATTTATGTTGGATTTGGAAGTTTTCAATAGTTTTCGGAGAAAGGTTTATTTCCATAGTTCCCTGATCAATAATTTAATATTATTGTGGAAGTTCTCTTATGGTGATTTATGTCTGGTATTGAAGGTTTCTGGTTTTCTTATCAATATCAATGATTTGTAATTTATCAACCCCCCGGCATCCAATACAAAAAACAATGTTATATCATAGATCCGCCAGAGGCAAACATCAATCTGCCTGAAGACAGCGAGGACAACATGATAAAACAGCAACAAGCCAAGGCGCAACTGCAAGAGCCGAACCTGTTCCTAGTCGACGCCAATCGCGCCGAAGAGGAAGAAGAGCAAGTGGCCCAATTCAAACAGTGAGTCGAACTATTCCCAATTGAAATCGGTCGCTAGTCAATTTTCATAGAACAAATCACATGCTGTACAACCTACAATTTATATTTTAGAAGACAAAAAAAGTAATAATTTAACTCACTCATGACATTTATTTGTATATATTTTCTTTTTAAACCGCACGTCCGCACAGTTTCTGCATGATTTTTTTAAATTATAATTTGTCAAATATTCTTAACACTTTTCACATAAAGTTTTTATGTAAATGCTTTACCTTATTATTAATAAAGTTTTATTTATTTATTATTTCTTGATTCACCCTTTTAATTTCTTTACATTTGCATGTGCTTAAGAGACCTATTTTTCTCTCTTAAACGCGAAAAAAAAAGTATTAAAAAATATTCGGTTCTCTTTTCACCCGAGGCCGGCCAAGAACCAGAACTACCGAGGCGGCGACTATGACAAGGAACAACAAGAAGAAGAAGGCAAGAAAATAACAATTTAAACAAGATAATAATTTTTTAAAAATAATAAAAAACATTAATATTACAGATGAAGAGGGCGAGCTGATTGACGATGAAGGTGATCGTGTTAAAGACGGCAAGAGGGTCAGAATACCCCCTCAAGTTGGACTCGTACGCTTCTTATTTTTAACTTTTTTTTACCAAAAATTTTTATTTCAAACAATTTTTTCAGATGCAACAGAGGAACGGCGGAGGCGGCGTCATGGTGAATCCGAAATAAACACCCCCCCCTACTACATACACCCGTATTCATTCCGTTGATCTAATTCACAACCTTATTTCGAAGGATGGAGGCAAGGCAAGAGAGAAAAAACTTTTAGACTTTTCATTTCCATTGATCAATTTTATAATAAACAATTTTTAAAAAGTATGCTTTTTTTCCTACCATTCTATCAGCCAGTAATGCAGTAGGATTTGAATGAATTCTACGAAATACATCATCATCAACATTAATGTTTAACAGGCTGCAAGTTATCTTATTTTATTTTATTTAATTACTTAAACAATCACATATATTGAATGGAGTGAGATATGGAAGTTCAAATGATCAGATGAGTAAAATAGCAAAGATTTGGCAATTTCCCAATTAATAATATCCCAGTTCAAAATTTAAAGTGTGATATGGAAAGGTGTGCACATAATTTCTTGATCGATAATTCATGCAGGATATGCTAGGTTTGTACAGTTTCCTGGTGAATAATTTATGAGGGATAGGGAGGGTTGGCACAATTTTTTGATCAACAGTGTATATGTTATGGACTATTTAGGATTATTGATCAATTATTTATGCACAATACAGTAGGTTTATGTAATTTACTGAACGATAATTTTTGTGTGATATGAAATGTCTTCATCTTCTCTTTAATAATTTATGCTTTATAAGTAAAGTTTACCGATCAATACTTTACACGTATTGTGGAAGATTGGCATATTTTCTTCCCACTTGTGACACTGAGTTTTTTATCTCAACCAAAGAATTTATTTGGTCAAGCAGATCACAAAACCTAATGAAATGTAATAAGCAAAATGAAGTATACTTCACTAAAGCTCTCCGTGGCCATTTCATTTGTCACCAAGAATCAAATAGATTACACATTTGAAAAATGGCAAAAAGGAGGAAAATTCAAAACGTGGGGTTGAGATGGGAAGTTGGTGTCCGAGTGGGTCGAAGACACGATAGCTCAAGTGGTAGAGCAGCGGCATATTTAGCCGTAGGTTGTGAGTTCGAATCCCACTTGTGACCCTGACTTTTTTAACAACCAAAACCTTAATCAATAATTTATGTTATATAGGAGTTTATATAGTTTCATGATCAATAATTTATACATGGTAAGGGGGTTGTATAATTTCTTGATCAACAATATAAGTGATGTGAAATGTTTACGAAGATTATTGATCAATAATTTATGCGTAATTAATTTCCTCATCAGTAATTTACATAAGCTATAAAGTTTCATAATTTAATTATCGATAATTTATGCAGGATACGGAAAATGTACGTAGTTTCTTGATAAAAAATTTATGTTAAAACAGAAAGCTTATAAAGTTTTTTGATCAATGATTTACGCGTGATAGGGAAAGTTAATTTAACTATCAATAATTTATGCAATATAGGACTTTGCATAGTTTCCTGGTCAATAATTTGTGTTTGATATGGAGTTTATTTTTCAATCATTTATGGTGAGGGACAGTTTACATAGTTTGCTCATCAATATTTTATGCGTGATCTGAGGGTGGGAAGAGTTTCTTGATAATAATTTATGTTGTTTGTGTAATTTCATAAACAATATTTTTTTATGATATATGGAAGTTTGTATCAAAAGTGATCGTCTTAAGTGGGTAAAATTTTAAAAAATAGGTAAATTTTGCCTGGTGGTTTGAGGTTGGCAAATCTATTTCCTCTCCGATTCGAATCGTGCAACCTCTCAGATTGGCGGCTTTTTTTTTGTCAAACGGCCGCTTATTTGACCGTATTCGGAATTTCGGATGAAGGGCCGCTCGGACGGAAGTTCGTCTCCGGCGGACGCCACCTCGGGCCTCGCCGCCCTCTACGACGCGTCTCGGTCGTGCGACCGGATAAAATACGCCGCTTATAGGACGGCGGCCAAGGTGAAAGTCTTCCAAGACGGCCTCGGCCTCGGAGCCGTACGCGTCTCCACCGTAGACGGCGTCCTCGCCCGGCACCGGCTCGTTTACACTAACGAAAAGATATTCGTCGGTGACGAACAGCTTGAAAGCATCCTCTACGACTTGTTCTACGCTTCCCGGGCCGAACAAGGAGCGCGTTTCGATGTCGAGAGGCGCGTAAGTCTCACAAAAGAGTTTTTAACAAAAGTCTTCAATTCTGATAAAATCAGCGTTTTGGATTTGAAAGTCTGCCTCGTTTGTTTGTGCGGATCGCCTCTACAGGCCAAATATCAGTATTGGTTCAAACAGCTTTGCGATCATAATCTCCTGCTGCCGAGAACAAGGTTGAACAAGCTGCTCGATTCACTTCTCGCCTTGACTCGATTTCTATCCGAGTCTAATACTTTTTCTTCAAAATATGTCGAATCGACATTGGACTCTTGTTATGGGACGTCGTCGTTTGGAGTGAATGCCAGTGAGTTTATCTGTTGGACGTTGAAAGAGCCGCAGTTGCTTGTCTGGCTCTCTACGCTTTACAGGATGAGGGCAGCGGAAGGAGTCGAGCATGGAGTTAGGTGCGCGTCTTGCGGATCCTCTGTCCTCGGACTGCGCTACAGCTGCCTCAAATGCATCGGCTACGATCTCTGCCAGGAGTGCTTTTTTACGGGTAAAGTTACAAAAAAGCACAAACTGAGTCATAAAATATGCGAGTATTGCGTACGTACTTCGTCTTGTGTGATGCTGATCAGGTCGCTCTTGTACCGACTCGTTCGTAACCGTTCAAAACTACAATACCTCCCTGCGGATGACGGTCCTGAAATACCAGACGATTCTGTCTTTGAAAGGCCTGGCGATAAACTCACCGATATAATAAGTCAGATTGAGGCGCAAAGGAAACTACTGAATGAACATGACGCCGAAACGATCTCTGATCATGTAAAGTTCCTAGAGGAACATGCCGAAAGACTCAGATCTTTAAGGAAAGACATACAAGATGACTTTTTTATGAGTACACCTGTCAAGAAACTCACGGCGGCATTCGACCTAAGCCCCGTCGTCGAGGTGCATGATGACCCGTCCACAAGCAGGTTTTCCGACTGGGCAGACGAGATATCTAAAGATGTCTCGTACACACAGCAACTACACCGTGACCTCGACCTGGTCATGCAAAAGCTCAACGGACTCATCGACTCCAACTTCTCAGATGAAGAAACGACCAAAGTTTGACCAGTGCAACATCAAAATATATTTGTAACTATACAATGTACAAAATGTCAATTATACAAATTTAAAATATATTTTTTAAAGAAATTATTTCATACTATCAAATGTGTACATTTTATTTATTATTATTATTATTATTATTATTATTATTATAGGTTAAGCATAGCAGCATATTTTATGGAAACAAAAATTGTGTGAAGCTGTTTAATTTACAAGAAAACGCATGTATCAAAATCTGTACCCCTTCTCATAGGATCCTGCTATGCCATGCTTGTTAGATGTAGCAATTGCCAACTTACGCCTCAGCATAATTGCTAAACTGAGTTGTAGCAATGTTGCCAGCTTGCACCTCAGGACAGTTGCTCACTTGAGGTAGTACTTACACCTCAACAAAATTGCTTGAGGTGGAAGGAATGTGGCCAACATACACTTTAGCATAATTGCCTAACTAAGGTGGTAGCAATGTAGCTAACTCACGCCTCAGCAGAGTTGCCCATTTGAGGTGGTAGCAATGTGGCCAACTTATATCTCAGCACTGTACCTACGAACACTTTTTAAACTGTTCAATACTTTTACTTTAATTCTACGACACTCCGTCTGTCACAAATCTCCATATGCATTAAAGTAATGAATATTTTACACTAATTTTATTATTTAGTTAAAAATTATGAAAATCACTTTAATGACAATGGGAAAAATTGGTACACTTTATTGAAGGCCAAATTAAATTTAAATTAAAAATGAAGTTTAAATATCTCATGGATATTTAAGGTTTGATCTTTTTTTTTTTCCTTCGGCAGTCTTGAAATATTAGTGAGTTAAAAAATAAAAATTTATAGCATTAAATTTATTGGTCCATTTTTGGTATAATCTCTGCAAAAACGTTCAGCAAAGAAATTTGTAAATTGTGCAAGAAATGCTTGATATTTTTGTAACTTAACAATGATAGATGCATTTGTTTATCCTTAATGTTGAGATCCATTTGTTGATATTTATCGATTGAAAACTTTTTTTCTTTCATTTATATATAAGAAGAAAAGGCCTTCAAGTCCAAGGTCTCGTCACAGGCCCTGGCTTCGACGACCATTCGCCATGCTATTTTTTTTGTCTTCTTCCTGTTTTTCTTTTATAATCGGGCGAAACATTCTTTTCCCCCTTGGTGCTCATCGTATATAATTGCAAGGACAAGCTTTCAATCTGCCACATCATATCGACAATGCCTAGCTGTACTTTGATCCTCATTTTGATCACGATCATATCTTCGTTTCCTTCTTCCTCTGTAATTAAAATTTAAAAAATTATTATACTTGAACAAAAATTATTTTTTATCATTTCATAGGCGAAGGAAGAAGAAAACCAAGTGGCAGTCGAACATGTCATCAAGCAGTGCACGGAGAAAAATGGAATCCAACTGCGTAAGTGTGATTTATTTTTTTTTTTAAAGTTCAAAAAAAAATTATTTTATCCGCATTTGGCCTATAGAGGAGATTGAGACTGTGGTCAAAGAGAGAAAACTACCAGATTCCAACAACTGGAAAGAATTCCTCGCTTGTGTGATCAAAGGGGTTGGATTTGTAAGTACAAATTTAACAAAAAAAATTATATCATTTTAATTTTTTTTAATAATTTTAGCAGCAAATGCGACGTTTGATGGTGCGATCTTAAGGCATAAAACAGCCTGGGAAAAGTACGACAGAGTATTTTTTTTTAAAATTTTATTCAACAATAAATCAATAATAACGAATTCAAAAGAGTTTCATTTTGTTAAAAAAATCCCAAGACCATCAGTGATCTGTTGTCTTCAAATTTTTTTGGCGTCTAACTTCCAACTTTGGAGAATTTTTGAAAAAGCTTTGGTATCATGCAAAAAATGCCTTAAGCTTAATGAGGAACTGGAAATGCATGGACCTATACTGGTCGCTGTGTGCAGATCGTAAAAAGGCCAACGTCCTTAAGCTTATTATTTCTCCTCTCTCTATATCCTGTGCCCTGGGACCCCTCGAAGGGTAGATCGGTCTGATAAGGTCTGATAAAAGAAAGGCTTTATCCTATTCATGCTGGGGAGAAATGTTGGCCTGGGTCTTGGTTTTGAATGAAGGAGGTGGATTGCTGGAGGCTTTTCTTAAGATGAACTCCTTGACTGGACTCAGGTGATCATCTCGTGCCTTCACACTCTCTCTTCATCTAACTTCGTTCTCTGGTACAGCCAGTCTTAAACTCAACAGTGACGGAGGGAAAGAAAACCAAATTCCTGAGGCCTGGTAGTCAAAGCTCTTCTTGTGGGGGTTGGTGGCCTCAGACCATCTGACTAACACACACCACAATACCTGGGATCTTTAATCGCATTTTTTGTGTCAATCAAACACATAATCAACAAATACCTATATAATGGAAGTAACTATTTTTTTTATCAAATGTAGAAGCAAAGAAAAATTACACATGTATATCTTGAAATAAATTTACAACAAACACATACCATAATAAATCCTAATATATTAAAATATACATATAATTGATATAAATTGATTTTTTTACATTAACATTACACATTATATGTGTAATTATATATTAATGTTGTACTCTTAAAATAAAACTTAAAAAAATTCCGAACTAAAACTCTAATTAAGTCGGCAAGCCTGATTAATGCCAAATTGGTCAAACAATGAATAACTTCTGAAAATGATCTATTAAGAATATAGTTGGCAGCATTGCTACCACCTCAGTTAGGCAAATATGCTGAGGTGTAAGTTGACCACATTGTTACCCCCTCAAATAGGCAATGACTCGGCAAACGGGTTAAAACTGAGGTATTATAATTGCAAATTAGTAGATAAAAAGAAAACAGAATAATTTACAAAATAAAGAAATTGATATAGAAATTAATAATGATAGCCACAAAAGGTGGGTGAAAAATGGCAAAAGGTGGGAAAATTCGAAAAGGTTGTAGATAGAGATGGGAAGTTGGTGTCCGAGTGGATCGAAGTCACGATAGCTCAAGTGGTTAGAGCAGCGGCGTATTTAGCCAAATGTCATGGGTTCGAATCCCACTCGTGACTAACTTTTTCATTTCAACTAAAAGCTTACATAAAAAGATTATTTAATTGAAATAATAATAATATTTAACTGCTTTAAAAAAAATCACATCCTTTTTGTCTTATTTATCATCTTTTAAGGGAAAAACATTTGCCAGGCATTTGTACTGATTTGCATGAGGTGTTTAAGTTACCACAGATGGTTGGACCATTTACTGTGTGTTTTATTACGCTATTAAAGATCTTTTCTAATTCAAATATCATAATTAAAATCCTAACTGCAATAATTTTTTTAAAATTTAGATGAAAAATGTTGGATGAAATGTTAAATCTTGGGGATTGCAACATCAACTAAGAGTTTTACATAGCCATTCATAACTTGAAAATGGCTGCCTCTCTACATAAAAATTAGACATTTACCTCGTAATTTTATAAAATGCTATATTCAGAAAGCTTGTATTTAAGTAAATCAACTTACAAAAAGAGTTAAAAGTGTTTTAAAAAACTTTTCCTTACATTGGAATGATAGGAGGTGTAGGAGCTATGGTCTCACTTGCAATACTAGGAGTTAAACATTTCAATTTTGGGTCTTTTGGGAAAATATTATACTTTTGACCTAAGTAATGGTAAAAAGAAGAAAACAAAACAAGTCGAAACTTACATGTACTGCAGTATGTAACGTTACAAAAAAAATAAAATAAAAATATCTCAAGTCCGATCTTGTCTGTCTGGTTTTAAATAGTTCAATATAATATTTTAATGTTTGTCCATCGTAAACTCTTTTATAAATAACATATTTGAAAACATAGTTTATGGAAGCAAGTAGAGTACTTATGATTCCCTTGTAGGCCTCTTTAGTCAAATGACCGACGGTTACTGTCACCACACTGGACCAGTACTGCCAACCTACGAATTTCCTCAATGTCATTTCCGTTTAAGGCAACACTGCCCATTTTTGATGTAAAAGATTTATTGAAAAAATGAAATTTTATAATATTTACATTAATAATTTTTATTTTTATCAAATAAGTAGTTTACAAATTAAATCTGACTTTAATGCCGTCTAGATTGTATTTTTTTTTTTTTTTTTTTGTAATAACCTAGCTTAATGCATATTATTAATGGCACCTAGCATGATTTCCTAGAATTTCTTTTTTTTGTTTTTTAACTCTTTAATTTATCAAGGGATGAAAATATGAGCCTGTTTGCAATGAAATCTTTTTTTTTATATTGTCAAATGTTTAACCCCAACTCAGGGAAGCATCTTCTTGCATTCCACTCGACACTGGGAGATTTAACTTGGAAGCTTTTTTATGTCATAGTCTGTCTTAGAAATGTAGAATATTAAAAATAGATTTTTTTTCTTCTTCAAAAGTCACATTAATTAAAATTTTATTATTAAATTTACAAAGCAAATGCAGACCTACCTTTTCAATCAAGATGCACCTAATATTGGAAGGTAATTAGACTGTAATCCTGTCTCAATTTTTACTTTTACTGTTGTTACTATTTGTTACTATTAATGTTACTAATTAATTAATTTTATTGTATTTTCATATTATATTATGATTATATTGCTGGCCTGAAGAGAAATTATTACCTGGAGACAATAAAATTGTCTCTCTCTCATTCTCTTTCGTTCAAATTTATTCTCAAAATATGCAGAGCTTACTAACTTTTTAATTATTTAAATTCTGACTCTAGAGAGAGAGTGAGAGAGAGAGGATTATAAAATATAAAGAAACAATGTTTTTACTTTTTTGTATTTAAAGTTTCAACTTAATGTTGTTTCTTGTGGTTGGGTTATAAAAAAGAAGGGGTGGAAGAAAATTTTTTTAAAAAAATGGAACTCATGCCCCCCCCCTTGTATGTTTTGCCTTCCAGCCGTTTAACCGGCCCACGTGTTGGCTGCCACTTGTCGGAGTCATTTAACTGAGGTCAATTAAACAGGGGTCACTAGAGAGGGGACGAGAGGCAGGGCCGGGCCAGAGTCGGCCATACAACCGGTGGACCAATTTTTTTTTTCTTTTCTAAACCCTCCTTTACCCAAGGCCCAGTTTAAACGCCTTAAAAAAACAAAAACAAAAAAAAAACAAGGAAATATCTCAACAAAGATTAAATGACTATAACCGGCGATTTATTCGATATCAGGAGCCATGGCTTTTGTCGGCAGGTCAGTACTTTTGAACGTGAATCCATTTAATGCACGAAAATAATTTACAAATAATTCAATCGACAATATAAATAATTATACATTTTAAAATAAATGCGCGACTTGTTTCTTGATCGGCAGAGAGGAGCGAGAGGTCCGAGAGACAGTACGGACTGAAAGTGAGCAGGAGGCCAATCTCTGGTAAATTCTCTGATAAGAGAAAATTCAAAGGATATATGCTGGCATGTAAGTTAAATTTAATTAATTATATATATAAATATATACTAGTATATACTATATATACTTAATAAAAAATTCAGATTACAGAGGTATTCAATATAAATATGTACAATAAAATCAATTTCAATACATTTTATTATTACAGTACACACAAAACGTTAAACCTATTAGAATACATATACTGTCTATTTTCCTTTAAAAAATAAGTTTTTTTTCAGTTTATTTAATATTTTCTTCATTAGTTCTTATCTTCTTCGCTTATTAAGCAGTAGGTAAGTCTGACATATTAAAAACAAGAAAAAATGTAGACTGACCTACAATATTTTTTTTTAATTTGTTACTGAACAATAAAAAATTCGTATAGTCTAAGCTGGTCTTGGTATTACTCTCCTTTTTAGTCATTCGCTCTCTCTCTCTCTCTTTCACACAAACACACACACACTCACTCACTCCCTCAAAACATTCTCTCTCTCTCTCTCTCTCTCTCTCTCTCTCTCTCTCTCTCACACACACACACACACACACACCCCCAGAGTTGTTCCCCCCTCTGTTTTTTAATTTTAAAAATTTTAATTACGGAGAGAGAACAATGTATAGAGAATTTTCATTTTATTAATTAACTATTGGCCGTATTCCATTAATTAAAAAAACAATCATCTTTATTTTATCCTCGATCTGGTCTCAGAAGACAATCAAAGAAGGCCACCTGTTAATAAATGAATATTTGATTTGTGTAGCCTTATTTCTCTTTAATTTCCAACATCGTAGCAATATGTCCATACAAAACAGCTACCCAAATGTTTTGTGTAATTGATTAGCATAAGTCTAACTAAGAGAGGGTTCTTTTTTTAGAGGGGGGGGGGGTATTCGCACTCTTGTAGACATTGGCCGATCTCATTGTTGTCTAGCACAACTATCGAACCTGTTTAACTCCCCAGACGACAGGCCGTTGGTCAAAACAGGAAATGAACAATCAGAACTTAAAGAAAGGGGGCGATGAGACAGAAAATTAAACTGAGTCTCTTATATGGAAAATTCAATGCACGTTCAAGGAAGGAGACTTTCTCTTATATCTTAAATAGATGCATTAGGACCTTCTCTTTACTCCAAAATTGCTCATTGCCCAATAAACACTAATTAAAACATATTATTGTGAATGCACAATAGCATTTATTAAATGTTAGAGATCCTCTGATCATAAGTGGTCCTCCCATATCTCTATAAATCAAACTTGTTTTAATTTAACCGATTATAACTGCTATAATCAGATTTAAAAAATTTTTAGACTTTATATCTGATTAGGGAACCATAGCAGCCTAGTGGTTAGGGCATGCTCTAGCAGTTCTGGTTTCGAATCCCAAAGTAGCTTATGATTTTTATTTCTTAATAATATGTAAAAATCCCTTCATCCGTACCACAATGGTTTTGGACATTAAACACTTCACAGGTCGAGAAAAGCCAATTTTATATTACATTAAAATATTAAATTTTTTTAAGGGATGCAAAGGAGTTCACGGGGATCACGTTCGAAAACCGTTCCGGTGTCTTCAACTCTCTCAAGCGTACCAAGATAAGGTCAGTGAGCCTGATTTTAATTAATAATTGTCTTTAAATGAGCTTTATTGTCTTGAAGCATAACTATGTCAAACAATAAGTGGTAATCAAATTGAACAAAATGCCAGTATATATTTTGAATTTTCTACATTTGTATATTATTATTATTAATTTTTAAGGGCGTTTTAACGGCTAAGATCATTTCACGCCCTAACATCCCAAATCTTCTATCTTAGTTTAGCTATATCCCTTCTGAGTGCTATAAAGCTCTGACTCCAAACATTCACTCATAAACTAATTTATCCTATTGCCATCCAAGCTTTAATTTTTCCTTTTAAAATTCTTAATTTGAAAGGCCAAATGTATGCAAAAATCCCATTTTAAATTACATATAAAATTTATTTCTGTTTTTTTTTTTTTAATTTGAATTTTGAATTTTTGTTCCATAATTTAAACATTTCCCATAGGCTTGAATGGCTAATAATAATAATAAAATATCATATTTGAATGGATGAATAAAAGGATAAGGATGAGCCTATACTCATGCTGAGACTGTTGCTAGTCTGACTCCATTATTGTTATTATTGTTAGCCATACAAGCCTACGGGAAATGTTTAAATTATGGAACAAAAATTCAAAATTCTAATTAAAAACAAGAATAAATTTTATATGTAATTTAAAATGGGATTTTTGTATACATTTGGCGTTTGTGATATCAGATGCGTATTGAGATAGAAAAAACTGTTATTTTCATTGGTCAGATTGGAACCTCTCACTCAGTGAATGTACTGGCTCTGTTTTTGTGACTCGCCGAATTTATTTACATATTTGGCCTTGTCAAAAGCATGTGAAACATCAAGGAGGATAGCAAGAAAAAATTTATTTTTGTTTGAGTGATTTTTTTTATTATATCCATAAGTTGGCAACATTGCTACCACCTCAAATAGCCAACTATGCTGAGGTGTAAGTTGCCAATGTTGCTACTACCTCAAATAGGCAACTATGCTGACATGTAAGTTGGCAGCATTGCTACCACCTCAGTCAGGCAACTATGCTGAGGTGTAAGTTGCCAATGTTGCTACCACCTCAAAAAGGCAACTATGCTGACATGTAAGTTGGCAACATTGCTACCACCTCAGTTAGGCAACTATGCTGAGGTGTAAGTTGGCCATATTGCTACCACCTCAAATAGCCAACTATGCTGAGGTGTAAGTTGGCAACATTACTACCACCTCAAATAGCCAACTATGCTGAGATGTAAGTTGGCAACATTGCTACCACCTCAAATAAGCAACTATGCTAAGGTGTAAGTTGCCAATGTAGCTACCACCTTCAATGTGCAACTATGCTGAGAAAGTCGGCAATATTTCTGCCACCTCATATAGGTAAATATGCCTAGGTGTAAGTTGGTCACATTGCTACCTCCTCAGTTAGGCAATTATACTGAGGCATAATAAGTATATATGTTGGTATTACAAATGCAAATTAGAAGACAAAAGAAAACATTAGAATTATTTACAAAATTAAGAATATAATACAGAAACGACTCTTTAACTGACTCTTTACAATACATTGTTGGACAGTACCAAAAAGCCATACCTAAACCAAAATTAAATTAATAATAAATTTAAAAAATTTCTTTAGTAGGTATACAAATTGAGATGTTTGTTCTTAAAAAAATACATAACTATATACATAAAATACATTAAGAAATACATAACAATAGCATTGCCTTTTGAAATGACTCGCATTTCAGAATTTGATGCCGAATTTTAAGCGTTTTGATTCAGGCACAAAGGGTAAAAAAGTCTTTCAAATCTGTCTGATAATGGTAGTTTTGTCCAATCCCAAAAGAGCAGTCATTCAGTTCCACCGGTCAGTAAAACGAGCTGGGATCTTGCAAAAAGTTCATAAACCGTTTGCCCCAAAATTATCAAATTTTACCTGTTTCGCCTTTGTGGTAATAAAGAAACAACAGCAAAACAAAAACGATTAAATAAAAACTGCTTCAAAACGAATTTTTGGAATAACTGTATGGTTTTATTTTACAGATTAATATTTTATTATATTTAGAGAGGAAGAAAGAGTATGATGAGGGATTTTTAAATATCCCGCTTTTTCCTTTTTTTTCAAGAACAGCTGAAATCATGTCCCCACCCTTTTGTAAATTTGCGATGGGGGCGCCATAATTATTTTAAATTTTTTTTTTCTAAAAGCATTTCTTTACGTTTCAGATTTAAAATTTATCAGTGCTTAGCGTTTCCTTTATTTTTTTAATAAAATTTTTGGGTTTAGTGTCTGAAGAGTTTTTTCGGTTGTGAAGAGGAAGTTGTGGAGTGAAAAAAAAATGTAGTGGTGTTTTGTTATGGCGGATTTTTTTAAAATATTTTATTATTTTATTTTTATATATATTATTTTTTTTAAAGAAGGACTTCACTCAATTCAGATGGACCGGGCGGACTTTACACGAAGCTCTCGCCGGACGGTTCCCCACCACCGAGCCAGGAGCCTCGCGCCCGTCAGTTCCAGGTATGCAGTCAGGCTAAGATGGCGAACGTCCCCTGGCCCAACAGCAAGGATGACTACGAACTCAAGGAGGTGATAGGTAAAATGTCTAAATACGGGTCCGCCCGGCTTCGCTTTATATCAGCCATGACGACACGACAACGCGGACAAATATAAAAAAATCAGTGTTTTTCTTCGTAAAGGTGTCGGCGCGACGGCCGTCGTACACGGCGCCTTCTGCAAGCCGAGGGAGGAGAAATGCGCCATCAAGAGGATCAACCTGGAAAAATGGAACACGAGCATGGACGAACTTCTGGTGAGTGATAACACGTTTATTTTCACTTTATTACACCCGTGACCAAAAAGTCACTTCATTTTAACCTTATTTCTAAAATAAATAAAAATTAAAACCCGACTGTTTTTTCTTCCCCTCCTTAAAAAAACCAAACTGATAAGAAAAAAAGGGGCGTTCGTTTTTGTCCCAAACCTGCCAACTTAACCCTTTCTCAATTTAGGTCAACGAACTCATTCAAACTCACTAGGGGTTTTTTCCCCCACAAAAAACGATTGCATCATTCTCTCTTAAATTCACCTCGTCATCAACAGAAAACTTGTAAAGGAGTCCAAAGACAAAAAATCATTTATTGATGATAAATCATGCATTTTTCATTTTATCGGGAGGTTTCATCATGCCGAGGATTTTCCCTCGTTCTCTGAACAATCAATACAAATTGTACCGGTTGGTACACCGGTTGGTTTCCCATGAATTCTATACGTTCAACTTTGAACTCTAATCGGATTGATTGTTCAAAAAGGTTTCGTCATAGGCAGGTTATCTGATTGATGGATCAGCAAGTTTCATGAGGGTTTCCTTTACATTGATTCCACAATATCCATGAGACACAGTTGATTGCACTAGGAGGTTTCATCAGGTGAAGGTTATCCTTTTGAATTTGACTGATTTCCATGGGATTTGATTGATTGTATCAGGAAGTTTCCTTAGACGAAAGATTTCTTTTAAAGTAAATCCGCAATATGCATTGGCTTGGATTGATTATGGGAAGGTTTCATCAGGAGAAGGTTATCCATTCGATATGAATTCGCATTATCCATGTGATTTGGTTGATTGTATGAGGTTTCATCAGCTGAAGGTTATCCTTTTGAATCTGATTGATACCCATTTGTTCTCATAAATCTCAATCCATAATAGCCATGGGTTTTGATGGATTGATTGATCATTCATTTCGTGCTGTGGTTTTCCATTAAATTGTTTCCACAATATCCATGAATACAAGAAGGTCTCATAAGAGAACAGTTATCTGTTCAATATGATTCCACAATATTTGGAGGATATGATTGATTCATGAGAAAATTTCTTATCTCCAGGTTTTTGTTTCATCAATTGATTTCATCTGTTGTTTGAATGGATTAATTCCCATCAGTCATAGGATTGATTGTATAAGTAGGTTTCATCATGAGGAGGTTATATCTTCAATACAAATCCGCGACATCCATGGGATTTGATTGATTGATTATATGGGGATGTTTCATCAGGCGAGTATTTCTTTTTAAAGACAAATCCGTTGAATATGAATCTGCGATGTCCATGAAATTCGATTGGGGTAGATCAATAAATATTGGGTGATATCCATGGTTTTGATTGATAGAATAGAGGTGGGGGGTTCTCATGAATTTGATTGGCTGATAGGATACAACGGGAATTTATGGGAAATCCATGAACCAGGATGAAATTGATGTCAAACCCAAGGATATGGAGGGTTTCATTCTTCTCTGTTTATTTTCTTTTTTTTTTTTAATGTTCAGCTTAAAAATAAATGAAGAAAAAAAATTTAAAACGTTCCTCCGTTGAAAAATTCAGGTTTGTTTACCGGCCCCACGTAGGAAACCCTGTGTTGTTTTGGTAAGTCGATCATTTTAAAAGTTAAAGACTGCTTTGAAAGCAAAAAAAGCTTTTGAATTTTATAAAGCGAACGATGCTTGTTTTGCTCATTATGGGGTCCCTGCTTGCTCATACCGCTTTGTAAAGATGAAGTACGCGTTCTTCCCCCTGCTTCTTAATAATTAAAAAAAAAGGACGTTTCAATTCTCTGTTCTGGGCATGACCCCGCGCCCTCCCCCCCATCGTAGAAGGAGATCCAGGCGATGTCGTCGTGCAATCACGAGAACGTCGTCACATATTATACGAGCTTCGTCGTACGGGAGGAACTTTGGCTTGTACTACGTCTACTCGAAGGCGGATCTCTCCTCGACATAATCAAGCATAAGATGCGTTCCGCCAACTGCCGCCACGGGGTCTTCGACGAGTCGACCATTGCCACCGTCCTCAAAGAGGTGCTCAAAGGCCTTGAGTACTTCCACAGCAATGGACAAATACACAGGTAATAAAAAAAAATTAATAACAGCAATAAATTTCCTGAAGATAGTTTAAATAAATAAACCCTTTATCTTGTTGATTTTTTTTTCTTTTTTTTTAGAATTGATTGTAAAACTTTATTTGTTTGCAGGGACATCAAGGCGGGGAATATTTTACTCGGCGAGGACGGCACAGTGCAAATAGCCGATTTCGGCGTGAGTGCCTGGCTCGCAACCGGGCGGGACTTGTCCAGGCAGAAGGTACGCCACACTTTCGTTGGTACGCCTTGTTGGATGGCACCTGAGGTTATGGAGCAGGATCACGGTTACGACTTCAAAGCCGATATCTGGTCATTCGGGATCACGGCGATTGAGATGGCGACAGGCACGGCACCATACCACAAGTACCCGCCTATGAAGGTGCTCATGCTTACGCTTCAGAACGAGCCACCTACACTCGACACAGGTGCAGAGGAGAAGGACCAGTACCGGGCATATGGGAAGACTTTCCGTCGCATGATCATCGACTGCCTACAGAAAGACCCTGCCAAACGGTATTCCAAACATTAAAATAATATACATTTTACTTAATTTTTTTACTTTTTAATTTTGTTTTTTTAAAGACCTACGGCCACCGAACTTCTAAAGCACCCGTTCTTCAAGAAGGCCAAGGACAGGAAGTACCTTCAGCAGACGCTTGTAGCAATTGGGCCTAGCTTGGAGACGAGGGTGCAGAAAGCAGCGAAACGTCAGCCTGGCACGTCAGGCAGGCTGCACCGTACGGTGACCGGTGAGTGGGTTTGGTCTTCCGAGGAAGAAGGTGGACTTTCAAGCGATGAAGAGGTTATTATTTTTAAAAAATTTGCATTATATATTGTTTGTTTTTTTAATTAATTTTTTTTTTTTTTTAATTTAGGGAACTGAAAAACCGATGAACAACTTGGAGGAAGGCTCTTCAGGGAGTGAGAAGGACCTGACTGAATCAGAAGGCGTATCACCATTGAACCTCGTCCTTCGTATGAGGTAAGACTCGTCCCTTTAAAACAAAAAAAATAAAATAAACTACAAGCGCGATTCCCTGGCTCGGTTAAAATCACACGGTTCAGTTTCAACCCTCAAACCGTAATCGTATTTTGTTTTTTCTCCAGGGTACCGAATTTGTGCTGTAACATTGTACTGCCAACGCATTTGTGAGACTTTTTCTTTTAATAAATATTAAATTTAAATTAATATTAATTAAATAAAAGTATCGGCTTGTAAAATAAGTCAGTGGCATTTTTCAATAATTCGATTTGAGGAGATATTTAGTCGGCAGGTATTTTTCCCCAGAGGGGAAACAGCAGGTCAGACTGGTTAAAGCCAAACATCACAAATTAGGTAGATTTGTGATGTTTAGCTTTTGCCATAAATAATAATAAATGGGAAATCGGTGAGCTTTCCTAAGTGGACGATCAGTCGATCAAAAGAAAAATATAAGCAGCAACTGTGACAATTTACCACAGTTCACTGTTCTCTCACCACTCACCACTTGTTGACTGCTCACCCTGGAAGTACACCACTCACTGTTCACTGCTGTTCATCAGTGAACAACAAACTGAGTGGTTGTTCATTCGATTTAAAAAAAAAAAAAAAAAAAAAAAAAAAAAAAAAAAAAAAAAAAAAAAACATATATAAAGAGTACCAGAAACTTCAGCAGTTCACTGCTTGCTGCTACCTGGCAGGTCTTGCTCATTGACCAATCCTTGCTCTACAGTGATTCCAAACCGCTTCTGATCTATCCTAGATATCTGGTTTGATTTTAATAGTTATCCATTTTTTTGCTCTGACAGTTCTTCAAAAATTGCTGTAGTTATATTTTCCTTATTCAATGCAAATATTTATTTGGAAATTTTCCATTGTAATTTTTTTTCTCTTTTTCAAGCAAGGAAGAATGTTTATTATTATTGTAGAGTTCAAATCTTCTTTAAGGTCTTTACCAGGTAAAAGAAAGACAAAAGTGTTGGGATCACCAAGCTCTCGGCAACATTATGTTGCCATCATCAGGGCCTATTTATTAAGAAAAAATATACATAATTAATATACATTTAACAATCAACAATTAAAACAATAATGCATACTTTCCCAAGAGAGAAGAGAAAAAAATTCTCATTGGAAAAAACTAATGTAAAAGTGCTTTGGTTTAGGTTATGAAGCACATGGCCAGCATTCAGTTATACATGGTGAACAAGACATCTATATAAAGTAGTGAGTAATTATTTGCATATAACATTAACAATTGACAAAAATAATAATTTATATATATATATATATATATAATAACATTTTTTTAAAATTACCTCACTAATGAATTCATATAATTACAAGTCCAAAGTCCACTTTTTTTTTGACTACTTTGTTACTAATTGTAACAGTCCAACCTTAGGTGAGGCGACGTTGTGTCGTGTTCTCATCTTAATTGTAATCCTTTGTATCGGGTTGTCCGGAAAATAATGCAGGATTTTAAGTTTTCATTAAAAAAAATCTATATAAAATATTCTGTTTACGTTTACAGGATTACTCATTTGTATNAAAAAAATGTTATTATATATATAAATTATTATTTTTGTCAATTGTTAATGTTATATGCGAATAATTACTCACTACTTTACATAGATGTCTTGTTCACCATGTATGAATGAATGCTGGCCATGTGCTTCATAACCTAAACCAAAGCACTTTTACATTAGTTTTTTCCGATGAGAAGTTTTTCCCTGCTCTCTTGGGAAAGTATGCATTATTGTTTTAATTGTTGATTGTTAAATTTATATCAATTATGTATATTTTTTCTTAATAAATAGGCCCTGATGATGGCAACAATGTTGCCAAAAGCTTGGAGATCCCAACATTTTTGTCTTTCTTTCACCGGGTAAAGACCTTAAAGAAGATTTGAACTCTACATTGATTATCTGCAGATCGATTTACAAACATCATTTCTTCGTTTATTATTATTATTATTATTATTATTATTATTATTATTATTATTAATTTCTGTATTATTTTCTTTGTTTTGTAAATTATTCTGTGTTCTTTTTATCTACTAATTTGCATTTTTAATTCTAGTATAATTGCCCATTTGAGGTGGTAGCAATGTTGCCAACTTAGACCTCAGAACAGTTGCTCACTTGAGATAGTACCATTGTTGCCAATTTACACTTCAGCATTATTGCTCAACTGAGGTGGTAGCAATGTTGCTAACTTACACCTCAGCATAATTGCTTACTTAAGGTGATAGCAATGTGGCCAAGTTACACTAAGGCTCACTACTCACTGCTCTCTGGCAGCTCATCACTCATTGACCACTCACTGCTCCATAGTGATTATTTCCAAACCACTCCCGACCTAGCTTAGATATCTAGTTCGATTCTACTAGTTATCCACTTTCTTGCTCTGATAGTTGTTCAAAAATATGTTACCTAAATAGGAATCCCTATAAAATTATAACCATGTCTAGAAAGTGCAATTTTTCATATACTTTCCTTAGTGCCTCTTCACAGCCCCATTTTGGTGTGATAAATGGCCTACCGAAGTGGCTGTACCGTCAGGCTAATGCTTCACATTCACAAAGGATATCCTTGCCAATCTTCCTCAGATAATAGTTAAGAAGGCAGTGCCGGAATAGAGACCTATTTATAATCCTCCTCAAATCCTGTCTGTTGAGAGAGAAGAATCCCTCTGCCTTCCTTTTTAAGCTTGCCTCATACCTGGTGGTTGGGATTTTCTTTTACAGTCCATTTTTTCCAGTCCCAACTTAAGCACTGTGCCTAGTTGGGGTTCTGGTCCCATGGGTGATCTTTGATCGATTCTAAAGTTGGTGGAGCCACAAAAAAGACCGTCGAGTCCTCTTAGTAAGCGGTTTGAATTCTGATTTGATTCCTGAAAAAGAACGTCTACACGAGACGATACAGAGACACTTGACATATCTCATTAAAATTTCTCTGAGTTAATTGAAAAAAACTTAATGAAGTCTGCAATCAAAACATCGAGGAATTAATCACTAACCTGAGTTCTGGTAGGTCAAAATTACAAAATTTGTTCTGGACGTATTTTATGACCTGATACAAACATTTGTAGTATAAGATTTTTTCTCTCCATCCACAAACCGTTTAATAATAATATTTAAAAAAAAATATTTATAAAATTGGTGAAAATTGAGATATAATTTTTTTTTGCTTTTTTTTCCGGGCAGGAATGCCAAGAGGGAGCTGAACGACATCAGGTTCGAGTTTGCCGTCGGTAAGGATTCGGCAGAGGGTATTGCGGCCGAAATGGTAGGCGCGGGTCTTGTTGACCCACGCGACATGATCGTAATCGCCACCAACCTGCAGAAGCTGATCGAGACCCAGGGGACCAATTCAGTCACGTTCCAGCTTGTAATTATTATTAATTATTTATTTATTTATTTTGGAAAAAAATAAGTTTTATTTATTTATTTATTTATTTTTTTTTTAAATATAGAATTCTGGTATAGCGCCGAATGAGACTATGAGTGATGTGGCGCTCATCGGCTTTGCGGCCATCTCGATACTCGAATAAAACTGGCCTCGGAGCTCTCCTTTGCCCCTGCACCGCAAAAAACCAGCCGACTAACAAATTATAAAAAATAAAATAAATGGATAATAAAAAAAACTGGGGGAAAATTAGGAACAATTGATTTTTCTTAGATTTAAATTGTAAATAAACGGAAAAACAATTTTTAGTGTCTTTGCCGTATATTAGACAATTTTTAGTAGAGGAGAAACAAAAAAAATTTTTTTTAAAATAATTTCTAAAATTACGAATCACAGCCTCATGCCAAAACAAATTAATTCACATACACACTCTGTCTAGGAAGGACTTTAAAAAAAACGTTCTTGTGAATATTCATTGCAATAATGATCAACTCCCAAGGACACCTGGAACTGACGACTTCTATTCAGTGAAAATTTATTTATTTTACTTCTATTTTTAATTTTATTTCCTCATTATCCAACTAAAAAGGGCAAGGCTTATATAAAAATAATTTAAATAATATATTTATGTTGTTTTTTGTTGTTGTTTTTGTTTTGTTTTTGTTAAAAAAAAAAAAAATGGACAAAATCTATGGAATAATACACTAGTCAGTTGATTTTTTGGAAGCTCTAACAAAAACAGAAAAAAAATGTATAAATAATATTTTTAAAAAAATTCTCTGGCCTTTATGACCGATTAATTGATTAATATTAATGATAATTTATAAAATTATATTTTAAATGTACTTAATTAATTTATGTGTCATGTGTGTAAATATTCTGTTTTATAGGTAAAAATGCAAAACGAAAAGGTAAAAGAAAATAATAAATAAATAAAACTGGGCCCTCTGCTTTTAATAAAGACCGAAACCCTTGGTTCACAAAGGATCTGAACTTATTTAAGCCTTTTTTTAGCCATTACCAAAATAAAGGACAAAGGGTTTTTTTATTATTATTATTCAGTAATTTAATATTATTATTTACAATTATTCAGTAATTTTAAAATCAAATATGAAACAGATACGAAGTGTTGACGAGCTGAAAAAAAAAAAAGTCATATCACAATAAAAAATCATCGCGTTAATGGGACTGTAATGGCTGAGTGGTTTTGAGGTCCGAATCGTAAGAAAATTTCAACTTAAAGGTAAAATATTAACACCACCCTTTGGCCTACTTAATTTTTAGAATTGAGACTTTTTTTTAGAGGATGTACAAACTGCCACCAGGCCTTACAGAGGCAAAGTTAAGTGAAATGAGTCCATAGAAAACAGAACGGACGAGCTGCCGGGTAAAAATTCAAGAATATTAAGAAAACTGCTGGGAGAGAGTGAGTTAGATTGAATCTCGTCTTTTAATTTTCCACTTGATATATTTCTAGACATAAGTAAATACAAAACAAGGGCCCTCGGTAGCCGAGTGGTTAAGGCGTCAGACTCTCAGCTAGTAGATCCCTGGTCGTGGGTTCAATCCCCACCGTCACCTCTGGACCTTTTTCTTGATGCCTAAGGGGGCGGCCGCAATTGAAAGAAATTGACACGGCACTCATCAATTGAAGGGGCAGGATCAGATCTCAATGATCCTGAATTTGGTCCTGACCACCTCCGAATATGAGTTTCTTCAATGGAAAAACACCGGGGGCTCAAATTCACACCCCTAAAAATGGAGCCAGGGATAAAGTACAATAAGCTGACCAGCTGCAGTGCTCAGGGGAACTACAGTTCCTGGTATCCATTGTAAAAAAAACGACTTCCTTGATCACTTCACTCGACTTGATCGTTTGGCTAGTCACTCATGCTTGTTCTCCCAGAATTTTTAAAATTTTGTGCACATAAAAGCGTATTTGAGTATTGTATGCACAAGTAATATCAAAACAAGATGGCGCCTGACTATAAAAATTACTTGATCCTTTTATTTATTTTACGACTGTTACAGTTGGAAATATGACTAAAATCATGATCAATTTATGATCTCATTGTCTTTTAATGTTACATGCGATATAAAGAAATGCATAATTTGTGAATTTCTTGATGAATACGTAAGTAAAATTAAAACAAGTGGGCGTCTTGGTCACAAAACTCATTCGATCTTAATAATCTTTAATTTAGCCGCTGAGACGGTAAGGAATATGATTAAAATCATGATCTATGATCTCATTGTTTTAATTTTACATACATAAATAACGGTATAATTTGAGCATAGCTTGATATTTGTGTATAAGTAAACAAGATGACGTACAAGGGGACGACCAGGTAGGCTAGGCGGGTCACAGATTTGACTTCACAAAAAAAATTTAAAGTTGAGATTTTCTGTTATTTATTATAATATTTTTATTTTGCTGTTCAAACTGTAGAAGTAAAATAATTTAAAAAAATTTGTTCATTTATTGACAACTGCACTTTAAATATGCAACAAGTAAAAATATTGAAATGGTTATTATATGGTGTGAACGTGCGCACAAGGTTTATGCACGGTCACACAAGACATTAATGGTGTCCATCTCTGGTTAGTTCACCAACAGGGTGAAACAATCCTTCGCCAATGTTAGACAACTAAGTTGTCACATTGCTTCATCCTCTGACTTGGATCAGTGGGTAATGTTGAGGATTACAATTTGCGGATTAAGTAAGGGGTCGAGTGATTGGGTAAATTAGAATGTATAGGTTTGTAACAAAATTGGTCAAGAGTACGAATGAAAATTTCAAGTTGGAATGAATTGTACGTCAGAGAAATAAAAGGGAGCATTGACTATTGTTTGAAGGATTTTAGATCGTAAAGTTTGTAGTCCGTTAAGATTGGAACGCTTAACGGTTCCATACAGTTCGAGTACGAATGTCCATAGCGGGGAGCCTAGTAGGGCATGATCTAGTGTTTTTTTCGTGAGTGTTCGGTTCCAGAAAACTACCGTGAATGTTGAGTCTATTTTTCTATGCTGTAAGGAGGGTTATGTTTCATTACAAAAAAAATTGAGAAGCAATGCAGAACTAAAATAAAAAGTTAATTAAAAATAAATTTAATAGAAGACATAACAGTGTTTGAACATGTGCATTGTTTTCATCGTTTGTATTTTTATTGTGTATACTGTTTCACCGAATAATTAAGTTCTTTAAGTTCCACATATGAAGCGGCTTAGACATCCCTTTTAATCCCCCCCCCATTTAAAGATGTGTCAAAATCCATTGCTTTTATAATAAGTTAGTCCCTCAAGGTTTCCCTTTTGAAGAAGGGCAGTTTTTTTGCTTGCATAAAAAATGTAACATGTCCCAAAATTTTATCCTATCACCACGGGTCAGGATGGTTTTTTCCTTTTTGGAAGTGGAGGCGTTTTGTGATACAACTTCCACAAGAGAAAAAAACAAACTGAGAAGACAGAAGGAAGTTGAAAGCAGGCAAAAGTTTTCCGAGAATCAATTAGAGCCTCCATTGTTTAAAGAATTATTAATTATTATATTATTTTTTTTCTCCGTGAACGAAGAAATTGGGCTTCTGCAGATGTCAAAACTTTCCACATTTTTTCATAGGTGCATAGTGAAAACCGCGAGTGTTAAGGGATTACTGTATTTAACCTTCGGTATGTACTACAACGTCGGGTTTTTAAGTGCAATGAGTCATATTTTTGAACATTTTTGGGAAATATGAATAACTTTTTTTTTTAAGTTCTTACTTTTATTAACCTTGTAGGATACAAAACCCCATTTTTTTCAAAATAAATGGTTTAAAATATATTGTAATCACAATAAAGCAAGGAAAAACTCGAAGATTTTGGGAAATCTTTCTTTGTAAAAATTTAACTTCCAGTTTTTGATATCTACAAAACTACAGTCAAACTTCTTCGTAAAGTGCAAATTAAATTCTTATAAAATTAAAATGAAAACGGTAACTTCACAAAAATAGAACACAGTATTACAAGGAACAAAAACAATACATACTCCGAAAAACGGAAAGCAAAGAAGGAAGAAAAATCTGTTTTTGGACATCACTGCTCGAAAAATCGATGGTCTAAATAGACGACAAAATATGTCTGAAACATTCAGGTTTAAATCCATCATAACACCGCTGAAAAATAAAAGGCCCAGCAAAGCTTTCACTTCAAGCACATCTGTGGGTCCAATATAGCGCTGGTCAGGACTGTATTGAGTTTTTATTTATCAATCTCTTCATTGGTATATTTTACAATGACATCAATCATGACTTGGTTGATGAATAAGGATGAATACAATGGGTCCTTATCTACAAGGTTCCGAGCATTTCCTTTGGCACCAGGCAAATGGGTAATCATATTCTTTGAAGCTAATCTGACGTTTCTGGACAGTAAAAGATCGGTGTCAGTCCAGATAGTTTCTTGCCCATAGTTTCTTGTGCAGCCATCTTTGCCCAACACAAATTTTCTGCTTTGTTCTCTATTTTCGGAATCTAAATTTGAAAACTTTTCTGGGATAAAGTGGTCCTCTGAGAGTGCATCGTCTTCAGGAAGAACGTCGAAAGCGTCGGGTTTATCATTGTCGTTTGGTAACAAATCATTTTCATCTTCACTGTAAGTTACTTCTTCAGAAAAGTATTCCTCATTTTCATTATCAACTGATCTTCCTATTTCATGTTGAATTTCTTCGTCAGTTACAAAATGTTAACTATTTGCCATGGTTGAAAAAATCCAGAAAGATTACAAAGCTCTAGAAAATTAATTTATAGAAAAGAAATTAAATTTGAACTAAAACTGAAAGAACATGTCGTACAACGTGGGCACATATTGACCCATACCATGATTTTTATTACTTTATTCCAATTTTAATTATTATTATTAATTTATTCCAATATTACAAGGTCACTTACCTGTGAAAAGGGTTCCAGTGGTGTCCACGTCTACAGGCATACAAGAAGGAAAGCTATTCAAAGCTTCAACCCCTTCCCATCACTACCCTCTGACAAACACACGTTTTTAAAATTTTTAGGTCATTTTGACCTGTACGTTGTAGAACAAAGGTTAATTTTTTATGTTTGAGTCTCGTATGGGAATTCAATATATCATACATGATTGGGGGGGGGGGGGTTATTGAAATATAAAGAAGGAGAGTTTTTTTAAGAGTGAAAATAGTCTATTTAGATTTAGTTTCATTATCCTTGATTCTCCAATGGCGGAGCCAGAATTCGAGTGAGTGTGATTTTGTAAATTTTTGAAGCTTTAAGGTGAGTATTGACGTGTCATCGGCAATGGTAAAAACGAAAGTGTTACTTTAAGTGGGGAGATTGTGTAGAGGAGGGGAGTGAAAATGCTCCCATGTGGAACACCACCAAAAATCGGGTAAATCGAGGAGAAAGAAGTGTCTTTAGTTTAGAATTGATGGTCGTAAGGTATGATTTTAGTATCAGAAAGACACCAGGGCAGTTCTGTTTCAGCTCGAGGCAATGGTGTCTACAATGCAATGAGCTTGACGGATAATCGAGTGGCATCCCAAAAGCCAAATTGGTGATTAGGAATAAATGTTGGATGGAATTTTGTTATAAAGCAACAGTAGTTTTTCAAGAATTTTCCTGTCTAAGGGTAAAAGACTGATTGGTGTGTGGGAATTAGGAAGGTGAGTGGGCTTGTTTGGATTAGGAATAATCTTTATTGAAGAAAATGTGCATAGGGTGGGTTAATGGATAGTGCGAAGGGCAGCGTTGAAGATAATGAAAAAATAATTGTTTTTTTTAGGGAGTTGCAATAATATTTTTAGTGATTAGATCATAACCAGGACCTTTTTTTCTGGAGGTTTTAGATGGCCTACTTGACTTCTCCGGGAGAAAATGGTTGCGAGGAAGGAAAAGGTGTAGAGGTTCATGAAGTTCATTCGGAATATGAGTGCTTGGAGTTGGGCTTTAAAAAAATAAATCAAACAGACCAACAGTTCAGCATGACAGAGACGTTGTACAGGTTTAGCCTATATAATAATTATAGAACTTCATTCTTTTTAATATTACTTAATTTTCTGTTTCTAAATCATTTAAAAAATTATCTTTTAAAATGTTTTACTGTAAGCATGGCCGATATGATAAATATGTTTTTAAAAAAAGTTTTACTCTGCAATTCCTCTTCCACTGAGGGTAACAAAAAACCGGTAGCAAAACGTTTATTCACAGTAATGAAGCTTTTTTTTCAAAATCTAATTTTAGACGCAATTAAATGATTGTAAATCGTTATTTAGAGATTAAAAAATAGTATTTTTGGTGTATTAATTTCATTGTTGGTTGAGATAAACACAAAAAATGTTCTATGACGCAGAATTTAAAAAAAAAAATGACAATTTACTCGAAAAATATTTGGTTTTTAAAAAATTTTTGATCTATAAACTAATAGCTTTTACTGTATTTTTATTTCAAACTGGATAAAAAATGCTGTAAAATGATTGACTTGAGTAAGTAGAACGGTGAAATAAAAATATTAAAATATGGTAAATTTCAACTATCAAAAAAAAAAAAAAAAAAAAATTTGAAACCAGTACCTATTTACAAGAAGTGTCCAATTTTTGAAGTGCAGAATCACCAAAAAAAAAGTTTGGTCCAAATCTGTGCAACACTAACCTGAATCATCCCTTGTTATTCATAAAAACTCACCCTGGCAATGATCATTTTTAAAAAAATTTACCACTGAAATAATTGGAAATATGATTAAAATCATGATCAATTTATTATCTAAATGTCTTTAACTTTCACACACATTATAAAAGGTTATGAGGATTTTTATGCATATTACCGAAACAAGATAGCGCCTATCCATAAAAATTACCCGACGATCCTTTTATTTTGTTGACTGATACAATTGGAAATATGATTAAAATCATGAACAATTTATGGCCTCTTTGTCTTTCAATTTTACGTGCAATGTATAGAAATGTATAATTTTAGGATTTCTCAACAAATATGTAAGAAAATTAAAACAAGATGGCGCCTGTTTATAAAAATCAAGTAAGGATTTTTTTAAAATTTCCAACTGATACAATTGGATTAAAATTTGATTAAACAATTCAAATAAAATCATGATCAATTTATGATCACATTGTCTTTTAATTTTACACACAATGTAAAGAAATGCATAATTTGAGGATTTCTTCATATAAGCACAAAAGTAAAATTAAAACAAGATGGCAGCAAAACACATCTGATCTTAATCATTTTTTAAAAATTTTACCTGGGGACCGCGGTAGCCGAGTGGTTAGCATGAGAGACTCTCATGCCGTGGTCGTGGGTTCGATTCCCACTGTCGCCTCTGGCCCTTTTTTCCCGATAACCCCCAATTTGAACACACAAAAATTCGTACCATGGCTAATATGCAAGATCATAAGGCCAATATAAAAAAAAAATTTACCTCTAAAATAATTGGAAATATGATTAAAATCATGATCAATCTATGATCTCAAAGTCTTAACAAAATTTCACACAATAAAGAAAGGTTTAATTTGTTGGCGTTCAGCAAATCATTCACTCCATCGTTCACCAAGCCACTCAGGCTCGTTCCCTTAGACGTTCTTCATTCGATCGTTCACCTAGTAACTAAATTATAAATATGATTAAAATCATGATCTATGTATCATGTAAATGTATTTTAATTTTCTGACACAATATAAAACCNATATATATAAAAACATGGCGTTCTTGTAATTAACTCACTCGTTCCCTTAAGCGTTCTTCACTCAATCGTTCATCCAGTCACTAAATTGGAAATACGATTAAAATCATGATCTATCTATGATCTCAATGCCTTAACAAAATTTTACACGATAAAGAAAGGTTTAATTTGTTGGCATTCAGCGAATCATTCACTCCATCGTTCTCCAAGTCACTCACGCTCGTTCCTTCCCTTAGATGTTGTTCTTTCGATCGTTAACCTAATCACTCAATTGAGAATATGATTAAAATCATGATCTATCTATGATTTAAATGTATTTTAACTTTCTATACAATATATTTTTTGAGTATATCTTGAAATTTATACATAAGTGAAATCAAAACAAGATGACGTCTTTGTCATAAAACACTTGATCATAATCAGTTAATAAGTTTTTTTTAATTTAACCATAACAAATGGCATCGATTTTGATTTAGATTATGATCAATCTTTGATTTAATGATCTTTTTTTAATATTAAATTGTACGTTTGAAATTAACTCTTACAGATACAATATTTCTTTGTTTGTGTGAACACGATGGCGTCATAGGGCAAGAGTGGCAATGTAATGATGATTCATCATCAATCTTTTTTTTTTATTACGATGAAGGACGGTTTGAACAGCGCCTCGGTTTCTTTGAAAAGTGGCGGTCTTTCGACCGACAAACGTTATCTTATCAGCGGCTCTCCACCACCACCACCGGCCAGTCTCGTCCTGCCACTTGCCAGTCGAGACTTGAGACGTTATACATGCCTAGTCGTTCCTAGTTTTTCTTTATTAAATTCGATTTTGTTTAATGTTGATGAGATGAAATTGCCAGAATACGAGAAGCTTTCCGAGCCCGGCTGCCGTCGTCATCGGTTTTGCGTCTATCTCCTAGCGTTCGCCCTCCCCGTCGCCGCACTCCTCGTCCTCGCTTTCAACAATTTCGCCCTCGTCAATGTCCACACGGAAATTTTCCTACTCGTCGACGACCGGGAAGACGCCGGAATCGGGGAGTTCGAATGGAGGCCACCCTTCACACCGATGGGTAAATAATTTCCACACATACAAAACACACTTTATACCCATAAAAAAATAATTTAAAAAAATGATATGAACAATATGATATAACTATATGATTTGCTAATCGTTGCAGTTTATTTTTAGCCCATCGTAAATTGCCAAGTCAGCAACAAATCGAGTTGCATCTTATGCCATGTCTAATCAGCGAAATACTTTTAATATCCGAACTTGAACATGCAAAGAATTTATATTCAGCCGTACCATCCTTATCGTGTTCTTTCGTACGTTTGTACGTTTGATCAAGTGAGCCGATTACAATCGATCTTTGATTCATTCACACCGTTCATTTGATAATTCGATCAAACACTACGCTGGTTTAATTCGTCGATCGTTTTATTTTATCACTTTCATATGCACCGTCAGTGTCTCAGTGATATGAGTGCACTTGAAGTGACTACATCGGGCTACTTACGCTCGTTCACTTGGTTCGTTTACTTAGGCGTTCATCTAGACAATAAATATCGTTCACTTAGTCGCTCTTCACTCGTTTGTTCAGCCAGTCACTCACGCTCGTTGTCTTAGTAGTTTTTCACTCCATCGTTCACACGCTAGTACACTTAGCCGTTCTTCGCTCGATCGTTCAAATCCTCGTTCATTTAATCGTTCTTCGCTCGCTCGTTCGCTTAGTCGTTCATCAATCAATCGTTCACCAGTCACGCTCGTTCACTTGGTTCGTTTACTTAGTCGTTCATCTAGACAATAAATATCGTTGACTTAGTCGCTTTTCACTCGCTTGTTCTGCCAGTTACTCACGCTCGTTGACTTAGTAACTTAGTTTTTCACTCTATCGTTCACACGCTAGTTCACTCAGTCTCTTTGCTCGATTCTTCACCCAGTCACTCACGCTCGTTGACTTAGTAGTTTTTCACTCGATCGTTCTCACGCTCGTTCACTTGTTGCTGTTTAGTTTTTCGTTGTTCTTTACTCGATCGTTCAGTCTATCGTTCTTTTTTGGTGGTTAATGTAGTAACTCACCCTCGTACAGTTGTTCTTCACTTGATTGTTCACACACTCACGCTCTTTCACCAAGACACACACTCATTCACCCAGTCATTTACGTACTAGTTTAAAAGTCGTTCATTCCGTCGTTTGGCGCGTTAATGATATTACCCACCGTTTTCAGCTTCCATATAACGATTAATTCGATCTTTATTTATTANATATATATATTGGTTGGTGTCAGAAAAGAGAATATAGTTTTTTTCACTATCTTTTGTATAAATTCTAGAAAGGAAATCCTCACCGCAGACCAGTATGATATAAATGAAATGCGCCATATATTTAGAATTACTAGATTGTCGTTTTATCTCAAATGATATCTCTGATGAATAAAAAAAAAAAAAAAAAAAAAAAAAAAAAAAAAAAAAAAAAGTTTTAAAACGGTTGATTCAAATGAAAAAATATATAAAGTTGAGCCATTAATTCATTCTATTCTACGATTTATTTCATTGACTTATTCAGCCAATCATTTGTGATCTTTTTGTTCAGAGATCCTTGGCAAGATTCGATTAGACAGAAATGGCTCTGAAGAAAATCTGCCACCGCCCCCTGCTGCGTCCTCGGCCGCCTGTTTGTCCGGCTCATCAGTCAAAGTCGACTGCCTTCCACGCGGCAAGGTGAGCAAGGAGTCGTGTGACGCCCTCGGCTGCTGCTACGCTAAGTCGGCCGGGCTGGAGCCTTCCTGCTTCTACCCGTCTGGCTATTCGAGTTACATCGTCAAGGCCGTCGAGAACCGGGGCAATAAAATAGACATCAAGTTTGTTGCCAAGTTCAAGTCACCATACCCAGCCACCGTTGGCAATCTCTCTGCATATTTTTATTTCTTGGCCAACAATTCTGTCGTTTTTAGGGTATGAGATACAAATTGGTAAAAAAAACTTGTTTTCTTTTAACTTTTCTTTTTTATTTTGTTCAAGTTGGGCGAAGCACAATTGGATTTTGATGAAATGGAGTTCAGCCAGGTGACGCCAGAAACCGCTCTATACGCGGTCAACGTCTCAGTCAATGCAACAGGATTTCAGATCATAAGGAAAAGCAACAAAGCAGTATTGTATGCTTAATTTGATTATAAAATTTTTTGGTCAAATAAAAAAAAAAAAATCAACAGGTTTGACATGAACATCGGAGCACTTTTGGCCGCAGAGCAGTATTTACAGTTCTCGACTCGCCTCCCATCGCTGTACCTCTACGGCCTGGGTGACAGCGTCGATGACTTCCCCTTAAATTTAAAATATAAGACGAAAACCTTCTTCACACATGACACAGTACCTTCGCAGGTTTAAAAAAAAAAAAAAAAAAAAATAAAATAAAATAAATAAACATTCAAATAATCAATTTTTTTATTTAGAAAAATGGTTATTCATACTTACCGGCTTACCTGTGTGTAGAGAATGACGGAAAAGCCCATCATGTCATCATAAACACAATAACCGCATCAGGTATGATTCCCCCCCCCCCAAAAAAAAAATCATAAAATCATATTCTTCATGCTTTAAGACTTTACACTTCAACCTGGTGTGCTGACGGTACGCACGATACAAAGCGCTAATGTCCAGGTGTACATAACGCTCGGTGATTCGCCGTTGGACGCGGTTACGTCGGCACAGGCCAACTATAATATCCCACCTTATATGCCTCCATATTGGTCGCTCGGCTTCCACCTGTCCAGGCTCGGCTACAAGAATATTTCACATGCCGTCAGCATACTGACAGCGTTGCGAGTCAACAAGATTCCCATTGTAAGAATTTCAAATCTTCGACATACCTCTCAAAGAGATTGATGTTTAAAAAAATCTGTTTTAAAGGATACCCAATGGTTTGACATCGATTACATGGACAACCACAACGACTTCACAATCGGAAAAAATTTCAAAGAAATGCCCAACGCCGTCAAATATCTACACAGCGTAAGTGTTAACGAGAACATATTCAAAAATATTGTATTAATTTTTGTTTAAATTTATAAACAGCAAAACATGAGAGCAGTCCTGATCCTCGATCCAGGGGTGAGCGCAAGCGAGCCGAGAGGCTCTTACCCGCCGTACGATGCTGGCTTGAAACAAGATGTATTCATCAAGGACTACACAGGAAAGAAACCGTTAATTGGAAAAGTAAACAAATAAAACAAACAAATGTTATCATTTTAGCTAATCCATTCGACGATTTATTTTTCAAGTTCAGTGATTCACAAGTAAATGAGTCAGCTGATCTTGATGACTAATCCTTACAGACATTCTCATGCCTCATTAATGCTCATTTACCCTGAATAAATAAAGTTTAAAAACAGTCGATAAATAAATGGCTTACATTCACAAACAATAAATGAAGTCCGTGTACACTCATGACAGTCAATAAATGAAGCTCTTTCACACAGTTCATCTACATTTCAGAACAATGTGAAGTCCTCCCAGGCTTCATTCACACACAACAATCAATAAATGAAGTTCACTCAAGGCATCATTCACACTGTTTGACAGTCAATAAACGAGGTCCATTTTCACTCACAAATATTAAAGTTAGCAGGTTTCAGTCACAATTTTTGTCAGTCAATAAATGGAGTCCACTCTTAATAGTCGATAAGTAAATTCATTTGCTGGCTTCATTCACACTTTTTGGACAGTCAATAAATGGAGTCCACTTATAATAGTCGATAAGTAAATTCATTTGCTGGCTTCATTCACTCTTTTTGGACAGTCAATAAATGAAGTCCTATTGCACACATATATAAAGTTAGCAGGTTTCATTCACAATTTTTGTCAGTCAATAAATGAAGTTCACTTATAGTCAATAAGTAAAGTTCATTTGCTGGCTTCATTCACACTTTTTGGACAATCAATAAATGAAGTCCACTCAAGGCATCATTCACACTGTTTGGCAGTCGACAAATGAAGTCCACTTGCACTCACATATATTAAAGTTCATTAGCAGTCTTCATTCACAATTTATTGAAAGTCAGTAAATAAAGATCACTCAAGACAGTCAATGATTCATTTGCTCAAGCATTCACAGACTTGACACTCATGTCAGGCAGTCAACTTGTAAGTCCATCAGTAAATTATTAAATAATAAATATTTGCATATGTAAAGTCTTAATCTGTCAAAAGAATATTTCAGTGAGTCAGTCACTTTTTCACTCCATTTATCTGTTAGACGTTTAACAATCAAATATTATTATTTTTTTTTTACAACCAGGTCTGGAACAGAAATTCAACAGTTTTCGTTGACTTCTATGCCAAAAACGTGTTGAAATATTGGACCAATATGCTGAAGGATCTTCACGACAAGGTGCCGTTCGACGGGATATGGATTGTAAGTCGATATTTTCTACATTATTCATTTATTTATATATTTATTAATAATCGTAATATTTGACTAGGACATGAATGAGCCAAGCAACTTTGTCAACGGCAGCGTCCATGGCTGCCTGGGGGATTCGAGGCTCGAGAACCCGCCTTACGTGCCAAACGTAGATGGTGGATCCCTCAGGTACCGAACGATATGCATGTCAGCCCGACACTCCCCAAACTTACCGCATTACTTGCTCCACAACTTATACGGTGCGGCGGAGCTCGAAGTGACAAAACAGTAAGTGCACGTCCTGTTGTATGATTAAACTGAAATGATTTAGCCGAATGATAAAATTTCACTTTTATAGTGTCTCAGCCAATTTAATAAGTTTGAATGAAGCCTGAGAGTGGACTTCGTTTATTGACTGACAGTATAATTGAAGGCTGCTCTTGAATTACATTTATTGACTTGAGTGTGTATTGAGTGAGAATGAAAATTACTTCATTTACTGACCATTCTAAACAGGAATAATGAAACCTCAAAGTTCATGAGTGATAACTGAAGCTTTTAAAGAGTGAACTTAATTTATTGACCATCTAAGAGTGACTCATTTATTGACTATCATGAATGTGGATGAAACATGCAATTGAACATTGTTGACTCAAAGAGCATTGGTGGACTTCATTTATTGACCATCAAAGTGTGTAAGTGGACTCCATTTATTGACTTCAAAAGAAAGTAAATAAGCCTTGGCGGGCTAATCAAAGTATGTGAATGAACTTAATTTATAGACCATTAAAAAAGTGAACGTAAAGTCTTGTTAAACAACGCAAATGTATCTCAGCAAATGAATGTGTGCATGAATGACTGAATGATCAATGTTTAATATGTATGATACATAAAGAAAAAATGCAAACTTTTTTTTTATTTTAGAGCACTTACTTATATTTTGAAAAAGCGTCCTTTCGTCATATCGAGGTCGGCAAATCTCTACTCAATAGGCCATTGGACTGGCGACGTCTATTCGTCTTGGGAAGCCATGGCGCAGTCGGTGAAAGGTATCTTTGACTTTTTATCTGGGATTGTTATTATACGTAATTTTTTTAAATGTTTTATTGCAGACCTTCTGAACTACAGCATATTTGGCATATCGATGGTTGGCGCAGACATATGTGGTTTTAATGGGAATACGACAAAAGAGTTATGCAGACGTTGGTCCCAACTCGGTGCATTCTACCCTTTTTCAAGAAATCACAATACTGACAATGGGATTGTACGTTTTAAAAAATATTTTCAGATTTATTTTTTTATTTTATGGTTTTTTTAGCCGCAAGATCCCGTATCGATGGGTATTGAAGCGTCGACGAGGGAAGCTTTGATGCTGCGTTATTCCCTCCTTCCTTACCTGTACACCCTGTTCTGGGAAAAGTCGTTATTCAGTTTGCCCGTAGTCAGGCCAACTTTCTTCCTCTTTCCACACGTCAAGGAGACTTACAACATCAGCAATCAATTCCTCCTGGGTGAATCACTTCTCGTAGTTCCCGTACTGCAGCCATCTTTTACTTATGTCAAGGCATACCTGGGCGATAAGGTCTGGTACGACTTGAGAACCAACATGCTCTTGAAAAGCAAGAATGTGACCATCCTCGCCGCGCCTGAGGACACTATACCCATCCTACTCTTAGGCGGGCGTGTCCTTCCCATGCAAAAGCCCAGTGTTACAACTTACCAAACGTAATAATAAAATATTAATAATGATAAAAATAAAAATAAAATATATTTTTTTAAAGGAGGATGAATGATATGTTTTTAAAAGTCGCCTTGAACAAGGAACAACAAGCGGTCGGAAATATTTACCTCGATGACGGAGAAAGCCTAAGTATGAAGTTTAACGTAGCAAAATTCTTACTTATAATTTTTTCAAAATATTCCAGATCCTGTGTTCAGCACAGTTGGTTGGTACGCGTATGCAGACAGGCTCGAAAGCAAAGTTGAGTTCTCAGATTACAAGACGGACGTGAGGGTTAAGCGTATTGAGGTGTTTTCGCTAACGAAAGTGGACAACGTCACTGTAGACGGGAGGAAATGCGATTTCACCTACAATCAGACTTCAAACGTAACTTTTTACATTTTGATTAAGCGCTTTTCTAATTTTACTCATGACTTCCTTCTCCAGGTGCTCTACGTTGATGTTGACGTTCCTGTCGTCTCAGATTACACTGTGATGTGGAAATAATTATGATTATAATAGAACAAGAAAAAAAATTCCATGGTTACGAATTAAATATTTTTAAACACTACACAATTTGTTATTTTTAAAAATAACGTAAGAATTAAGAAAAAAACTATTTTTATATTATAACAGGAGAGAATGTACTTATTATGTTTACCTCATGTCACTGTCATGACTTTCTTGTATTAAAAAAGAAAAAAAAAAACTTTTATGTTTACCTCATGTCACTGTCATGACTTTCTTGTATTAAAAAAGAAAAAAAACTTGTAAAACAATTTTATATACAAAAATAAAAAAAGGCTTTTATAAATATATGTATATTTTTTAAATTTTTGTAATAAGTTATAAATTTGACTCAACGTCATTTAAAAAAAAAAGATTTATTTATTATATATTATTAACATAAAAATTGTAAAATAAAAATTAGGACGTGGTCACGATTAAGATGCGGTTCAACTTCGAGTCTGAGTCCGAGTATAAGTCTCTCCCACCATTTTCAACAGAAACTTCTACTCAGACTCAAACTCGGAGTTGAACCACATCTTAATCACGACCTCGTCCTAATTTTAAGAAAAAATCAGTCATTATATATATATATATATATATATATATATATATGATTTATTTTTTCTTCTTCTTTTCCGCTGACCTCTTTTGCCCCTGCACTGGCATGTAAGGTGGTGCTTCTTCTTCGTCCAAGTTTAAGATATCTGAAGACAAAAATTAAATAAATGTTTTTTCTTCTTCTCTTTTTCTCCTGGTAAAATAAAAATTGGCTCAAGTGTGTGTTTGTTGTTGCAACATTGTTTCCTTAAGGGGAATAAGTATGCTGAGGTGCAAGTGGGCAACATTGTTATCACATCAGCTAGCCGGCAAATATGCTGAGGTTTAAGTTGGCCACATTGCTACCACATTAAGTAGGAAATTATGCTAAGTGTATGTAGGCAACATTACTACCACATCAGGTAGGCTGGCAAATACGCTGAGGTTTATATTCAACAAAGAAAACATTTGTTTATCGGTAAAAACATCTAAAAAGCATTAACATAACAGGACGTTTTAAGGAGAGAAATTAATAGAAACGTTTTCGAAGTTAAACGGCCCTGGCTCAATTTTTTATTATAATCCTGTCTGGATTGATTTTGTGACAGATTGTTGTAATTTTTCCAGTTGTACAAAATCACAGATTGGCCACCGTCCTATTTGGTACTCTTCAGTCACATTAATTAAATATTTAAATAATAATCTTTGGTATTCCTTTAATTTTATCTTTCTATATTTCATGAATTAATATCATATGATGTGACTATCCCAACAATGACCACAGGGCCACCATTTTGCTGTTCAATCATGTTTTAAATATATATTTAAAGTAAAAACCTGGGTGAAGAAGGAAGTGCGGTGGTGGCTGCGACGTGACAAATCCAGCGTGGTGTTTTTGGTGTTTCTCTGGTGAGACATACGTAGGGTCAATGGCCATCGCAATATTCGGCATGTGGTTTAAACTACAATAAAATGAAATAATATTTTTGTTGTTTTCATACGAATTATCACTTACTTGTGACTGACTGCGCCGGAATTGGCCTCTTCTTCCATCTGTTTTTTAAGAGCCGCTTTATTCCTTGCTTTCTCTCTTATCTTCTTCGCTCTTGCTTTCTCCTGTAAGAAATAAAGCTTAATATCCATCCTCGCCCTATTATTTTTCAGTTTTTTACCTTTTGGTGCAGCATTTTTGCCAATTCAGTGTCTTGGACCTCGATCGCGAGCAGCCTGTCCCGATCCAGATGCGTGCTCGTCTCCTCCTCGAGCTGCAGCCTCTTCGCTAATTCCTTCGAGTGCAAAATAAACCCCTAATTATTGATTTCCTGTTTTTAAAAGACGCCGCTTGGAGGAAAGACGCTGACGAGTGTAACTCTAGTCACGAACTGCAAAACGTGAACCAGACCGACACCCGTCGGCGGTATTCCAGATCTTCCCAATGTATAATTGCAAAAACTAAAGCCAAAGACATACTTCGTCCAGCTTTTCCTGTTCGAGCCTGTCAATGTCCTGCGGTGGAGCCGGCCAGGGTGGTTGGTCGATGTCGTCATTGGGGAGTGACCTGAACACAAACATTGTTTTTCCATAATTGCCCACTGTTTTGTACAATTTTGAAATACCTGCAGACCCCTGGGCTCGGACAGTGAGGTGCTCGGTGGGGCGAATGATGGAGAAGGTGACCCGGAAGGCCGGGGTCACTGGGCAGGGGTAAACCGATGCTGTTAAAATCGCCAATCTTCTTTTTCTCCCTGTCCTGCCGAAATTGAATAAATCAATAATTGCAGTTATAATATGTCTCAGCGAGTACACTTACACCTCAACATAGTTGCCTATTTGAGGTGGCAACGGTGTTGCATCCTTACACCTCTGCATAGTTGCTCATTTAAGGTGGTAGCAATGTGGCCACCTTACACCTCAGTACAGTTTTGCCTATATGAGTTGGTAGCATTGTTGCCAACTTACACCTCAACATAATTGCTTACCTGAGGTGATAGCAATGTGGATAACTTACACCTCAGCTGTGGCCACCTTACACCTCAGTATAGTTGCCTATATGAGGTGGTAGCATTGTTGCCAACTTACACCTCAACATAATTGCTTATCTGAGGTGATAGCAATGTGGCCAACTTACACCTCAGCATAACTGCCTACTTGAAGTGGTAGAAATGTGGCAAACTTAAACCTCAGCATAATTCCTACATAAAGTGGTAGCAATGTTGCCAACTTACACCTCAGTATAACTGCCTACTTGAAGTGGTAAAAATGTGGCAAACTTAAACCTCAACATAATTGCCTACATAAAGTGGTAGCAATGTTGCCAACTTACACCTCAGCATAACTGCCTACTTGAAGTGGTAGAAATGTGGCAAACTTAAACCTCAGCATAATTGCCTAACTGAGTAGCAATGTGGCCAACTTACACTTCTGCATAATTGCCTAACTGAGGTGGTAGCCATGTGGCCAACTTATTCAGCATAGTTGCCTACTTAAGATGCAAGCAATGTTACCAACTTACACCACAGACTAGTTGCCTACCAGATATGGTAGTAATGTTGCCAACTTACTCGGCATAGTTTCCAAACTGAAGTAGAAGCAAGGTTAACATGTTATACTTCTATCTGGTCTAATGAGACTCACCTGTATCTGTTTGGCAATCCTCTGATCCTCGACCTCAAGACGTCGCAGCTTTTCACATTCCTCTCTCTCTAGCCTTTCGGCGATGGCCCTTGCCACTTCGGCGTCATGCTGCTCTCGCAGTGCCTTCCTCCTGAGTAGCTCTTGTGCCTCCTCATGTGCAAGGCGCTGGGCGTGCCTGGCTATTCGGCAGTCCTGCCGGACTATTGCGTTCCTCGATTTGTTACCGCTGTAGTGTCGTTCAACTGTTAAAATTTAACAATAAAACACGATCATTATGACTGAATAATTTATTGGTATTAGTTAATCTGTTGAACACTGATAAGTCTTATATCTCGAAACCTTGCCTATACAATGGCAGGAATTATAGAAGTTAAGAAAAAAGAAAAAGACGAAAAAGAAAAAAGAAAGACAAATGAACTACACAATAGATCATCGGGATTCTTAGGACTATTGAACAACCTAGGGTCTTTCATCAATTAAAAATCCTTCGAGCTTTGTACACCTTGAACTATTTATTTATTCTTTCTCAATTCATCCTCAATTAAAATCACAATCGTAGATGTGACTTGATATCGTATTGATCGACACAATAGGCTGATAATAATCTGTCAGCATGATAGGACTTGCTGCAATGCGGATTCTTTATGCTCATTTACTGTTGACCAAAACGAAATTCTGGAAAAAACTTTCATTTTCCACCATCAGCTTTTCATTCACCCGCACACTTTCACACTCACTCAATGCAGTAAAGGCAAATAAACACTCTATCACCTCAACCAAAAATCCTTATAAACACCCACATAAGATTTAAAAAAAAAAAAAAATTAAAACGACCAACTTTTCACGCTCAAATTTCTCTTTTTATAGATCAGAAGTGATGAAAGAATGCAGAATGAATTACATATTCATCATTTCATCCGAGGCTGCAGGTGGCCGACGGCCGGCTGCTCACGCAATTTCCGGCCGACCTTGAAATCCTGTGAATTGCCGTCGGCAGCGTTTTCCCCCTTTTTTTTCCTATTATACTAAAACATAAAAAGTTTAAAAAGTCTAGCAGTATTGGATGTACAAATAATTCAATGGGCGTGTAAAGGCCAAAAATTTAAATCGTCGGCGACGTGTTAATGTGACGGGTGTAGATTTATATACGTCTCAGGAGACGAAAAAATGGTCGAATGTGAATTTCACGTAAGTGTTTACTAATAAAGTACACAAATGTTTTTCAGTTTCATTTCAGGCAGTGAATTATATTGAGGTGTAAGTTGGCCACATTGCCACCACCTCAGTTAGGCAATTAGCTGAGGTGTAAGCTGACCACATTGCTGCCACCTTAGGTAAGCAATTATGCTGAGATGTAAGTTGGCCAAATTGCTACCACCTCAGTTAGGCAAATTATGCTGAGGTGAAAGCTGGCCACTTTGCTACCCCACCACTGTTAGGCAATTATGCGGAGGTGTAAGCTGGCCACTTTGCTACTCCACCTTAAGTAAGCAATTATGTTGGGGGCCGCGGTAGCCGAGTGGTTAAGATACGGTCGTGGGTTCGATCCCCACCGTCGCCTCTTGACTTTTTCTGACGCCTAAGGGGACCTGTGGCCGCAATTGAAAGAAATTGACACGGCACTAATCAATGGAAAGAGCGGGATCAGATCTCAGCGACCCTGAATTTGATCCCAACCCCCTTCGAAAATGAGTTTCTTCGATGGAAGAACACCGGCAAACCGGGGACTCAAATTCACACTTGTGTTGCGAGCCCCCCAAAAAATAAAAAAATAAGCTGCACAGCTGCAGTGCTCTGGAGGGAACTCCTCCAGTTCCTGGTATCCATGGGGGGGGATAATGTTGAGCTGGAAGACATCGCTACCAACTTAAGTAGTTAAGTAGGCAATTAAGATGCCCGAAGAATGTGAGGGATAGAGAAAGGTGTAATATTTTAACGCTAAAAAAAAAGAGAAGGGAGCTGGAAATACCTATCAACTTTCGACTGACTGATATGTATCTTTATATCTTAAGGAATTATCCCTTCTTTTTGAGTTTTTACATACCTTCTAGAAGCATGAATAAACTGCGAATCCTAATAGGATTCTTAACAGGACACTGCAAGCTAATTGGACACTTAAAGAAGATTAGAATAATCCAAGACGGCATATGCACATTCTGCAAAGTAGGCAGAGGAGACACCAACACATCTACTAACAAACTGCAGTGTTGGTTGTTTTGCCCGCAGGAGGAAATGTTTTGGGATGTACAATGTGACCAGAGAATAGCTTCAACCACTGAAACTGGGCCTATTAATCAAGTTTCTTGATGAAATAAGACTCACCGATGTGCTTTAGGCAGAGAACGGGGGCTACAATAGCTCTTAAAGGGCGCAGTATATTATTACACCCCGAATATTACATCTGCATCTACATACCTTCTAATTGTTGGAGCTGGTAGGCCAAGGCGTTGTCCTCACGTACGGACCACTCCCTGCATACTGCAACATAAATCCTACATTGAATGGTTCGTTAAAATATAATATTCAAAAAGACAAAAATAAATAAATGTAAGATACAAAAAATAGGTGAAAACAGGGGAAAAAGATTCTCGCGCTGGTCGTCCACCTGGGCACGCCTTTCACCGCGCTTTCTCGGCCGGGGAAAAATGAGTTAATTGATCGTTAACTATGCGAATGATTTTCTTTTTTTTATTATTCCATATAATTTTTCGAAAGGAGGTTAATAAATTAATAGAAAGAGAGAAGAAATTAGCGGTTTTTGGTTGCGCTTGGCCGAGTTGAAAGTCGAGCCCTACCTCATTCGGTTCCGTTCTGCACCAACGAATCGTGCAGAAACAGCAGAGTGGAATAATCCAATACGTAAGACGATCGGATTGATCAGTTCTCTATTGGTAGAATTCGACTCATATGTTTAATAAAAAGTTATAAAAAACTCTGGAAAACCTGGCTGATGATTAAACGGCAATTCTATCCTTACGTTTCGCCATGCAGATCAAGAATGATTAAGTTTCAACACCTATGGCACACCTAATAGGACATTGAAGGGCTAACCTACGAATACCTCATTTAAGATAATAATAAAAAAAAATAAATAAATAAAAATAAATAAATAAATANATATATATATACATAATTGATAAACGTTGATAGCGTTTACTATATTTTTTATTGCAGTCTAAATAATCAATGCTGTAAAAGGATCTATCTACATAGAAGATTTGTGCAAGTAGAAAGGCGAAATAAAAATATTTAAAAAACGGAAAATTTCGACTTTCAATTTTTTTTTGTGAAAACCAGGACCTATTCACAAGAAGTGGCAGATGCGTGTCCAATATTTTGGAGTGTATAATCACCAAATAAGGTTCGGTCCAAATCCGTGACACACCAACCTGGTCTTCTCCTTGTAATTATGCTGAGGTTTAAGTTAAGTACTTAATGTGTGGTGATTAGTGACCGTTAATCGATAATTATTCAAAAATCGTGAGATGCGGTCTGGTGTGATACAGGTTTCAGAAAAACATTTTCTTTATCGTGCCAACGTTTCGATCTTTATTGAGATCATCTTCAGGGCTCAAAGTGTTTGCTCCACTGTGGGGCACTCTCAACACGACACGCAAGAATGGCTCAATTACACAGAAGACAAACACTTTGAGCCTTGAAGATGATCTCAGTAAAGATCGAAACGTTAGCACGATAAAGAAAATGTTTTTCTGAAACCTGTATCACACCAGACCGCATCTCACGATTTCTGAATAATTAAGTACTTAAGTTTAACCACCTCAAGTAAGTAATGTACTGAGAGTAAGCTTGTGATACGTCCTCAAGTAGGCAATATGCTAAGGTGTAAGTTGGTAACAATGTGCTGAAGTTGTATTTGGAAAAACTGGCCAGTGAAAGAAAATATACAAACACTGGACACAATGCAGACAAAACGGACAAACTTTCAACATTTTTTTGGCGAAACCAGGGCCTACTTACAAGAAATGGCCGATATTTTGGAGCGTAGAATCACCAATAAAATTTAAGACCAATGTTGACATATGGGTCGGTGGTGTGGTGGACTCTGCGAACCAAAGCAATCGGGCCATTAAGTGGCACCACAGCGGAAGTGTTTTTAAACATCCCACCATTTCATATTTTAATCCGAGGAGAAGCCAGAGCAGCAGTCCACAGGTTCATAAATGGACAACCATCTGCAAAGATAGGCCATGTAAATAAACAATGGAAACTAGAGGGCTGGAGATACAGGCAGATACCATATTTGGCATGCCAATCGAAGTCACTACTCCAAAATACAATTTTACTAAAAAGTACACGGTACTGATTCCAGATCGTGAAGAATAGCCAAAGAAACACCGCTATAGGCAAACTCCTACTGGTATACTGACGGCCTCAAAACCGACAAAGGCGTGGGAGCTGGAATCTTTGGGATGATCCCAAGGACCGAACTGAACGGCCCTAGCCTCATACCCTTTGTTTTTGGAACTGTATGAAGGTTCTGATGGAAGTCAGTGACATTAACGACCCTCGCATGGGTCCCTGTGCACTCGGGGCATAGAGGCAACAAAATTGGATCCTTAATGAGTCCAATACCTTGTGGAACAATAACATAGGTATGAGGAACGCGAAGAGATTCATAGAAGGCCATCCGCAAAATTTACAAAAGAATTACTGGAAGACAACCGCAACCGAACCAGGATTCTGGTTGGAGTCCTGACAGGACATTTCTTCCTTTTGTCCTAGAACTCAGGGTTTATTTTACATCCGTACCTACCTATTTCCCAGTTGGGTTGTAGATGTTACCCCGGGAGTTTGATGGCTTCCAGTGTTCCCACTTCAGCCACCCCCCAGAGATAAGGGTAGCTCGACCTCCGGCTCCGGTTGGCCGGCGCCCTCTAGCTGAGGCGAAAGTTTATTTTCAAACCACGAGTCCAACCTCAATTGGGGGCTACTTGGAATTACCCCTTCCCGTCGTTCAGTAATTATTTTTAAGGTGGGACTGATCGCCCATCCGGGGATTATTCCCTATTGTTCTCATCCGTTACCCGAGGGGGTGAAGGATCAGTAACCCAGGAAACCTCCGGCCAATGCAGAGAGAGGTAGGACTAAAGGAAAGGCAGGGAAGGATCGGAAAGGTATGGGAAGTTTGCCTCCATCTTCTGTTACCCCTATACGCCAGAACCGATGATAGAACTTGTCTAGGCCCATAGGGAAGTTACCCTATGGAAAAAACACCTGACAGGACTTTGCCACTTAAAAAAGCACGTGCACCGAATAGGAGTACAGACAGAAGAAACACTGCCAAGAAGATGAAGAAAACGCACAATACATTCTATGTTTCTGTGAAGGTCTATGTAGGTACAGGTTCTTGCAAGTGACAAGAAAACCGCAAGCATGATCCTACTCCAAGGAGCCGATGGCAAAGCTATGGAGGCCGATTAACAAATGAAACTGGCCAGAGAGTTATAAAAAAACAGGGGAGCACAATAGATTTACTCGGGTCGAGGTGCAGAAGGGCTTGTGGCCGCCTCTTTCATCCCTAAACCCTATTACCAAAAAAAAAGTTTGGTCCAAATCCGTGACCAACCTTGTCGTCCCCTTATTGGTAAAACTTACACCATGGATGTTTGTTTGTTAGGTTTGTATGTTTTCTGTTACTATCACGAAGAAATTAAACCCTTACAGTCTTTTATTGACCACCTTTATAATTAGAGCAAACAAACTGAATTAAATTACTTAAGTTATTCAGATATCGTGAGATGCGGTCGGGAGTCTCACGATATCTGAATAACTATAGATTAACGGTCACTAATCTCTACACATAAATTACTTAAAGCCAATTTATGCAAGATTGTGTGTTGTTTAAGTGTCGCAACTCAAAAAGGGTTAGTTTTTAGGGGTAGTACATCTGGATTTGTAAAATTTTGTGTTTTCGCTTAAGTCTTGGACAAACGGAAGTGTACTGATGAATTATGATAGTTTTTTATTGCCCACAACCGCATTGGTGTGTACTTAATACGTAAGTAAGAAAGTAAACTTCAATCTAACTCTCCTGTTTTTTAAGTTGTGTGACTTTCCTTGTGGGTGTGCAATACGTGGGGTATTTCAGGTGAAGTATAAATAGAAAAACCCCTTATAATTTCCTAAGGCTGTCAGATTTTTGAAATTTGGTCTAGTTGGGAAAATAATTGTATTTTCTTGTACGGTTGTGTATGGTATGGTATAGTATGGTAATAAGAATACTAGGAAGCTGGGTTAGTGCTCCCCATACACTGCAGCCTTCTGCTTATTGGCTAGTTCCTTAGTTTAGTGCAATAGAAGTAAGACTTCTTCTAAGAAGCATCAAGTCATTGACGGCTATAATTTTATTCCCTATTTTTTTTTTCGTATGTTAGATTAAGTCTCCATTGAGCTGTTGCTTCGCAATCGGTGGCTGTTTCCTCTTCCTCATTACATCATCAGATGGGATCATCGTCGTGTATGCCCATGTTGTGTAGATGTTTTCTCAGATGCCAGTGACCGGTTAAAAGTCCTATCACTCCTCTGAGTCCAGCCCTCTCCAACTGCAGCAGTGAGTTTGCCAGTCTTGGTGAGGATTGTTTCATCACAAGTTTATGTGTATAGCGCCGCTAGAGTTTATCCACTTATCCCTTTCTTTTGTTTAGATCCATTCTGCGATGAATGATTCTGTATTTGTTTTTGTCATCCCGAGTATAGGTTCGGGGCCTATGTACGGTCTTGCAGATCCTCCCCTGGCCAGTGTGTCTGCTTTTTCGTTTTCCAAAATTCCTTTGTGCCCTCGCGCCCGAGATATCGCCGGGTTGTAGTTTCCCCAGGTTTTAGAGATTTTGGATGCATTCATGACGAATTTTGATGTGATTTTTTTACATGATAATGCTTTAATAGCTGCTTGGCTATCAGATCTTATGAGGATTTTTTGCCAGTGTAACCTATTTTAAGATTTTATAAGGCACAAGTGTTGATGCATGTATTTCTGCTTGAAAAGACCGAAGTGTACTTCCCTAATGAGTTTGATTGCTCATATTTGGACTTGTACAAAAACGTTTTGCTTTGGAGCCATCTGCATACCATATCATTGTATCTGATGATCTCATTTTCTTCCTCTCCTTTATAGTCCATTGAGTCTTTATAGGATGTTGTAAAGAATGTTTCAGGGATCATATAGTCAGTCCCTATTTCTAAGAATGGGTGTCTGATTTTATTTATTATAGTAGTATACCCGAATTGTTTAGTTCCTATACAATTTTATTGTTTTTGGAGACTGTACGGTAGTTAAGACGTGTTATGTCTCAGCCACTTAGTCATTTCGCAATTTACTCAAATGCCTAGTCATTTATTAAAATTTTAAATTACTCATCAGTAATGACTTCTTATTAAATGCATAGGCATTTCAACAATAGTCTAGGCACTTCATTAATTTTCAACGATTTGAATTTTGGCGCGAGCCTCCATGAGCAACAGGTGTTTTCCTTCATATCACCAAATAAACAACTGGGGATTGTTTAAAAATCGGACATTGTTAATTTATTTTTAATCTAAATACAATGATTTTGGTCTGTTTTAATTAATTTAAAAAAATACAAGGGAAAATTCTTCTAAAGTCGGCCAGAAACGAAAAACAGGGTCACGTCCGTGAACAAAACGCCCCGTCGTGATGGAGGGGGAGGGTTAAACAACAACAATTCATTTTCAAACAATAAAATGTTTAAACAAAAAAAAAAGAATTGTTATTGTTTTGATCATTGTTACCGGAGGATCACGACTGCTAATTTTTTAAAATTTATTATAATTGAAAATGGGCGAAAAAAGAGGATAGAGGGAAACGCACAAAACAGGAAGTGTGCCAGTTCTTTTCAGACTGAACCAAAATACGAATCTTTTTTGTTTTTAATTGTCAAACGACAAAAAACAAAACGCTTAAATTGTAAAAGAAAACTTTAAATTGTGCTTACCTTCGTTAACACCTTTTTGCTCCGTCATCTTCAGTCATGAAGACACGAACGATTAGGGCGACGGGTCGTGACTGCCGGATGACGGGAACACTCGGCCCACGGCCCCCTCCCCCCCAACAACAAAATTCCAGCGCCCCCTCCGGCCTAGCACTTTCGTTTTTGAATTAATAAAAACTTACAAAAATTTTTACCTTCTAAATAGCTTGTCAAAAAATAAAAAAAAATTCTCTTTTTGTAAATAATGGTTCCATCTTCGACTCTCAGAACCGTCATTTATAAAAAGTTACTAATAAATTCGCTCAATTGAACACATATCATGTAATTAAATTACATTAAACAACTTCACTCTATTAATTAATCTTTTTTTTTTTAATAAAGGGAATGCTTTGGCCCTAATTAGGAAACGACACATTTTTAAATAAGGTAAGGTGAAACTATTCATTTTCTACTATGTCAAAGTACAATTTTTAAATTTATAGAACATTTTTTTTAGTGTGAATTTAATGTTGGTATTGTTATAAAAAAAAAGGAATTTTCTTATTAAAATTTCCTTCAGTTTTTCTTTTTATTAGATCTTTGGAGGAAACTTTTTTCAATAGGTACACATCATCCTCAATTATACATTATGCAGGACAAGTGACCAAGACCCGAGGGGTTAAATGCCTGGGTAGACTCGTACCCCATCCCTAAAAGGTCCGGGACTTGGTCGGCTCACATGTCCTGCATAAACCTCTTAGGCCTGTTCACAAACCCCAAGATTTTGGACCAATTAATCTCTAGGAGTGATTTGGTGATGTCCTCTCCTTCATAGATTTCAAATCTAGACCTAGCATACCTCACACTCTGCGAGCTAGTGCCTTGCCGTTTCTTCTTTTACTTCGCAAAAACAGCAAAAGGGATCTGGTAGAATACCCATTACAGAGAGGTGTCTTCTCAGTGGGCAGTGGCCTCCTAATTCCCCTCCTTGAGATAGAGAATAGCCATTTCGATTCTGGTGGTTTGATCACCTTAACAAACTCTTTCGATTGCCTGTGTCCGGGGGATAAATTCCACTCCCTAAGGAATTGGTTCATGCCCCAGTTATTAAATTCTCTTTCGCTGTGCTCATGAGTGAGGTAATACCGATTGTGGTCCGACAAACGCAGTATTAGAATCTTCTTTGGCCAGGCCATCTGCCTTTTCATTGCCACGTGCTGGTATCCAAATAAGAGTTACCTTGTTCTCAAACCTGGAAGAGATCCTACAGATAAGATCTACAGTTCCTCCACCAGTCGTGAGGTAGACAAATGCTAAATATAACAATTTTAAACAAATAGTTGCTGATTCTGAACAAATACTAAAAAGATTTGGGAGTTGATTAGATCAGTAACTGATGTCAAACCTAAAAAGGAAATTTTAATGAACAAAGCTCTTATAGTTTTTCCAACTACTTAACACAATTTGACCAGGGGCAAAAGAAATATTTAATAATTTTGTTATTCTTTTTTTTTTAATAAAGGGAATGTTTTGGCCCTAATTAGGAAACGACACATTTTTGAATAAGGTAAGGAGAAACATTAATTTTCTACTATTTCAAAGTACAATTTTCAAATTTATAGAACATTTTTTTTTGTGTGAATGTAATGTTGGTATTATTATGAAAAAAAAAGCAATTTCTTATTAAAATTTCCTTCAGTACTTTTTACTAACTTATACTACTACTTTTCAGTGCTTTTTAAGTTTTTATTAGATCTTTGGAGGAAACTTTTTGTAATAGGTACCACATCATCCTCAACACCGCTGTTTAGTTGAAAACATTTCCTTGTGTTTAATACTGTCGATATCACACTAAGTTGACTCTCTAATAGCAGCACAAACATATTGTGACTTCTTTGCAGTAGTGTAATACTTTTTTTGCCTGAGTCTTTGAGTCCGTTATAAATGATAAGATCTTGAAAATATTACAATGGCATTTGTGTGAGATGTTAAAGGTAAAATTTTTTGGAGAAAGTATTTTCCAACAGAGTCCATGTTGCGAAATTATATAATTTTCCGTGATCCTTAGGGTCATATATTTCATCATTTTTACATTACCTTTTCCCATTACTACAGTCTATAAAAAAATATTTTGTACTATTTTGTGCAAATTTCAGTCTGTTACAAGTGGTGACGTTTTTTTATGAGATCTATTTTTATGTAGGTAGTTACACTTGTAAATGTATAAATATGATTAATAATCCTAGTGACACGATTAGAATATAATTACAGGGAAGTCAAAATTTTGAAATCAATGAAACCTTGCCTGCAGTTGTATCTATATTTTAGTTTTGACCTCCCGACCAGATATCCTCCTACAGACCCATCAGCCTTCTTCCTACAATGTACAAAATTCTTGAAAGGCTCCTCTTAAAACAACTAATCCCTATCCTAGATACTTATATTATTCCCTTTCACCAATTTGGCTTCCACCCACATCATTCTACGACCCAACAAGGTTTTAGAGTTGTGGACACCATTTCCTCTGCTCTTGAGAACAAAGAGTATTGCCTGGGTGCGTTCCTAGATGTAGCACAAGCTTTTGACAGGGTGTGGCACCCGGGCATACTTTATAAACTCAAACGCTTCCTACCCACTCCTTATTACCTTATCCTGAAATCCTACTTAACAGACTGCTGCAGAGTGAGGTGCGGTAATGAGTTCTCTGAAATCAGGCCAATACAAGCCGGTGTCCCACAAGGGAGTATCCTTGGTCCTATCCTTTATACCATCTATACTGCTGACCTATCTACTCACCCCAATACCATCATTACCACCTACACGGACGATACGGCAATTTTGTCCTCTAACATGAATCCTACCCAAGCTACCTCTAATATCCAAGAACTCCTTGAGCTCATCGAAGGTTGGTGCAAAAAGTGGAGGACAAGATTATACATTGGAAAAAATGTTTCCAATGTACGTTCACTTTGAAAAGGCAGTCTTGCCCTCCACTATACATCAACAATGAAGAGATACCGACTTCCACTCAAGTCAAACACCTAGGACTATACCTTGACAGCAGACTGACATGGAATCCCCACACAAGACTTAAAAGACAACTCAACAGAAGACTTGGACAATTACGCAGACTACCAGAACCAAAATCCGGGTTAACCATCAGCACTAAACTGACCTTATACAAGACTTTACTGCGACCACTTTGGACATACAGTGTGGAACTGTGGGTTTCCGCCAAACCATCCAATATCCAGTCCTTCCAATCAAGTCCTCAGACAAATCGTCAAAGCTCCTTTCTACGTCTCTAACCTCACTATCCACAAAGACCTCAACATTCCTTTTGTCCACGAACTGATGCATTCACAATTACAAAAATTTCATACCAACCTATCGATTCATCCTAACTCTACCGCTAGAGCCCTCTCCACATATTTCCATCCCGAGAATCCACCACATCGCCTAAAACGACGATGGCCCCGAGACCTCCTTGCCCCTTAATCCATTAAAATGAGTGCCAGCACTGGCTGGCTTCTCATGGCATGTGTCCTCCGGGTGCAGCGCTGGCATCGGTGTTGTACATTGTGATCACATTTGTATATGTATAGGCTACAAATAAATAAATTTAAAAAAAAGTTTTGAAATAACCGATTGCTTTCTTTGGGTAGCAAAAACCTTTCTTGCTGGTAAAGCGTCCCCACACCAATATTGAGTAAGAGATATGGGCATAAAAATAGCCATAATGTGCTTTTATTGTTGTTTCCCTTGATATCTGTATAGCCAGGCATGTGAATAAAAATATATATTGAATTTTTACTAGACCTGTACAGTGAGGAGTCCAATTTAGTTTGGGGTCTATTTTAATGCCTAATAGGCTGACTAAATCAGGATTTGTTGTAAATTCCAAGAGGTTCCTTACACTTAGTGTAAGGATTTGAGTTTTATTTTTATTGAGGCCGAATCCATTTTCCTCAAACCGTTTTTTGAGTTTGTTCAAAGTATTCTTATTTGATATATGTGCCTTTTCTAGGGATTTATCAGCTCAAGTGTATAAATGGAAAATTTAAGTGGAGATCATTGGTGAAAATTAAGTAATTATAGGACTCAATGCAGATTCTTGCGGAACTCCCATATAGATCTTTTCAAAATCAGAACATTATTTGCAAATCGTGAGATGCGGTCATCAGGGCCTGGGATTTACCAACATTTACATTAACAAAAAATGTTTTCAAATCCCAGGCCCTGAAGATGATCTCAATAAAGATTGAACGTTGGCAGGATAAAGAAAATGTTTTTCTGAAACCTATGTCACACCAGACCGCATCTCACGATTTACGAATAATCATTGACTAACGGTCACAAATCACCACAGATTTTTGGTTACATTTAACATAATGTATCGTTTGACAAATAAAATTCCATCACATTTATTGCAGAATCAGAAAAATTATACACCGTTTTTGGTTTGGTTTGAACATCTTATATGAGGCATGATCAAATCTTTACTCAAATGTAGAAAGCTTGCCCTCTTCAGACAAACTAATAACTACAAAAACTGGTACTGTTGGTGGGGCCATTAACATGAATATGAAAATTTGTCGAGTTGATTTCTTAAGATTTCAACAAAAGTTGATACACTGCTTGATTTTTGAATTGTCATGGGACACCGTTAAAAATCTTAAGAGAAACATGACAATTTTGTGAGTTTCAAGATGTATCAAGGTCAACCAGTAAGAAGATAATTTATTACGGGGAAAAATTAAAATTCAAGAGAATATGAGAAACCGAGGGGTGTACGATGTCCGTCAGTCTTGAAGATAGGATCAGAGGAAGGATCGGCACAAATTTCTCTTTTTCTTGAAAACACAGTCAAAGAAATGGCCTCTTTCATTCATCAGATTTTGTTCGGCAGTGAATAAGAGTTAAATTAATAACATTTATGTTTTCTTATTGGAGAAAAAAGATGAAATCTGATCAGCAGTTTTTAATAAATAATTAATTTTTATTGACAGTCTCCTTGGAAACTTAATTTTCTGTTTTTGAAAGAAAATAAAAATTTATAAAATATATATATATATATATATATACCTAGTAAATCTACTAACAAAATATACCCCTGAGTATAATATATTTAAACTTACATTCTGCTTTACATTGGATGTAAATAAGATTCATTTTCTACAACTTTGAAGTACATTTTTAAATTTATATCATGAAGATGATGATGAAAATAGGCAGCGGGGTTTGTACTCGCCAGGCCTTGCAGCCTTCTGGCTTATTGTACCTTCCTAGTTCAGTACAATCGACTCAATCCTTCTTCTGAAGTATTAGGCCATTACTGTTGCTGCTACAATTTCATTCCCTGTTTTTTTCTGTTGCTAGGATAAATATCCATTGAACCATTGCTTCGCATGTTGTGGAGATATTTTCTTAGATGCCAGTCACCAGTTAAAAGTCCTATCACTCCTCTGAGTCCAGCCCTCTCCAACTGCAGCCGTGACCTAAGATAGAAGCTTGATACTAGCTAGAACCTAAGATAGAAGGTTTGGCTGTTAGGGCCGTTAAAACGCCCTTTAAAAAAAATAAAAAAATAAATTAATTAAAAAAAAAAAATTAAAAAAAAACAATTGTAATGTATAGGCAAAATGCCAGGGTGGGCTAACTTTTTGCCCTGTTTTTAATATAATAGTGCTGCTTTATGTCTTTAAATAAACTGCTTGCTAATATGCCGGTAGTAAGAGGAATGTATCAAGATTACAATCATGGTGTCACTAAAGTAAGACAATTTGTCAAGTTTCAAGATGTTTTCTAAACTCAATGAAATGTTGGAAACACTGCTTACTTTGGTGAAAAGGAACCTTAAGCCGGGAACACACTTACCCGATGCAACGCTGCCCGATGCCTTGCCACGTTTTGGTAGGGTGTGCACATCTATATGATGTCAAGCGCATGCTACAGTCACACAGCGGGCATCACAATAATCACTATCACAATCGTAATGCATTTTTTGTTCTTAACGATTATTTGAGTAAAATCATGTTATAAATTATTAGCTAAATTTTATGAGCACAATTATATAATAAATTGTTAAAGTTAATCGTTTTAGTTATTCCGATGTTTTGATAAATTTTCTACCTGACCACCATAATTAAATAATTTTTACAAAAACGCATGAATTTTTGATCTAGTTTAATTTGGTTTATATGAAAATAAGAATGTTGTAATTAGTATAACAACAAAATTACATATACAGAATTGGAAATAAACTACAAAAAATATGAGTGTCCTGTTTTGACGCTACTCGACAAAAACTGTGTAATTGCATGAGCAAAACCATGAAATAAATTGTTAGTTAATTTTTATGAGCAAAACCGTGTAATAAATTGATAGTTAAATACGTAATATCAAAAAATGGTATTCCGGTGTTTCGATCATTTTCTGTCAAATCATTAAAATTATTATTTTTTAAATAAAAACTAACAAATTTTTGATCCCACTTAATTTGGTTTACATTAATTTAAGTATGTTGTAATTAATATAACGACAATACATATAGTTTGAAATAAAAATATGATTGTCCGGTTCTTTTATCTTCAACTGTACTCCATCTGACTCAACAAAAATCTGGACAGTGGGGATCGCAGAGTGTAGAGTATGGTAGCGTTACATAGCATCGGGCAGATGAGCACGGGGGTAATACAACCTTATGGAAAATTTGACTTTGGATTTGCGTCGGGTAGCGTTGCATAGGGTAAGTGTATTCCCAGCTTTCCTAATACTTCACCAAAGTTGGCAAGACCCTGTTAAAAAAAAACATGGCAACACTGCTTGCTTTGGTGAAAAGAACCCATAAATGTACATGACATTTGGAGGGTTTCGTATTTCTTAACACTTCACCAAAGTTGGCAAGGCCCATTCAAAAAAACACATGGCAACACTGCTAACTTTGGTGAAAAGGACCCTTAAATGTACATGACAATTTGTCGAGTTTCAGGCTTTCCTAACACTTCACCAAAGTTGGCAACATTGCTGGATTTAGGTTAAAATGCCCCTGTTCGAAAAACCCATGACAACACTACTTATTTGGTGAAAAGAACCCATAACTGTACATAACATTTGGTGGGTTTCATATTTCTTAACCCTTCACCAAAGTTGGCAAGGCCCTGTTAAAAACCAAGTTGACAATATTGCTTTTTGTGTATTTATTTATTTCCCGTGCAAAATGAATTTAATTCAATTAAACTAGACTTGTAAGAAATAGATAGAAAAGAACAATACACAACTAGGAATTTGAGCATTATTTGACATTATTGAGCTCGTAATTATGACAAATTTCCACCCAGTTGACTGACAAAAAGGAAAGGTCTAGGAAAAATAAAAAAACAAACAAAAAGAAAATAGAAGAAAACTTTTGATACTTTTTCAATAGTTTTTATTGTATTTATCCTCAATTCAGCACTGGATTAATCAGCATATCAGTTTTGCAGGGGCTTCTCTTCATTTTTTATCTCACTGATATAATATTCCCTCCATAATTTTATTAACAAGAGGAAAAAAGGGAGAAGAAAAACCTTTGGATATTTTGGAAATAATTAAAAAAAAAAAAAAAACAAAGAAAATAGAAGAAAAACAAAATAATGGGGAAAAGTTCATTAATATTCCTCATTTCACCTTTATTATTTTTCAAAGGGGATGGCATATAAAAATATAAAATTCATTTTTTTATTTCAACAATATCCTTTGTTTTATCTATATATATTATAAAAAACCCTTCCTTCTATATTATTATTTTTTAATTATTTATCCACCCAGTTTACGCCTTTTCTTTCAATTTTATTGATACACCTGGTTTTCGTTTTTAAAAAACAAAACAGAAAAAAAAATTAAAATAGTGGCTACAAGTAATAATTCTTAAGAACTATTACATATAACAAGCCCCCAAGGAAGACTGAACCAATGAAAAATAAAATATAAAATAAAAAAATAAAGACAACTTTATGAGAATTTTTTTTTTTTTTTTTTTGGAAGGTAACATCAATATATTTTTCTCTTCTTTCCACTACGCTCACCTTCGGATTTTTCTTTTCTTATTTACAGGTCTTGTTTTTATTTAAAAAAGAAAAAAAAGAAAAAAAAAAAGAATAATATATTATATAAAAGGCAAATGAAAAAATGAAACATACAAAGAAATCTCGAGCTCTCTACAGGGACTAGACTGTCTGCGTTTGTCGACGCGAGAGGAGCGCCGAGGCCTGGACCGGGCTGAGCTGGTTGTCAGCCGTCCCCACCGGTGCTGCCGCCTGGCATATCGACAGCTGCTGAACGACGACGCGGTTGAGGCACATGGCAGACTCGGCCAGCGACGACAGCTCTTTCGCCGAGCTGTTACGGTTTATTATGCGAGGTGTCTCAAGGGCGTTGCTGCCCTCGGCGGACAGGCCGGCCACCCAGGGGTGTTCCAGCACCTCCTCCGCTGTCAGTCTTCTTTCTGGGTCTTTTATCAGCAGCCGTGACACCAAATCCTAAAAGAAAAAGGTAAGCAAAAATTCAAATTAAAAATTATGAACTTGTCCCTCCCCCAACATTTCACCAAAGTTGATGAGAATGCATCATATTCGGATAACAGGTCCCTTGAAATATGGCGAGTTTGAATTAGGCGTTCATCCATATGTTAGCAATATTACTCAATTTTGTGAGGGTGAAAAAAAAATTGGTGAATGATTTTCTAAACATTTCACCACAGATGGCACCCACTGCTTGAGTTTTTGTATTATTGGTCAGTGGGGGGGTCCATTAAAATGAACATGACAATGGGCAACTTTCAAGATTTTCTTAACACTTCCACAATATTGGCAACATTGCTCGATTTTTAATGTTGGTGAGGGAGATTCTTAAATGATGACAATTTTGTGAATTTCAAGATGATTCCAGTTTTCTTAATACTTCACAAAAGTTGGCAATATTGATTTGTTGGTGGGGGAGACCCTTAAAATAAACATGATATTTTGGCGAGTTGCTGATTATTTTTTAACATTTCACCAAAGTTGTCAACATTGATTGATATGCTGGTGGGGGAACCCTTAAATGAACATGACAATTTGGATTAATTTCAAGATAATAAGTTTTCTTGAAACATGATTTTTCTTAATGGTTTACCAAAGTTGGCAACATTGATTGATTTTTCATGGTTTTATTAACACTTCACCAAAGTTAGCAACATTGAGTGATTTGTTCATGAGGGAGATTCTTAAAAGATGACAATTCGAGAGTTTTCAGATGTATTCTTAAAACCACCAAAGTTGGCAACATGGATTTATTTTTTAGTGTAATTGAGGGGAGACCCTTAAAATAAATATCACAATTTGGTGAATTTCAAAATGTTTTGTTAACACACCACTGACTTGTTATCTGATAAAAGGGACTGTTTGTAAAACATGGCAAATATGTTTACTTTGAAGAAACAAAAATTTAAAATGGAAATAATTAGTGAGTGTTATCTAACATTTATTTTTTAATTATAATTTGACATCTTGCTAAGTTTATAAATATTGGGTCAATTATTATTGTAATAACTGTTTTCCACCTCACCTTGGCTTGCTCACTCACACCATCCCAACCCTCGCGGTCGAATACGATCCTCCCTTCAAGTATGTTGTCGAAGAGCGCCACTCGGCAGTCGATGCAGTCTGCGCAGCAGTTGTCGCCCTTGCAGAATCCCCAGAACGGCTGGTAGCCACAGAGGAGTATGTACAGGATGACACCGAGCGACCAAAGGTCGCACTGTTTGTCGTATGACGCTTCAGCATGCGAAGATGCTAGGAACGTCTCTACAACTTCAGGCGCCATGAATTCTGCTGATCCGACTGGTGAATGCAGTCTGAATAAAATAAACATATGTAGTATTAAGATTTGTCATTTTATTAAGATTAAAAAAAAAAAGTTTTATGAATTTTTACCTTGGGTTCGACATGGGCCCGGTGCTTGAAAATCGGATGCCTGAGCCCAAGTCCAAATCACAGAGTTTTACCGGGCTGAGGCTCTCAGTCGAGACGCAAAGGATGTTTTCAGGCTTCAGATCCCTGTGAGCGATGCCCTTGGAGTGGAGGAATTTCAGGGCAGTCGCCAGGTCACGTATTATCTCAGCAGCCTCCCTCTCAGTGAACCTAAAGACAGAGAGAAACACATCAGTTAAAAAAAAAAAAAAGGAGAGAGAGAGAGAGAGAGAGAGAGAGAGAGAGAGANGAGAGTGAGAGAGAGAGGAGGGAGGGAGAGGGGAGGGGGGATGGAGGGAGAGAGAGAGAGATTATGAATTACTCACTTGTCTTTCTCTTGGATACGGGAAAGAAGTTCACCACCAACAATCTTCTCGAATACGAGGTAGTAGTGTGTATCATCTTCGAACATCTCGAGCAGCTGGATGATGTTGGGGTGGCCATGGCAGTGATGGAAAGTCTCAACCTCGCGGAACACCCTCGCCCTCGGGTGGCCTGGTATCTTGTCAATCACCTTCACAGCGAACTCCATGTCGGTGAGAATGTTGACGCATGTCACTACAGATGCGTATGCGCCCCTCCCCAACACCTCGTCCGTCAGTCTGTAAAGGTCTTGGAAGCATGACGTAACAAAACTGGCCGTCGTCTTCTTCCTCCTCCGGGTCTTCTTCGCTGCCTCCTTCACGGCCTCACGCTCTATCGCGGCATCATTTGTCTTGTCACGAAGAACACCGGAGTCTGCCTCTTCTGGAAAAAAAAAGAACAATTACCATTAAAAAAATATATATTAAAAAACATTTATCTATTTAACAAGGTTTTTAAGATTTGTTTCAAATAAAATATAATTGGATTTGCCCAGTGGGGGGGTGCAGTGACTCACCCAGCGAAAAGTTGCTGATGCAACCAAGCTGCCAGCTGTAATTTTATTACAGCCTGAAAATTATTAATGTAACAAAAATATTGCAGTACTTTTCTTATCTCAATCCATTTAATTTGTGCCTCTTGGATAAGCCAGAGGTAGAAGACTAAAAGCAGTAAAATAAAATGAGGTAATTGTGTTAATTATTTGGATATCATGAGATGCCGTTTGATGTGACATAGGTTTCAAAAAAACATTTTTTTTTATCGTGCCAACATTCACATCAGATCACATCTAACGAAACCAAGTAATCATAGTCTAACGGTCACTAATCACCACACATTTCTGCAATAATAATATTTCATTTGGTTGACTGTTTTCATTTGTATACTGAACAAGGCCCCTAAGGTCATTGCTTACTTTGGAGGAAAGGACTAAAATAAACATGACAATTTGGCAAGTTTTATGTTTTCTGAACACTTCACCAAAATTAGTAACATTGCTTACTTTGGAGAAAAGAATCCTCAAAATGAACTTGACAGTTAAGCAAGTTTCTAGATGTTCCTTAAACCAACAAAGTTGGCAACATTGAGTGATTTGTAATTGCAGGTAATTGTTTGAAAAAACAGTTTACTTTGGAAAAAAAGACCCTTAAAAAGATAAAGTTGGTTGGGGGGAGACCTTAAAATGAACACAATTTGGTTAGTTTCATGTTTTCTTGACACTTCACCAAAAGTTGGAAGCATTGATTGATTTTTCGTATTATTGGTGGGCGGGGTGAGACCCTTAAAATAAAAAACATGACAATTTGGAGAGTTAACACTTCACCAAAAATTGCCAATGGTGCATGATTTATAATAAAAAGGACCTTTTTTTAAACATATGGCAACACTGTTTACATTGGAAAAAGGCCTTTAAAAAGATAAGTTGGTGGGAGACCCTTAAATGAACATAAATTTGGTGTTTCACATTTTCTTAACACTTCACCAAAAAATTATTATTTTCATCTATGGTTTTTGGTTGGGATGAAAAAATGTAAAAAACCTTAGACGAAAAGAATAATTTATTGGAATAATTAATATGGTCAATTATGACCACTTAACAAATATGGGTTTCATCAAAATATCGCTTGATTTTTGATAAAAGGGCCTTTTATTTAGTAACACTGTTTACTTTGAATACAAAAGACTCGTAAAATTATAAATTTGGTAGGGGGGACCCTTAAAATAAACATGACAATTTGGCGAGTTTCATGTTTTCTTAACACCACACCAACGTTGGCAACAATAATTTATTTTTTATTATCAATGGGATTGGTTACAAACCATTTTGTTTAAGAGCTGATCGTTTTTGTTGTTGATGGGATCGTGTATTTGTTTTGGTGACCTTTCTAACCCTTTATTCTCGCGATTATTGTTTTTGTACATGTGATCATACGAGTTTTTTTGACTGTATGTTGTTTTAACGGAGAATCTAATAAACAAAAAATAAAAATTATAGCACGCCACGAACGCTTAACATACGTGTCGGATAAGGAACGTTCTAGACCCGAGGTGTGAGTGTGTCATCACCAGCTGGGCGAGTCCGACCGTTGATATTTGTCCGTTGAACGTTCTAGACCGTTAATTATTTATATTTATTTGACTGATGATGCAATGCGCGTCAGAATTGAGACGAGTCTGAAAACCAAGATTATGATGCAATTTTAGTTACAATTGTACTGTTGGCAGGATCTTGGTCTTGCAAAGTCGTTAGTAAAGAAAATAACGTCAATTTGTGCGTTTTGGTTGACAAGCCTGACTTAAAAACGGATTTAAGGGCAAGAATTTAATATCTTAGTCAAAACTAGTATTACTTTAATACCTAAAAGACAAATAGATTGCTATTATGAGAAAGATACAGTAATGTCGAAAGAATTTATTTTCTTCGTCAAAACTATTATTATTAATTAATGCCTAAAAGATAAACACTGATTTTTAAGTAAAAATACAATAGACGGGGCCTCGAAAGACATTAGGGAAGAACATTTTTGTTAAAATTAAAATTAATTTGTGCGTTTTGGTTGGTAGGCCTGATTAAATAATCAGATTTTTCTTGTATTGATATGATTAGATAATATAATAATATCTTAAAAGGAAAATGTTCTCATGATTTTAGAAAAAATTCAATATACAGGGTGGTGTCTCGCAAGTCAACCACAAAATATCGTCAAATTTTGTGTTTTGGTTGGCAAGCTTGGTTTTGGAACAAATTTAACAGCAACAATTTTTATTTTCGTGAAGACAAATTTATATATTCTAAAAAGGAAATATTACACTGTTTTTGTAAGAAAAAATGAATTATACAGGGTGTATTAAGTTATTATTCGGCAAGAAAATAACTTGTATTTTGAGTATTGGTGGGCAAAGCTGGTTGTAAAATCGCATTTAACTGCAAGAATGTTTTTTCGTATAAACTAATTTATATATTCTAAACGGAAATATTATACAGTTTTTGTAACAAAAAATGAAATATACAGGGTGTATTTAGTTATTTTCGGCAAGAAAATAACTTCTATCGGTTGACAAACCTGGTTTTAAAAACGAATTTAACTGCAAGAATGTTTTTTCCGTAAAAAAAAAATTATATATGCTAAATAGAAAATAAACTTTATAATAAGAAAAATTAAATATATAGGATGTATTTGGTTATTCGGCAAGAAAAATAACGGATTTTGTGTATTGGTTAGCAAATCTGGTTTTATAAACAAATGTAACTACAAGAATATTTTTTACAAATAAATGTTATCTTAAAATTGAAATACTATACAGTTTTTGTACGCAAAATGCCATGTGCATGTTCTCGCAAGGGATTAGGTAAGAAAATAACATCAATTATTTGTGTTTTGGTCGGCAGGCCAGATTAAAAAGAATTTAAGTGGAAATTGAGTTTTTCAAAATAACCTATTATATATAAATAACACGTTTAATGTTAAATGAAAGTATGTGTATGTGTTTAATTATAAACAGGGTTTCGCAAAAAATATTTCGGTACGACAATTTTGCGTTTTGGTTGGTTAGCCTGATTTTTAAAAAGCAGAACCAGATTAGTTTAAAAAAAAGACCTTGTCAATGTTTTTAACTAAAACAGTGTTGCCAACTGCATTTTTTAAGTTGTAATTTTTTTTTACTTACGGCCAGAAATGGGCTCTTCGCCGTGCAACTCTTCCAAAATCCTCTCAACCATCTTTACGTCGAAATGTTTATTAATAAAAAAATATATTTTTTATTGTCTCCTCGTCGTATAGAACGAACAAATATTACTATACAAATCAAGTAGGAACTTTGACGCGACACGAGCCACGAGAAAATACACACTAGAATATCACAGATTTTCGGGGTAAAATCTCCCGGATTTGTACTTAAAAAATGGGCCGGTCGTGTTTAACTGGAGAACGATTATAAAAAGGAAAAACAAAAACAAACAAAAAAGGGGGCCGGTATATGGCTGGGTGGTGTTAGGGGAAAAAACGCCCTAGAACGGCATATCGGCCGGTTTGAAAGGACTGGTTGCAGCAGCCGAGTGGAACGCCGTTGTGTCTCCGACTGACCCGAGGGGTGGGGCAGACCTTGTTAAATAGGTTCCCGATCGGTGGGCCAACTACGCAGATACGAACGGCCGTCACGCCACACGCCCCCCCCATAACTAGAGTCGACGAGTCGGCCCCTTACTGCGCATTTGCTCGGCCAACGCCGGCCGGCCGGCTTTCCGGCAGTATTACGGACAAACACAACTAAGACTAAACGAGAGAAAACGTGCGCCGGTACCGGCATGCCAACCCTACAAAATTAAAAAAAAAAATCACCACGGCTGTCAACAATTTTATTTCACGCCTTTCATTTAATTTGATAAATTAACAGCGTTGCCAACTGATTACAACAATTTTATTTTATTTATTCCAGTTAATATTATGAGTTAACAGCGATGCCACTAAATATCAATAATTTGATTTTGTGTATTCCATTTAATTTGGCGTGTTAACAGTGTTGCTCATAAACCAACAATTTGATTTTGTTTATTCCATTTAATTTGTTCAATTCACAGTGTTGCCATAAACCAACAATTTTCTTTTATGTATTCCAGTTAATTTGATGAGTTAACAGTGTTGCCATCATAAACCAACAATTTGATTTTATGTATTTTATTTAACCTGATGAGTGAACATTATGTTTACCAATAGTTATCAACCATTCGATTTTGTGTATTCCATTTAATTTGTTCAATTAACAGTGTTGTCACCATAAACCAACAATTTTATTTTATATATTGCGTTTATATAATTTGATGTTAACTATGTTGCGACATCGATTGTGCTATGTTGCTGAACTATGTTGTTCGATTTTGCTTGTTTTATTTATTTTTGCTTCCAGTTGTTTCCGTTTAATTGGATGAGTTAATATTGTTGCCACCATAAACCAACCACTTAATTTTATGTATTCCATTTAATCTGATGAGTGAACAGTGTACCCAATAGAGCTCAACCTTTTGATTTTGTGTATTCCATTTAATCTATCACATCTCATTTGGTGAGTTAACCAGTGTTGTCAACATAAGCCAACAATTTTATTTTTGTTTCCATTTAATTTGATGAGTAAATGAACAATGCTAACATCATAAATAAACCATTTGTTGATTTTATTTACTCCATTTCATTTGGCTGAGCTAACAGCCATAGGCCAAAACAGTGTTGCTAACAGAGAGACCAATCATGTTATTTCATAGAATAATATGGTTGCCAACTGTTTCCTATTTATAGGTTAACAATGTGGCCAGTAGAGAACATCCATTTTATTTCTTTGAGTAATAATGTATCAACAGAGATCAGCCACATTATTTGATATGCTAACAGTGTCGCCAGTAGAGATCAAACATTTTATTACATAGGGTAACAGTGTTACCAACTGGGACTAATTTTTATTTTTTTTATTTTACTGTTTAACAGTGTTGTCGACAGAGACCAGCCGTATTATTTCATTCTAACAGTGTGGCCCGTAGAGGCAAAACAATTTTATTTTATGCTTTCCATTTCATTTGATGAGTTAAAATGTGGTCAAAAGTGACAAACTATTTTGTTTTATGTTTTCCATTATATTTCAGTGTTGCCAACAGTCTTGAATATATCGTTACAAATAATTTTATTCCATTAAATGCGACGAACTGTCCCAACGAAGAGGAAATTTTAATTTTAATTGAAGTTCTATTTAATTTGAGGTCAAAATATAGAGAATATGCCGACCGATAGAACCAATTTTAGTTGTCGACACGAGCAGTTTTTTCCCTATATCACTACCATCAAAATAATGTAGAATCTTTTGATTGTGTGAAAAAATACACAATTTTGAAACCTAATTTGAACACATGCATTACTAGATTTCGTTGGCGACAAAAGTACATTTCGTCGGTAGTCCTGTCATGTCATCCTGGGAATTTCATTTGAGTACGTACGATTAAAATAGACCGTAAAAAACGAGCAGGCTCGTTAGTAACAACACAAAAATAGCGAGTTCAACACTTCGAAACGAGGAACGGACGTGTCATCGGCTTTTACTTTGTATTGCAAAAGAATAAAAAAATATAAAAAAATCATTCGGGATCACATAATTCTCCCCTTCCCACGCCTTAGTAGGATCCTTCTATAAAGAACGCAGTTCGTTTTAGTGTTATGCAGCCGACAACTGAAGGGGGGGGGGGCTATAGAAGGAAAAAAGGCGATGTTGCCAGCAGCAGACGGCTCCGGTCAAGGGCGATGTTCCCAGCGTTAACTTTCTTCACGGTTGACACACTGAAATCCGCGGTTTTATATTTTTTATTTATTTATTTAATTGTGAACCCGTCAAAAAAAAGGAAAAAAAGAAACAGACAAGCCTTTTTATGCAAGCTTCGACCTATAAGACATCTGATAAACAATACACTTTTCTGCTTATTTTTGCCAATAATTATTTGAATTGATGATTTGACTATGTAATCTAAGATTCAGGTTTAAATTTAAAAAGGAAAAATGCGGTAATCCGTTTAAGTTGGCGGCAGTGCGAAACCAGACGATTTTGAAATTACGGAGGGGGCGCAGGGCATAAATACAGATTTACATAAATGATACTTCTGCTGATAGATTTGTTGGTTACAACGATCCGGATTTCGACCATTAAACCATCATCAAGTTGAAGGAAATACACGTCTCTCAAACATGTAATTTAGGGATTAATTTGTGTGTCAAATATGATTTAGGTACATGTTTAAAATAGGAGGTAAATAAAAATCCATTATATTATTTTGCATTTATCTCCAAGTTTAATTTTATGTTTTTTTAATTGTAAATTTCTCAAACCAATCTAGTTCCCTCCCTTTGTTGAAACTGTGTAACAATGTTGTATTTAAATTTAAATTAAAATTGTGTTTTGTTTCATATAGACGGTGTTAAGAGTTAGACGGTTATTCAGTTAAAAAAGGTTCGATTTAGGCAAGTGTTGTTCTTTAACTCTAGTTTTAATTTCTCTGTCGCTTTGTCCTATATGTTTAATATCGCAATCATTACAATTAAGTTTGTAAATCCAGATTTGTCAACCTTGTCTTTAGGTTCAGGTCTTTTTAAGAATTTTCCCTACTTTTTCTGATAGTTCACCAATGTCTGGCAAGCAACGAAAACAATGATTCATGGTGGGGTGGCCGAGTCCGATTGTTTCTTTAATTTTTTTTTTTTTTAATTCGTTTTACTAGCAACCTATCGATAAATATTTCTTGATAGCCATTGTTTTTAACCAAAGTTTTAATTGTTTGTAATCCTTTTTTAATAATTATCAGGTGTTAATGGGATTTTCAAAATAGCTCGAGCCAAATGAATCCAGCAGCTTTTTGGATCTATGGGTGAAAAGAATCTGCTGGTATTATGGCGTCTGCAGTTGAGTTTTCTATGTACGTCTATTTCAATTAGGTTATTTATTAAGGACAGTTTTATGTCTAAAAAGTTTAAACAACCACCTTTATTTATTTCCAATGTATAATTTATACAGGAGTAAAAAATTGGTGGAATTCTTTTTAGATTCTCTAGTGTTCCCGACCATATGAATAAGCTTTTTTTTTTTTCAAAGTTAACTATGAATATTTCGGCATAATGTGGGGATAATGGAGGCCTTTCATTTCGTAAAATTTGTAATTAAATTTAGAATAATTAATTAGTACGCATAAGAGGTCTATTTGTTTTTACTTTTTGCTGGCTAACTGCTAAGGCCATATATTTTCCATATCGCGTTCTTTTTCTTATTGCTTATATTGGTGCTGTCATTTTATACTCTTCCACTCTTCCATACGCGGCTTATGTTCCTAAATCAATGTTACATGACTACATTTAGCCACTATATTATTTACAATACAGCCGGGAAGACGGCATGGTGTTTATAACCTCAACGTCTTACCATCCTTCACGCAAAGAAATACATTCGTACAGAGTAGAACCCTTCGAGCCTCATGTACAAATAAAAGTCGTGTAGTCGCCGTAGATTTAATATTACTCGGCGACTTGCCCGCGCTCATTAACATATTAACTAGCCGCCACAGGCCAGTCAATATACATTTGCGCTATAAATACATTCACACATAGGGTTAGTCACCAGGGTTTTTGTATTGGTCCAGTGCCCTTTCATACTACAAATATTAACCTAGATTCTCCGACTAGTCTGTGAGGTACTCGATATTCCGTCTCAGACTCGCCCACGCATACACACTCAACCATTTTCGCCAATAAATACAGCCACATCCCAATGAAATCCACGTAGGAAGGGGTTCTTATACAAACATAGACTTGTATTGACTTCAGGTGTTATAATTCACGTTTTTGACGTTCAAAATTGAGCGGCATTAAAAACCATCTCAAAGGATCGCGTTGTGTTTGTAAATCCTTCAACCTGATGAGCATGAGAAACAACAAATTTATCAGTACGACCGTCATTTACAAAAAGTGTATCTACATAATCATCCCGCCTTTATCATTTCAACAATATAAGCAGTTTTTTTTTTTTTTTTTTTTTTAATGTTCCCTTATCTTTCTTCCCCTCTCCGCTTTGATGTCGAAAACGAAAACCGGAGTTATTTTTAGAACCCCGGGAACCTCGTCCGATAGGTGTTTCGGTCGCGACGGTGTCAAGCAACATGAGAGAAATTGTAATTTTTTTTAAATTCAAGCCTTCATGAGAAAAGGCATGAAGGTTGCAGAGCGATGGACGACATGGACCAAAAATGTAAAAGTTATCGCGTTCCTCCAAGTGTAAGTATAAATTTTCCTACAGTTGGAGGGATAGGGGAACGTTCCAATAGTGGAAAACGATAAAAACTGAAGGGAGATTGTTACGTTCCAACTATTGCAACGGTTTGAAAATGTTCAAAAAGTTCTCGCGAGTTTCGAACGTTCCGATAGTTTCAAAGTGTGATTTATTATAAAATTGGAGAGCCATTGAAGGTTCCACAAGAGAAGGAAAAAATCACGTTATAACTGTTTGAAAAGCACTTCTCAAAGTGAAACATTCCAAACCTAGAACGTTCCAACCACTTCAAAGTGTGATTTGTTATAAAATTGGAGAGCGACGTAGGTTCCACAAGTGAAAAAATGTTATAACTGTTTGAAAAGCACTACTTCTCAAAAGTGAAACGTTCCAAAAGCTCCACACTTAGAACTAGTGCACAGGGTTAAACGTTCCAACAGTTCCTTGCTCTACACTGGGTGAATAATTTCAAAAGGTCTGTCTTCATTGCTATTTGGAACTTTTGAAACGATTGGAACATTTAAGCAGGTGCACAAATTCAGAAGACAGACCCACAGGTACGGCGGGGAGGTGGATGGAAAAAAAAGGTCTGTCTTCTGAATTCGTGCACCTGCTTAAATGTTCCAATCGTTTCAAAAGTTCCAAATAGCAAAATTGGACACAGTGTGAAACGTTCCAAAAGTTCCACCATCCAAATTCATTCACCGGGTGAAACGTTCCAACCGTTTCAAAGTTCCATAGTTGGAGTGAGAGCGAAACGTTCCAAGTGTCCCGAACATTCCCATATTTCCCATTCGGTTTTTTTCTTAAATCCTCTGGCGTTTTGTCTCGCCCGGGGGCCCGCACAACATCGTTATCGAATCGCTAATTTCCATTTCATTCGCAGTTAAAAAAAGAACCAAGGCCACCTCCCGTTGAAAAACGAAAATCCTCACGAGGTTTTTGTACAGGGCAATCAAATATTTACAAGATATGATTATGAGGTGATTTTTTTTTTTGGGGGGGGGATTGAACATTTCTTTCTTCCCTGACTTTTTACCTTTGGCCCCACAAAAAAGTTGAAAAACGTAAACTAACTACCTTCCTCCTCCGAATCGGCCGATAAAATTTGACCCAATTCCGTACCAAAAAATATCTACAAGGTATCACCTCTCGTGCAGCGTCCACCCCGTGGTAACCGAGATATCGTTCCATATGGAGAAAAAACAAACAGAAAAAACGTGTTGTATCTCCCGTACCACCTATCGTGACGTAAAAAATTCGAAAACCCACAAACAACACACAACTTGGGGGGGGGTACACAGAAAAAAACTTTCTGATAAATCTTTTTCGAGGACAAACCGGCAGACGATACGACACGATTTTCCATACAGAAAAAAAAGAAAAACAATTAATTTCTCCGGGCCCGATGCGCAGTTCGTTCTGACCGAGCCACGTTGACATTTCTTCGCCCTGCAGAACCTGAATCTGATGAAACACTAGTGACGCACGTATAATATTACATTTTCAAAAGACCTGTTAAAACAACCCATGTTGCTCAAGGGTGTAGAGCGGAAACGTTTCAAAAGTTCGAATTTTAAAATAAATGATGGAACATTCCAAAATTTTAAATGTTGAACGGGGATAAATAGTTCCAATAGTTACAAACACTTCCCTCAAAGGTTGGAGACGTGCAATATTTTATAGTACATCGTTCAACACGTTCTAATTTTCCCCCAAGTAAACAGTGCAAATTTTCAATATTTTCAACAGTTTTAACTTCCAATTTCATGAAAAGTTTCAAATTTCGCACTGGGTGTAACGTTTCAATAGTTACACTTTCCAAATTACATTAGGTACATTCCAACTGTTCCAAACATTCCACCATCAAACGCATACAACGGAGGAAATGTTCCAATTTTTTTAAAAGTTCCAATTAGCAAAGTCATTTTCCAGATTAAACATTTCAAGAGTTTAAAAAGTTCCAACTTTCAAAATTCATGCACAGCATGAAACGTCCTCAAAGTTTCATTTTCTAACACGTAAACCTGGTGAGATGTTATCACTTTTGTCCATTTCACAAAAAGGTTCCAACTTCGAAATTCGTAGACCGGCTGAAATGTTCCAACGGTTTCAGAAGTTCCCATCTCCGGGAAAAATGTTGCATCCTCGAAATTGTATATCGGGTGAAACATCTCAACCGTTTCACAAGTTCCATCTACAAAAATTCTTGGTCTGGGTGCTGGGTGAAACGTTCCAACTGTTTCAAAAGTTCGACGACATAAATGAAACCTTTCATTAATTTCAAAATTTACACCTTAAGGTGAATAAGTTCCAACCGTTTCAAAAATTCCAACTAGCAAAGTTGTACACCTGATTAAATGTTTCATAAATTCGACTAGTACTAAGGATTCGCTTCACAAAAGTTCCAACAAGCAAAATTGGACATTGGGTGAAGAGTTCCAACTGTGAAAAAGTTTCACCTTCCCAATCTGTGCACCGGGTGAACCGTTCCAACCGTTTCAAATTCTAATTTCGCTGTTAACTTTCCAAGAGTTCCACATAGCCAAGTTGTTTATCGGGTTAATGCTAAGTTATTAAGTTTGAAAAGTAGCACCTCAACCAAGTTGAATATCGTGGTGAAACGTTCCAATAGTTTCATAAGTTCAATTTTTTACAATTCGAAACGTACAATGGTCGGAGAGAGAATGAATCGTTCTAAATGTTCGGTTCAACCTTTAAACCGACAAAACGCCCAGTAATTTTTGTAAATGTTTAATTTTCAACATTGGAGTCAAAATGAACGATACGAGATCAGTGGCCAGGGGTTCAACAATTCCCAACGGGCAAAGACACCTTTCAGACGGGGGTGTAAGAGTATTGGAAGCGCCCCAAGATGGGCGATCCCGTCTCAGAAGGCCCGGCGTCCGTTTTAAAATTAAATTCAAACCCGGCGTGCGGCGGGCTGTTGAACCCGTCGAAGGATGGCGGATTTCGGCGAAGGTGGACCTTCAGGGAGGAAAATATATCTGTAAGTCAAATCCGTCCGGATTATTCCGCAAGGTCTCGGCCGGACGAAAGGGGAAAGCCGTGAACCCTTTGACGGGACGATTTGAACAGGATGGGATTCAATTTCGGGCCATAAAAGGTTGGATTCTCGTCTATACAGAGGTGGAGGTTGGTTAAAGGTCGGAAACGGATCGAAACTGGGAGGATGTTGACAACGGGCGGCGTGTTGGGGCAGGGAACGGAGAAAAGCACCACCGGGTACTGAAATAATTTCTGCCGGGGAATTGACATCGAGTGGGGAAAACGAAAAAACTCTGGAAATAGGCGGCCACGACCGATGCCAGCTTCCGAGCGCCCTGCCAGGAGAAAAGGCGGTCAAACTAGCTCTTTCCGTCGTCGGTCGACTTCCTTGGCCAAAGAGGAAAATGAAACTCGGTTCTAAATTAAAAACTTTTTCTGATTAAATCACTGAATGACGTCCCAGGGTCGAGAAACCGTTCGACTTCTGCGTGTAAATACAAAACAGGCAAACACACAAACAGTTCTTATCACCGCCGTCTCCAGTCGAAAGCCAAGGGATAATCACATCATTTCCTTTGCAAACTGGTGTTATCGCTCATCAAAGACAATTAGGATTAACAGATCTCTAACACAACAATGATAACTCAGTAATATGACCGTTTAATTAATTTTGAACAAATGCTAATGTTTTACTCAACATTTCATTGATAAGTCAGAAAAATTCAATACAAATTGAAACGTTCCAACCTTTGCAAAAGGTAACCTTCAAAACTATACTTCAGATAAAATGTTGCAACTTCAAAATTGAACACCGGGTGGAACATTCCAAACCTTTTACATCTAAATTCGTGAACTGGGTGAAATATTTCAAACGCCATGATCTTCCAAAGTTTTGCACTAAGTGAGACGTTCCAATGTTGCAGAAGTTACGCCTTCCAAAAATGTGCAGCGGGTGAACGTCCCAACCTATCCAAAAGTTCCACCTGCTGAATTCATACTTGGTGGTTTCATTTCTACCTTTCCAATAGTTCACCTCCAAAATCCGTATACCAGGTGAAACGTTCCAACTATTTCGCAGGTATTACTTTCCGAATATGCGTAAATCTTCAAAATTGTACACCGAGTGAAACGTTACGTAAAATTCCAATTAGCGAAGTTGTCTTTCGGATTAAACGTTTCAACAATTTCAAAATTTCTAACATCCAAACACACCCCAAATGTTCCACCTCGAAACTAGTGCACTTTCAACTTTTTAAAGTCCCACAACGCATAAATGATTCCGATTGTTCTAGAAGTTTCACCTTACAAAAATTTGCACCGGGTTAAAAGTTCAACTTCACAAAAATGAAACTGTCCAACTGTTTCAAAAGTTCAACTTCACAAAGATGAAACTGTCCAACTACTTCAAAAGTTCAACTTCACAAAGATAAAACGGTCCAACTGTTTCAAAAGTTCAACTTCACAAAGATGACGTTTCAACCTTTCCAAAAGTTCACCTTCAATCACTTCCCGAATGCGTGTACCAGGTAAAACGTACCAAAAGCTACATATTCAAAATTGTACACCGGGTGAAACGTTATAACTTAAAAAAAATAAAATCAACAAAGTTGTCCTCCCAGTTAAACGTTTCGACAATTTCAAAAGTTTTAAATTCCAAAAACTTCATATGCACCGGTTGAAACGGCCCCCAAAGTTCCATCTTGTAACTAGTACACGTTTCAACTTTTTAAAGTTCCACAACGCATAAATGAAACATTCCAATTGTTTCAAAAGTTTCACAAAAATATGCACCGAGTGAAACATCCCAATTTTCCATAGTTTCACCTTGAATCAACTACACCAAGCGTAATGTGTTCACAATGTTTCACATTCAAACTTATGCATTGGGTGAAACGTTCCAACTTAAAGTCAAGAGTCAGACTTCACAAAGATAATCGTTTTAACCAATCCAAATGTTCACTTTCGAAATTCGTATTCAGGGCAAAACGGCGCAAAA